ATTGCAGCGCCCTACTACTTCAATCATGTTTGGAGATGCAACTTCCAAGTCACCTCTTGGTGTGTTCAAGAACTATCACTTGAAAATAGGAGAATGCATCATCCAAACTGACCTCACTGTCATGGAGATGGAAAAGAGAAGGATCTACCTCTGCTATTGGGAACCCCATTCCTAAGCACAGTTGGCGCTTCAATAGACTTTCACAAGCAAGAATTGATTCTTCACAAGTGAATAGTTTGGTGTCTTATCGCTTGCAGCCTAGAGGATCAGACTTTTGTGCCACAATTGAAAGCAATGCTCTCAGTTTCAAGCCTCCTGAAGTTACAAAGGTTGTGAAGGAAAGGGTTGACAAAGAGCCAAAAGTTGTGAGAGATAAGGTTGAGAATGATCAAAGAGTTGATAAGGGACCAAGGACTGAGAAACCACGCCTTGAGAAGCCAAGAGTTGAGAGACCACGATCTGATAGGCCACGAACTGATAGGCTTGTTCAAGCACCATGTGTCCTTGATGAGGAAAGCTTCCAAGATTTGTTTGATGAGCCACTAGGAAGCGCTCAAAAAGAAGAGGAGGATGCAGCTTCAAAGGCACTTGTGGGAGAAAAAAGAAAGGACCCACCAGCTTAGGTTTCCTCAGCCAAGCCATCTCAGCTCACAATGACCTTGTTTCCCACCAAGTTTGAAAATGGAAAGATTGAGTACAAGATAAGGTACAAAGGGAGATCACGACCATTCTCTAGAGCCAAGGCCTTGGTTACTTCAGAGCAGTCCAAGGATCCAACCAAACTAAAGGAGCTTCTGTCTCACACTAAAAAAAAGTGATTATTGTTACAAAAAAATTGTGACCAATTGTTTAGTCATAATATTATGACTATTTACATATCATAATGTGACCAAATTATTTGGTTATAAAAACGTAAGCATTATGTTATAATATTGTGATGGAATTAAAGATAACTAATTTTTGTCACAATTTGAATATAAGGTAATAGATGTGGTTACGGTTTTGTGACTGAATCTTGTTACAAAACTATTACAAATTTGGTAACAAAGTTCTGTCACTCATAGTTACAAAATATTTGTAAGTATCTTGTCATATTTAGCTACTATTTTTTTGTAACTGTTAACAGTCACAGATACTGACATAATTGTTACTACTTTGTGACAATATTAAAAAAAAAAAAACATGAATTTAAAAATTCCTTAATTATTATTTTTTATACACTTTTTATTTTCTTGTATTCACTTTCTTATTCTTCCATAATTGTTGTTCTCATCTCTTAAATTCAGAAAACCTGAACGAATCATACATGTTTTTCAAAAGCACATTCTAAAACAAGAAACAAAATGATTACTTGTCTAAGAAAAACAGAGGATAACACAAAAATTCGAATTTGTTATGGGTTATGGTTTAATCACACGTATTTAAAGAGACGTTATAGATTTGTTCTCTCAATTCCATATCTCTCGATTATTTTGCAGCTATTCCTCTCATTTCTCTTTACAGATTCCCAAAAGTGTTAGTTTTTATATATTGTTTATAAAATTTTATTTCTATGTATATATGTTTTTGAAATTGTATGTTAAGTAGTGTTTGTTTTTATATTAAATTCTACATTTTTATATCTGATATAGAGTTATTAATATTTGGTTATAGATGTTTTCTAATAAATGATAATTTATGTTGTTTAAATTTTAATTGAAGCTGACTTATTCAAATGTGATCTAATTTTTTTTGTTCAATTCATGTTCACAGAAAATATGAAACCAGAATCGATCGAACTGGAAAATGATCAAAAGGCAAAGAAAGTACAAGTTGTTCAAGAAACAAGGCAAAAGAAAAAAGTTCAACATGAATTTGATCTAAACAAAACGTTTTGTTTAGACGATGGAGAAGAGTTTAACCCGGAAGATGGATCTGGTCAACAAATGGAGAAAGATAAAAAACTGCCACATGATTTTGATCTAAACAAAAAAGGAGTTTTCCATGAGTATGGAGAGATTCATCCCGATAAAGGAATTGATAAAGGAATTCGAGAAGGATTACTAGAAATATGGAGAATTCAATTTCCACACTGCTTTTAATTTAAGTTCTTGATTTAGTGTTTTTTTTTCTTTCTCATAAGTTATATTTTTCTCATATTCAAAGCTTCACTTCTTATGTTCACGCACAAGAAGTTTCTTATGTCATGGGTTATGGTATAAATCTTGTTCTGAATGTGTTACGGTTGTTGTTATGGGTATCATACATGTTTTCGTGTGAAACTTGTTATAAATATATAATTTCTTTCTTGTCTTATGATCATGGTTTGTGGTGAGTGTGGACGGTGAAGCTTCAATGCAGATAAAAGGACGTCAAAGATCTTGATAATATTATAGAAAAGAAAGGGTTTTGAAGTTGAGCTATAGACCAGTACTCTACAAATATGACTCATATTCCAAAGATGACTCCTATTCCAAATAGGACTTTTGTTCCGACTAGGATTTCTATTTCATTTAGGATCTCTACATTGTTATTAAAGTATATAATAAAAACTAACATTAATTTAAGTTAATGAATCTATCAAATCTCTACGATATATTATTAGCTGCCATATAGTTGCAGATATATAATGAATATATTAGCTAAAATTTTGTGAAGCTTAGCCCTAATTTTTGGCGATATCGTGATAAGTCATTCTACCGCCTTAAAATTTGGCAATAGAGCCAAAAATTTGTGAAAACTACCCAATATCAAAACGTGTCAATTTTCTAACCATCTTACTCAGCCTCTCAATAACCGTTCTCTCCAGTTTCCTTTATATCAAGTAGATCCTTCCTCGCAAATCATATTCCTTTACGGCTTTCACTTAAGTTTCTGAGATTCTCATTAAGGTGTTCTTCACATTTCTGTACTTTTAGAATCTAATCTATAAGTCAATTTAAAGGCTTTTCCGGTTTGCTCTGTTATCATCTTCCTGTTCGAGCTATTCTCATTTGTCTTCTGTTTTTTTGTTTTTGTTTTTTTTTTTACATTGGATTTGTGTGTGTATTGTGTAGATATGGAAGAGGCACTTGTGGATCGTTCGGACTTACCCATGCTGCATCCTTCTCGGGCAAATGGAGCTAAATGGTATGTGTATTTTACTTAAAACCAGTTGACTTCTCTACAGATTTATAACTCTTCTGTAATCTATTATAATGAAACAGGTTTAAGCACCACACACAAGTATCAACTGCTGTAAGAAGGGTCATTCAAAGTTACTTCAAAGGCCCATGGTACTCCTGGAAAAGAGTGTCAACCTTCTACAGACAAGCATTGTTTAATCTGTTTAAGGTATTCTCGTGATTTCAAAAGCAAAAAACAAAAATTAGACTTCGTGTTATTTAACTTCGTGATTTCATTCCCAGTGTTACTCATCGTTTCTGATATACTTTGTTATCAGGGAAAGTTTAATTGGGATCCTACTATCAATGGTCAAGTTCAAAGTGAGTTTAATAAGCTTGCTGCTTATCGTTTGAGAGGTATGATAAGTCATGCAAAGAGGACTGGAGTCAAACCAGACTGGATTTTGAAAGACTATTGGACCATCATGGTAGCTTATTGGGCAACACCAAAAGCAAAAGCCAATAGCGAGAAGGCTCGTAATTCTCGATTGTCTGATCGCAGTGGCTTGGGTCCACATTCCCACATATCTGGTTCACGTTCCTATGCCAAAGTTCAAGATGTTCTGGTTTTGTTTGTTTAGTTTATATTTTGTGAAAGACTATTTGCTTCTATGTTTCTTTGATTACGTTTGTAAGATATTTTGTTAAGTAATATCATCATCTGTTTATTTTATTTTATTTTTAGTGCTTTAATTTATAATTTTTTAAAATAAAAAGAAAAACAGGAGTAGTGTGACAAAGTTTATATGGTTTTTTATTTCCAAATTTCAAACGAGTTCCATAGCTAAAAAAACTTCACAAACGAACCTCATATTGTGACGAATATGTGACTATTACTTTGTCACTAACTGTAACGGAATTATGACATTATTTTCCATCACAAATTGTTACGTGTTTGTGACAATAAATTTGTCATGAAATGTGATGTTGTTTCTAACATTATCTTGTCACAATTTGTAACACATTAATAACTAAAATATGGTAACAAATTGTGACAAACATCTAACGAAATTTAGTGTCACCGTTTGTTACATAATTGTGACAATATTGTTTGTCATAAATTGTGTCGGCTTTGTGACTATTTTAATAGTGTAACAATTGGTGACGATTTGTTACTAAAAATTAACGTCAAAACACATTGTGAAAATTTTTGTGACATAACTTGATTTGTGATGATTCTACGCTAACCTTTTACAACTACTAATAACTTTGTCACAATAAGAGTTTTGTGACGGAAAATTTATGCATTGTGACAAACAAAACTGTGAGAATAATCATTTTTTTTGTAGTAGTCCTCACTATCACCCTTGATGGTGGGACTAGCTCAACCAATGCCTAAGAGGTAAAGGTCAAGCTATGGGACCTTAAACAAACTCACTTGGGAGGAAGTCCCGTGACTATCCTTGTACATATTCTTTAATGCAATTTCTATCTAGTGTTTTGTGTCTTAACGTTTCAGGAAGATTAAGTTTAGGTGACAAGAAGCCAGCTCGACCGCCAGCTCGATCGAGCTAGAAACAGAGGTAACTCGATCGAGTTCCACAACTCGACCAAGGTAAATTTTTGAATTTCAAATTCTAACCATTTCCTTGGTCAAGGGGGTGGGTCCCTGATATACCTCTATTTTACATGCTTTTTATGCTATTTTACTATGGTTTTCTAATGGTTTTCTAGTGGATTCTTGTGTTAAAAGGTAGTTTTTATGGATTTATAGTGCAAAGAGTCATTTTAGGTAAAAAGGTGCATTATGGAGCAAAACAGAGGATTTGGACTCTAAACCAGTTCAATGCCACTGCATCAACTTTGGATGGAGCTAGAAAAAGATCTACTCAATGGATTTCATCAAGACCAGTTCCCTGCGTGCTCTGATTGAGTTAACTTTCCAACGCAAGTGGAACGGCCTCATTTGGATGAGTAGAAAAGGAGTTATAGCCAAAAGAGTGAAGACTGTCCAGACGGCTCTATCGAGAATCAGCGCCAACCGCGCAGAACGGCTGGCCGAGGAACGAATGTTCCGCGTCTCGGCCAAAACATTCCGTCCGTCTGAAGTCTCGGCCAAAGTTCGCACCGGCCGACGCATCACGACCCGGGAAACATGTCCCGCGGTCGGCCAAGCCACAACGTCACGCCACGCCGCGCACGACCATGCCGCGCGAGCCGGGAACAAAGCCTCGCGGCCGCGCAACCTTCTCGCGTACCACGGCCGATGCATCCGTCCGAGCCGGGAAAGAACGTCCCACGTCCGGCCGAGAAACCATCGGCCAAATCCATCATCCGTCCGACCACACCGGCCGACCGTGAAATCATCCGGCCACGACCGTTCCGACACGCCACGACCCGACTGTCCGGCCGATCGTCCCGACCGACCGTCCGAACGCCGCGGTCGACCCGAAGCCGTTTTTGAAGCCCAATCCGCACAATTCAAGCCCAAAGCCGGCGCCGACCTAGCTAGATTAGGTCTAGCCGCTTTTTCATACTTAGTGCATTATAAATACTTCTTTTTAGCCTTGTAACTCAAGAAGGAGAGAGACCACAATTATTTTACATCTTTAATAAAGTTTTGCTTGCTTTTACTTTGTTCTTGCTTGCTCTTTCTAGAGAGGATTCGAATCTCTGTTCTTATGAATATGAATTCGTGTTCCTTCTCTATGTCTGAGTAGTTTACTTGTTAAGTGATAGGAAGTCAAAGGATAGCATTCATGTATGCTTGATGATTGATCACAATTAGGGTTTTACTTATAATCTCCATCTTTGCTTATACTTAATGCTTGTTGTTAATCTGGCCAATTAGCATATGCCTTTAGGTTGATTTGAGCCTCGACAGTGCTGTATCATTCGCCTGAACTAGTATTTGGTGGGCAATCTCTTTTAGACTGCGACAGTTGATTTACTTGTAGGTTGTGAACAATTGAACTTAATCGAACTAATGCTTGATTTAATCACCTAGGGACATACCAAAAGTTTAGCGACTAGGTAGATTAACAAAGGGGTCGGAGCCTCGACAGTGGAATGATCATACCATAGTGTTTCAAGTTCTAGATTGGCACCTAATTGCAGTAACCCTAATTGATTGATTTCATGCTTCTTGAATTGCTTATCTTAAGACTATCCTATTGCTTAGCCCTCTTCTCTTTTTCTTCCTTGTTGAAATCGAGTCTTGGTAGATGTTCTCCGCGAGAATCGAAGTAGGACTGCCTACAGAACTCTGATCCAACAGTATAAGTGTCATCTGGAATATATGCTCGCCCACATTACCTATGCTTCATTGGCGTCTATCTCCGGCCTTGTATAGCTGCTCATGAAATTCCCTGCGTGGATTCTATCTCCTCTGATCCTTCTTCCCATCCTTGTGCGTGAGATGATGGGCTTGATTCCCATGTCAAGGAGCTTCACTTCTCCTCATTATTGTCCCAGTGCCTTCCTTGCAAAGAAGGTGTTGGCAAGTGCCTTGTGCACATATCTCAAGACTGGGCTCCTGATCTGAGCTGCCTTGGACCTTGAGGAAGAGTACACTCCATCAGCGATTGTAGCCCAAACCCTTTGGAGTTCTTTCTCCTTGATATCCCATGGGTTCCCTCTCCATAGTTGAACCAAAAAGATCTCCAGCTGCCTGAAGGTCACCTTCCTTTCTCCCTTGCCAAGAACGTGATCCATCCCAATCCTTGGTCCAACTCAGCTCGATCGAGCTCATCATACTTGTGGTACCTCATCGATGCCAAAAACTCACAAGTGAGCTCCTTGTATGACTCCATGCGGTAGAGAAGAACTTGGCCAAGTGCATGTTCTTGAGGACTAGCTCCACATCCTCAAAGATCCCAAGAGCCTCATTGTGTCATCATGTGGGTACTTGGTCTCCACAAAGTCCATGGAGAAGAGAGCATTGTAGTGCTCTTGGTACATGGGGAGCTCATCCTCTCTTCCTCTGACTCCCTCCTCCATGGGCACATTCTCATTGCTCTCATGCTCACTCTCCTCAATCTCTTGATTGACCTCTTCCCCTTCTTCACTTTGAGGAGTCATCACTTTCTCCCTTCCATGTTCACCCCAATCTCAAACTCTCCCTTCGCTCTCACTGCTGATGGGTCATTCCTCTCTTGGTCCTTCTCTCTTCCCTCAACCTCTCAATCTCTTCCTCATCTTCCTTGGTTAGTGTCTTTAGCATTCTCCTTGCTCCTCTCATTATCTCCTCCTTTGTGAAGCTGCCTTGCTTCCTTCACCTCTCAACATCTTAAACTTGTTGCTTCTTAAAGTTGGTCCTGAAATGCATCAAAAACTCAAAGAATTAGAGTTGTAATGATCGGTTCGGTCAACTCGACACTCAGCTCGATCGAGTCAAAAAACTCGAGTGACAAACTCGATCGAGCTAGTGAAAACAGAGTATAACCGAACCTAATCAAGTATTAAGAGCTGGAAAGGATGCTAATCAATCAAATTGAACCAAGAACATAAGTAATGGAACAATAAGCAATTCTAGTGAAAAAAGCATCCTAACCAATACCAAACTCAAATTCAATTTCAAGCACATGCAACAAGTTTAATGGCAAAACAGAGGTGAGGTGAGGCAAATTCACAAGATTATATAACAGGAGAAATATGAAAGCAATTACTCAAGAACAAGTCCACAAGGGACACATGCAATCAAAAATCAAAGAGAAACAAGCAATAGAAAGGAATCGAGATGAAGGATTCAAGGGTTTAGGGTTCATACCTTGCTTGAATGATGATTGAAGAACAGTAGCTAGAACTAAAGCAAACAAGATGAACAAGAGAAATCGCAAAAACTTAAGAGAGGAGAGATTCGATTTTTCTTGTGGTGATGAGAGAGATGGATGATTTCAGAAAATTTAGAGTGTGGGAGAGAGAGAAGTGTCGATCGAGTTATGGGGAAGAGGGAGTGTTTGAGATGTGTGGTTGAGATTAAAAGATGAATAAAGAGGGGACAAAAGCTAGGGTTTTTCTGATCGAATTAGGGTAGTGGGGGACCAAAATCAGCTTGTGGGACCCACTCCCTTGACCAAGGAAAACGGTTATGAATTTGAAATTCAAAAACTTACCTTGGTCGAGTTGTGGAACTCGATCGAGTTGCCCTGTTTCTAGCTCGATCGAGCTGTCGGTCGAGCTGGCTTCCTTGTCACCTAAACTTAACTTTGAAAGGTTAAAACACATAAAATAGATAGAAATTGCATAAATAGAATATGTACAAGGATAAACATGGGACTTCCTCCCAAGTGAGCTTGTTTAAGGTCCCATAGCTTGACCTTTACCTTCTTAGGCATTGGTTGAGCTAGTCCCACCATCAAGGGTGATAGTGAGGACTTGAGACAGAAGCTCCTTTAGCTTGGTTGGGTCCCTGGACTGTTCTGAAGTCACCAAGGCCTTGGCTCTAGAGAATGGCCTTGATCTCCCCTTGTACCTTATCTTGTACTCAATCTTCCCATTTTCAAACTTGGTGGGGAACAAGGTCATTGTGAGCTGAGATGGCTTGACTGAAGGGGCCTGAGCTGGTGGATCCTTTCTTTTTCTCCTGGTCTTGCCTTAGAGGCTGCATCCTCCCCTTCTTTTAGAGCCCTTCCTAGTGGCTCATCAAACAAAGCTTGAAGGCTCTCTTCATCAAGCACACAAGGGGCTTGAACAAGTCTATCAGCTCTGGCCTATCAGATCGTGGTTTCTCAACTCTAGCCCTCTCAAGACGTGGCTTCTCAATCCTTGGTCAACTCTCTCATCCTTATCCTTATTCCCAACTCTTGGTTCTTTGTCAACCCTTTCCTTCACAACCTTTGTAGCTTCATGACTCTTAGAACTGAGAGTGTTGTCAATTGTGGCACAAAAGTCTGAACCTCTAGGCTGCAAGCGATATGACACCAAACTATTCACCTTGTGAAGGATCACTTCTTGCTTGTGAAAGTCTATTGAAGCGCCAACTGTACTAAGGAATGGGGTTCCCAATAGCAGAGGTAGATCCTTCTCTTCTTCCATTTCCATCACAGTGAGATCAGTTTGGATGATGCATTCTCCAATTTTCAAGTGATAGTTCTTGAACACTCCAAGAGGAGACTTAGAAGTTGCATCTCCAAACATGATTGAAGTAGTAGGGCGCTGCAAGGCTCCAGCAATGCCTAGCTTCTCTGCCATGGAGAGAGAGATCAGATTGATGCTTGCTCCAGAATCCACTAAGGCATTGTCAAGCTCAAGATGCCCAAGTGTGCAAGGGAGAGTGAATTTCCCTTGATCCTTGACCTTTGGTAGGAAAGTGGGTGAAGTAAGCAGGTTGAACTGATGAGTAGACTCTTGTAGGACCTCTGAAACTTTATCACTGTTGGCATAACATCCTTGACCATTTGCATTTGATCAAATGCCTCACTCATGCTATCCATAGAGGCAACTCAATTCCAATCCCACTGAGATCTCTTCTGAACTTGTGAATCACTTCCTTGTGACCTTGACTAAGTAGGCGAGACGAGGAAGCGGCAACCGGTTGGTAAGGATCAAGCAAAACGGTTTGAGACAGAGGTCGGACTCGATCGAGCTAGAGTTGGACTCGATCGAGCTGCCGATCGAGCTTGTTGTGCGAGCTCAACTGGTGAAGTGTGAATGGCCACAGTAGGTGCACTTCTGGTTGATCAATCTGGACTCCAGGAGCCTCAGCAGCAACAATCTCTTCATCATTCAGCAGTAAACAAAAATCTTCAATGACCCTTTCTTGATCCTCTTCTTCAACAAGTCCTTCTTGAGTGAAGATGACCTTGCACTGTTCCTTGGGGTTCTGAATAGCTTTACCAGGTAGTTGTCCTTGCTTTGTAGCAGCAGCAACAGAAGAAGCATGATTCTCCAGAGAGTAAACCCTTGTGTTGAGGTTCTCGATCTTGGAGTTTATTTCAGCTAGCTTCTTGCTTGTGTCCACTACCCCATCAGCTTGCCCTTGAAGTAGTTGTTTAGCATTGCCTTGAGCTCATTCTCTTGTAAGGTGCAGGCTGGGGTGGTTGGTGGGGAAAGCCTGGTGGGATATTCATTTGTTGTCCAGGGAAAGTCCTTGTGGTCCTTGGTAATTGTTCTTTTGACCATACCCATGTTGTGGCTTGACTCGATCGAGCTGCTTGTTGTTGAGGATAGACTTGGTCCTGAGGGTTAGCAACATCAGTGTTGCGGTATGACATGGCAGGGTTGGACTTGTAATTATAGTATCCTTTGTTGTAACCTCCTTGCCCATTGCTCATGTAGCACACTCAGCAAATTGTGTATCCTCCCCTTCTTGGACTGGTTCCATCTCTCAGCAGACACAAAGTTGACTTTCTTCATTGTGGACTGAGCTAGATCAGCTTATCCAACTTCTCATTCAATGCCTTAACATCTTTTCTCAACTTTTCGTCTGACTCGATCGAGTGGTGGGTCGAGCTCCGGTTGGTGCGATCATACTCTTCTCCATAGCTTCCATTTGAGTTAGCTATGTTCTCCACAAGCTGCCAGCCATCATCTACATCCTGGTTGAGGAAGTTCCCATTGCTAGCTGTGTCTAGCATCTCCCTATACCTAGGCAAGCATCCTCTATAAAGAGTGGAGAGTAGTGATTCATTGTTGAATCCATGGTGTGGGCACTGACTTGTGTAGCCTTTGAACCTCTCCCAAGCCTCTGCGAATGTCTCATTGTTTCGCTGGATGAAGCTGGATATCTCTCCTCTAAGCTTGGCTGTGCGACCGGTGGAGAAAAACTTAGCAAGAAAGGCCTTCTTGCATTCATCCCAAGTGGTGATTGTGCCATGGGGCAAGCTCTTCTCCCATTGGTGAGCTTTGTCAGCTAGAGACATAGGAAAGAGTCTCAGCTTGATGGCATCTTCAGAGACACCATTGATCTTTGTCAAATCACAAAGCCTATCAAACTCATCAAGGTGGTCAATGGGGTCTTCACTTGGCAATCCATGGAACATCTTGTTCTGACAAGGTTGATCATTCCCAGCTTGATCTCAAAGTTGTGGTTCTGCACTGGTGGTGGAACAATCCCTTGTCTCTGTTGGTGGCGGTTTGGAGCATCTCCTTGACCAATCGGTCGAGTTTGCCTAGCTCGACCGAGTCCATTGCCCAAAGGGTTTCCATTCCCCTCTGGTACATCCATTGTATCAGCAACAAGCACCTCAGGTTCCTCTTGTACCCTCTGTGACCTCTGAACCCTCTTTCTACCCGTTGTAAGTCTAGCTCGACCAAGTCTTCTGTTGACCGACTCGATCGAGTTCGCATACACCTGCAAAAAGAGACAAAAACCCAGCAGTACAATAGAACAGGGGTGGTATAGCTTGATCGTCCAAGTGTTTGAAACTCAAATGCAACAAAAATATTCCCAAATCGGCAACGGCGCCAAATTGATGATAGGATTTGTGTGTGGATGTGATGAATGATGAAATGAATGAGGTGGAATGCAACAGTGGTATATAAGATGAGGTGGTAGATGCAAACACAAACACATCAATCAATTCCCTTAACCATCATAGTCATTGAAGTATAAGGGTTATCAATCCAAAATGGGAAATTGTCACTCTATGAGAATATGAAAACAAGAAGTCAAGCAAGCAGTAAAGATGGGGTAACACTAACAACCTAATGAAATGCAGTAAAGCAAGCAGCTCGACCAAGGACTCGAGTCGAGTGGGAACAGAGTACCGAGCTCGATCGAGTTTAGGGTCGAGTTGAAGTAAAAAGCGATAAAGGCAGGAACTTTAACAAGCTAATGCGAAATTAGGGTCTAAGACAGGGTTTACAATCAGAGGAAGGCTATACTTAATCAATCTTGCTCTTAAAACTTGTATCAAGGTATCTCTTGATATTGAGCTTCTCAATGCCTAGCTAACCCTTTCCCAAGGTGAAAGCTATCAACCAAGGATGATCTCAGAAACAGGGGGTTAGCCAGTGAGAATCAAGCCTTGGAGGCCATAGGATCATTGCTCAAACTAATCCATCCAACCCCTATGAACTCCATTTCGAGAGCAAGAGTTATTGGAGCTCTTAGTGGACCTTTTCCAACGATTTCCATCACTTCCATGTGGAGAATCGCCTATGGACATACAAGCCAGGGGTAGTGGTCATGTAGCCTTAAGGTTTGTCCAAAAGAGAGAGATTTCTAGATTAAGACATAAGCAAGAAGGATTAAGCATAAAATCCTCTAATCTAGCCCATCTCAAACCCTAATGGGTAACTACTCACTACACATGAATGTAAACACAAGCAAATGCAATGAAAAGACATCATATGAAAGAGGAGAAAAATAAACAACTTTTATTGAAATAAGCAAGTGCAAATACAAAAGATATCCAGATCTAGGATTCAAGAAGCAAGAGCTTCAAGAACACAAAGAGAGGATTAGGTTGCAAAAAGTAAAAGACAATAAATTAAAAGAAAGCTAAAACAAAATAATCTAAAGCTTGGTGGTTTTTTCGTGGCTTAGCCTTTAAATACAAGAGGATTAGGTTTAGGGTCAAAGGAAAGTCAAGGGGGAAGCAACATTTTTCGGGTTTGACTGTTGACTTCTCAGCTCGATCGAGTTGAAGCTTGGCCGGTCGAGTTGAGGAACTCGACCGGTTGGTCGAGTAGGTGGTCGAGCTGGTCTTCAAGATGGCTTCCTCCTTCTTCCTTTGCGTATCCAGTTGAGCTGCGTCCATGCACCAAGTCCTTCCATGCTCCTCACGTCCCATATGCTCCAAATGCTCCAAAAGACCTATTTCAAAGGACCAAACATGCATATGTATGCAAATGCAACCTAAAACTACTATGAATGCATAAGAAGAGAAAAGGAACAAGATATGATGCTAATGGATGCTAAAACTATGCAAAAGATGCATAAAAGATGTACTAAAACTATGCAAAATGCAAGTACATAAAGTGTTAACTGAGTAGATGATAGGTTCCATTTGTAGTGTTCTCTATGCAACTTATGTGAAATCGTTTTTGCTTTCATTGCTTTGTTGCCTTTTCATTAAATGGAATGTAGTTGCATAGAAATTGGAGTATATAAATTGGAGTCTAACATCGATTGAGCCAATTTTTGTGTGTGTTGTATGTGAAGTGCAGCTTCTTTTCTTGGTATCTTGAGTTGTTAGTTGATCATAAATTGATGTTTTAATAGACATATGCAGAAATGTAATGTTCTTAATCATCATATCATGGTGTTGAAATGGCAAAGAATGATCCTGCATTAAGCTGTATTTATATTTGTCTTCAAATTTTTCAGGAGCATCGAGTGGTATAGGAGTCGAGACTGCTCGTATTCTTGCACTGCGTGGTGTGCAAGTGGTTACGGCTGTGAGGAACACTGGCTCTTGTGCTAAAGTTAAACAAGATATTGTCAACCAAGTCCCTGGTGCTAAAGTCGTTGTCATGGAGTTAGACCTCAGCTCAATGGAATCTGTCAGGAAATTTGCATCTGACTACAAATCTGATGGTCTTCCTCTCAACCTCTTGATGTGAGATTTCGAGTAAGCAACAACACTGGGATAATGCGGTCAGATGAGTAAGGACAACATAATGGCATGTCCTTTCAAGCTCTCTAAGGACAACATCGAGCTCCAATTTGCAACCAACCATTTAGGTGAGAAATATAAATTCATACTAATATTATGCTAAATCTGTATACACTATCATTACTTCATTAGTTATTTAATCAGAGCCTTTGTGAACCAATTATGTTTCAGATCATTTTCTGTTGACAAAACTTCTACGAGATACAATGAAGAGCACTTCACGTGAGAGCAAAAGAGAAGGAAGGATTGTTAGTGTTCAAAATTATAGTTTTGGTAAAACATTTTTTTTTGTTAAGAACCAAATAAAAGGTTTTAGGGATGGAGGAAGAAAAAATTAAGAAACCACATAAAAGTTTGTAGTATTGATTTGTATGAAAATTAGTAATAAAAAATGGTGTAGAACCAAAAACATGGTTTTAGGGATGGAGATGGTCTTAGAGCAGGGATATTGACAATCTGAAATCTCAAACATAATTGTTCTACAAACAAACTCAAACATAACTGTTCAAAAAATGTTTTATGGTTTTGATCTTCTTTACAGAGACCGTTCAAGATAGTTAACAAACAAATTTCTCAACTGGAATGGATCCACTATGATCAAGCTAAATGAGGTAATGTCCCATATTTTGATATAGTAGTTAGATGACATTATACAAGTAACTAAAAAAAAGCTTGCTGTTACCAAATAGGGCTGTCTAGATGAGTAATATAAAAAACTAGATGAAGTCGTGAGTGGAACTTGAAAGGTATAAATAACCTTTTATACATATATTTTCCAACATTTTGCAAGTTTCAGATCTTGAAAAGTTATGAGAGGGGAAATATCTATGATGGTTAGTGCAATGTACCTATCTAAAACTCGAGCTCTTCTTTTTTTGCTGATATTATATAATTTTCCTCTCCTTTTGCTTTTGTTTACTACGATCTTACGGTTAGCAGTAACAATTTAAAATCTATATCTGCATCACTCCTGATTTTCACATCAGTAAAATATATTTCCTCTGTTTTCTTGGCATTTAACTGCAATCAATAGGTTTACCTAAAACCAGTGGATTCTTATAAGCGATTGTTTTCTTTACCAGGAAATCAAGGCAAAAAGAAAGAAGCAGGAACAAGCTTGAATTTCCTAATTCCCAGCTACAACTGTTGACTGAAAAGCTAAAATTTTTTCGGGTATGTTCATAAATATATTTATTCAAACCTGTTTTTTCATGTTCTCTTCAGAAAACCAATCTGTCGTTCATTTTAGCCTCAACTTTTGCAAGATTGTTGCGTTTACCAGTAATGTTTGATTAGTAAAACATGGTTTCCTCTTAACTATGCAGAAAACTAATGGGAAGAGGAAGAAAAAAGCAAATGTATCTATTTTGCCAGCAAGAAATTTTACGGATTCAAATGTTTCATTCTCCAATTCGAGATCACAAATGCCAAAAGACAGATAAAAAAAGCCAGTTACGGGTTTTAAGCAGAAAGTCTAGATAAAAATAAGGTAAAAGAACTCTAATCCTCAAACTTACTTCTGTTTTCCGATGATGTTTTATTCTCATCACGTCCATGATAGCATCCTTGAAATTCATCTTATAATTGCTATTATGTGTGTTTTGCAGGGGATTCAATTCATGCAACTTTGCATATTCGAAAGAAAAATGTCACACTTAATGCAGATTCATTTCACTATAGCCATTGTCTTTGATCCTTAGTAACTCCTTACAAAACAAGTAATTATATTTGCTTTGCTCTCCTCCACTTCTCTATGTAAAACAACAAGACTTCAAATGCAGTCAGCGTAGGTGGTGAAACGAACAAAATAAAATACAATGTAATTGGAGATTAGAAGAAAGAACACGTTAATGAGAACATAGATATGTATTTACTCTCTCGTCTCACGCTTTTCCTCATTAGGTATGTATTTCAAGCTGTGATACATAGACTATGGCAGGAAAGAAACTCCCGTCGTCATGGGGAGCAGCCGCTCTCCCCAAATCAGCTCATTCAAATCATCGACAAACTTGTCCGAAATCGTATCTCTTCCATACGAGGCGTTAGGAGATACAACTTACGATGATGCACTCCAACTTTGGTTTGAAGCTAGAAGCTAGAGTTCTTTTCTCTGTTCTTTTCTGAATCTCAAAATTACGTTGCACATGTTGTACAAAAACGATGTTTTTTTTGGGTTTGAATTAATTTTACATTCTATTCAAAAAAAAAAAAATGAGAACATAAATAAATATGTTATGAAGAATTGATTAATGAAGAAATCATGAAAACAAACATGCCAAATAAATATATTAGAAGAGTAAGACATTATTAAGTACTAAATTTATCATATGTTTATGTATGGTGTTCTAAAACCTTTTTTTTCGAAACATGTTGGAAGCAATATTATTATTCATATGCAAAAACATGTTGAAGCAATATAACAAAGTAGAATATTTTTTAAAAAAAGTTAGATGATCACCAAATTTAAAGGTATACATATATAGTATTACAATTGTAAAGATGAAAATTTTATACTAAATGTTGAGAAATTACTCAGACTAACACTAATTTATCCTTAAATTACTAGACTAACACCTAGTAAACATACCCAAAACATAACTTACTAGATTAACAGTGATTTTATTTGAAATGACATAATACCTCTAGGAGACTCAAATCTGTACAATTAAAACTTAAATTTTAAAATTTAAATTTAAAATCTGTACAATTAAAATTTAAAGTCTACCCCAAAAAACCTAAACTCTTTCGTCGTCGACTTCGAAGTCGCCTCTCTCACTCGCCGGCAACGATAACGACGAAGAAGTGGCCGTCTCTTCACCTCCGCCCGCCGCCTCAGCCTGCCGCCTATTCTTCTCCTCCTAATTTCAGTTTCCTGTGAAAAATCTGCGTCAGTTGTTCTTCACCTCGTCGACTCCGGCTCCGCCAATCCGCCGTCAGTGTAAACTTCTCATACGGCTAACCCTAGGTGGACTCACATTTGAAAAGTTTAAAAAGGTCATTAGTCATATAAGTTCAATAAATTTGTCGTTATCAAATGATTAGTCATCGTAGTAAATCTGTCACCAAATATAGACATAAATATGTCGAACAAAGTCTGCTGCCATAGAAGAAAAAAGATCCCCTATCTTACTAAAAGATAAATCTGACACAATATACACCATAAAAGACTGCTGTCAAAGACAGATTTGTGCTTCAAAAACTAAAACTGCCACCATGTAAAGAAAGTCTGTCACAACGTAAAAGTTAGTACCGTGATTTAACTTTGAACTCATTGTGATGATAGATTTATATTACATGTACCATAAGTCTGTCGTTATTAACACTACAAAATAAAAATCTGGCTCTTCATGTTACGTAAGTCTGTCAGAGGTTAATCTAATAAGTGAAGAAAGTATGTCACTGTAATTTAAATCTGGTACACATTAATAACTATGTTGCTTCAGTAGCCATAAATCTATCAAATAAGTCTGGCATAGTAAACAAAACTGTGAGACATGGTAAATCTGTCACTTCGTCACATAAGATAAATCTGTCGTCTAAATGAAAAATCTGCCATTCGAACTAAATCTGTCGAACATTTGAAAATCTGTCGTCAATAATGTGACAGATTTATCATATTGAATTTTCGAAATAGTAATGGCAATTACATAATTACATTTTTTCTTATCAAAGCATTTAAGGGTAATATAGGTATAATATTAAAATTAGTAATTTTAAAATGATTTGAGTTAATCTAGTAATTAACATACAAATTTATGCTACTTAAGTAAATTTCCTTTTAAAAATTTTAGTTAAATAAGTGAAAATTTTATAACATAAAACCTGCGCGTAGCGCGGGATAACACCTAGTATCTATATTATAATAAGAGGATATCACTCTTCAGTTGAGTGACACCTGGCAGCTCTCCTCCTTCTAATAAAAATGACACATGTCATTCCTTCTTTCATTGAAAAATAAAAATTAGAACAAATTTGATTTTCATCCCTAGACTTTATTTTTTTCCTCAAAAACAAAAGAAATAAATCTTCCTTCGTTTCTTTACCAACCGTTACCATAAAATCGCCAACTCCCATCCGGAGCATTCACCGCCGTCGGATAGATCCCTTCCAATTCCGTCTCTTCGATGAACCACCGTTGAGAAGTCAATCCACTGCAACCGTCCACCAATCTCCGCCGAGAATAGATCCCTCTCGACGATTCCTCCACACTCCCAAAACCGCGAAATGGAATTTCAATCTCCGCCGTCAGAGACCATCGATTGATGATAACGCCATTGGATCATCGTCTGTGAGATTTGGATCTGACGATGGAATTGGCTCGTCGATGGGAGTGATATTGGCGGTAGAAGGAAGCTCGTCGATTGATGATGACGCCATTGGAACAGGCAAAAGAAACATAGCGAGCGAGAGGGAGAGAGAGAAAGGGAGATACAAGAATCGTAATCGTTGCTGTACACAAGTCCGTAAATGACGTCGTTTCATTTCAAGATTTTGGGCTTTTAGCTAATGATGATTTAAGGCCCGTAATGATACACAAGTTCATGATTTAAGGAGTAGTGTAGTAAATAGCCATAAACTATATAACCCTATAAAATAATTATAGATTTAAGGACCATATTGTCAATCCAAACATTTTAAAGATAATTCAAAATACATTAGCTTTTATTAATGAGTTAAATTCCAAATTAATGAATCTTAGTTGTCAATATAATGTTAATTTTAATGTTTTTGGAAAAAATATTAACACTTTCATTTTGTCGTTAGTTAGGCCAAAGAAAACCAATGTGAAAATCGCCGACGGTAATGATTGGTATGGGTGTACGAGGCAGTCAGGCAGATGCATTGCTTTAGCAAGTCTTTTGGTGGTAGTGTTCCCGTTAACTTTGATGGTAACAAATTACATGGTGGTGATGAGATAGTTTTGTTGTAAGCGAAACAAAACGGTGGAAAGATAAGATAGTTTTGCATGTCATTTTAATTTACACATTTTATGTTTACCATTTATGTGGAGAAATTGTTTTTCAATATTTCATTTTTGATAAGATAAGAAAGAATATAGAAATAAATAAATAAAAATGTTTGAAAATTCATATAAAAATTAAAACAAGGGACAAAAATTTGTAATAGTCATAACCCGCGCATCGCGCGGGCTTACCCTAGTATATATAAAGTTCATGTGATTCTATTTTGGTGTTGCCACCTCACCCAAAGTGGGTGCTTCTAAATTCACCAATTGGCCATATCAGCATTGTATTTATTAATTTTAATTTATTATATTTTCTCTTCTTATATTTTAATTCTTTATGATTATTCATATGTATAATCATTAAATAATACAATAGTTTTTGCAAGAATCTGAAAACTCATATTTGTAATAAATAAATCTTAAAAAATATTATTTAATAATAATAATAATAATAATAATAATAATAATAATAATAACAATAATAATATATTATACAAAGAACATTGTTTTTTTCTATAGTATTTTTTGGATGAAAAGTGACGAGATTAAATATGACGAGACGAAAAATAATGGAATCGGAGAAGAGGAGAATTTTGTTTACTTCTTATGCTATTAAGTGACGAGACGAGATATAAAGGAACGGAAAAGAACGGAATAAGACAAGACAAAAATTTCGCCTACCTTTCATAATATTTAGGGGTGGAACGGAAAAAAAGAAAAAAAATGAGGAGAGAGGACAAGACAGAAATGTTGGACGGGACAAAATGAAAAGAAATGGAATGTGACGGGATAGGACGGGACGAGATGAAAAATGACATAATGGGACGGGAAGGGACGGGGCGGGAATTTCGCCTATCCCTAATTATATATAGAGATGAGACAGAGACAAGACAAAATGGAAATGATCATAATAAGATATGATGAGACTGGATGGGGCGGACAGAAGGAACGGGATGAGAAAGAACATGACAAGATGAAAAGGAACGGAATGGGATAGAATTATGTCTACCCTAATTATATTTAGGGAACGAGACAATAACAAACAAAATGGAAAAAAATCATAATGGGATATGATAGGACTGAACAGGAAAAGATATACATGACGAACGGGAAAGGACGTACCAGATGAAAATGAACGAAATGGGACGAGATGGAACAAGAAATTTAAGTAATATCTATATATATAAAGTTGATGTTCCTCTCTTCTTATAGCTTCTAAATTCTCCATTTTGCCACATCAGCACTTTCTTTAATTTATTATATTTTTTTTTAATATTTTAATTTCATAATAATTAGTATTCATTACTATAATAAGTTTAACAAAAGAATATGAAAAGTCACTTTTAAAAAATGAGAAAGACTATGTATGAATTTAGAAAAACTATTATTTAGTAAATTTATTTTTGTTAGATTATATAATTTACATTGATGTCAAGATGTTATAAAAGAACACTGATTTTTTTAACTATTTTGGGATGAAATGAGACGAGACCGGAGAAGATGAGACGGAAAAAAACATAACAAGAGAAATGGGATAAGACTGGACGAGACGAGACAGACAAATTAGAGATAAGAGATGAAAAAACAGAATGAGAGACGGGATTGGACGGGACGGGATGAAAGGGACATAATGGGACGAGAAGGGACGGGACAGTAATTTCACCTACCCCTAATTATATTTAGGGACCGGACATAGACAAGACAAAACCGGAAAAAAAAATATAACAGGATATGATGGGACTCGATAGGGCGGACAGGACGGAACGGGACAGGGAAAGAACGACAAGATGAAAAGGAATGAAATGGACGGGATGGAACTATACGGGAATTTTGTCTATCCTTAGTTATATTAGGGAACAGGACGAGAAGAAACGGAAGGAACATGATGGGACATAACAAAATGGAAAGGAATAATGGGATAGGACGGGACGGGACAGACATGATGGATGAGACGAGAAAGAATGGACATGATGAAAATTGACGCAGTCGGAAAACCCTAGAATAGCAAGCACTAAACCTAGATTGAATTCAAGTTCACAAGCATGAACTTGAAGAGAAAACTCTGGAAATCCACCAGATTAGAGAAAAGCTCTCTGCTTTGATTAATTAGAATAATAAGATATGATATGCCTCATGGCTACAACTTAAAAGTGTTTATATAGAAAACAAAACCCTAGAAAATATCCAAAACTAAAAGGAAAAACATAATTAAAGAAAAAGGAAAATTTGTGAAAATCTCCAAAATATCTCCTACATCAGTCTCCTCCACCTCTAAAGAACTCGACCTCGAGTTCTCTTCTAGATTAAGAATCTCATATGCATGGTATCATGAATGCCAACCACATTGAAAGTCTTAGAAACTGGAGAGCCACTGCAAAACATCATCATTGATTTTCCGCAACACCTTGAAAGGACCATATTTGCTAGGTTGGAGCTTATTATTCCTCAAGTTCTTTTCTGGATAAATAATCACATCCTCTTTAAAAGGCTGACCATAGTTGCTAGGTTGTGCTCTTTGTATGTAACAACTTGAAACTTCTTGTTATGGAGGAACACAATTAAATCATCATCCTCTTTGAAAACTTTGGTTCCCTTCTGCTTGCCAACATCAATCTTTTTCTTCCCTTGTTCATCTGCAATCAGTTTCTTAAAATCTTTGTAGATCACTAGCACTCCTTCTGGAACTTCTGTCTTCTCCACTTCTGGGATTTCATAGGATAATGAAATATCTGCCTTAGTGTGAAAAGCATTATTATCATGCAGATTCTGTTGATCAATCTCTTTCTCTACAAAGTCTTCTTCAAGAGAACTAGGGTTTTCAATAACAACAACACAATTGTTTTCATCTCTTGGAACCCTAATTGAATCTCCTTCTTTGTCTATTTTCTGACTTTTGCCGGCTATCTTCAATCTATCGATTAGCATGTTCATGTGATTGCTAAATTCGACACTATTGTCTTGAACATGTAGAACCCTAATTCGTTCTCCTCTCCTTTCTCTTTGTCCGGCTTTGATAACCTTGTTGGTTAAAGCTTCCGTCTGATTGGTTAAAACTTTCATCTGATTAGTCAAAGCAGTTAGGGCCGAGGTTAGAGCCACGGTAAAACCCTGAAAATCTGCTTTGGTCAATGGTTGATCTCCCATAGCTGTTCAAGCTCGAAAAAGAGACAGGAAAAGCCTGCTCTGATACCACTTGACGCAGTCGGAAAACCCTAGGAATAGCAAGCACTAAACCTAGATTGAATTCAAGTTCACAAGCATGAACTTGAAGAGAAAACTCTGGAAATCCACCAGATTAGAGAAAAGCTCTCTGCTTTGATTAATTAGAATAATAAGATATGATATGCCTTGGCTACAACTTAAAAGTGTTTATATAAGAAAACAAAACCCTAGAAAATATCCAAAACCCAAAAGGAAAAACATAATTAGAGAAAAAGGAAAATTAAAATCTCCAAAATATCTCCTACATAAAAAATGAACGAAATGGGATACAATGGGACAAGACGTGCGTTAATTTTGCCTAATCCTAATTATTTTTAATTAATATGTGTAATATTTTTGAAACAATAATAAACAATAGAAATAAACTAAATTTGCGGAAAAACAATAAAATTAACACAATAATATAAATTCTCGCGCGAAGCGCGGATCACCTCCTAGTGTGTATAATATATTTGAAACAATATTAAATTTGTGGAAAAACAATAAAATTAACACAACTGCGCGTAACGCGGGTCACCCCTTGATAAATTCCTTCCTCTTATTTTTCTTTAACATTACTAGATAGACTATAAATTAAAACTATATTTTATCCGTAAATAAACCCAACATGCAACATCCATTTCAAACTTGTTCATCCTCTATTCTAGGTTCACTCAATTTGTACCCAAGCACCTGAGCTTGGTATGCCTGCATGAACCACAAACATCATATAGTATCCTGGAGGAGCAATCTCAGCCGTTGATGGACCCAACGCATTGATTCTATACGTATTTGTTAGCCCATCACGCGTCACAGAGAGTAACTTTAAGATCACCAGCCTCTGATTCATCGCCAATGAGTGCGTAGTGAACGAAGGTGCAACTATCCTCACAGAGAGAAGATCAATGGTCAGAAACTGTGGTATGGAGATATTAACGTTGAACATTCTCGTGTAACTCAGAACTTTGTCACTGGTCAATATTTTCGGTCTTGTTGTATCGTATGTGAAAGATAGATAAGGAGGAGAGTAAGCCTCGAGGCTTAACTCCGTTGGATACTCGACGTTGGTAAAGTTGTAATAAACGTGAGGATTACTTCCACCAATTAAAACCCTACCGTCGGGTAATAAAACTGCCGAGGAATGGTACATCCTAGGACGTGATGACATAGACATAACTGAGAACCGGTGATCAAACGGGTGATATATAACCGGTCGAGTCACCGGGTCACGTGCGTTCTCCCACCCGGCCGTACCAGCTTCTGCACCGTTTACAATGATGACGTTACCTGTTGGTAAAAGCAGCATGTCACCCATGACACGTGGCAACGGCATGGTTTCCATTTCCCAACTTGGATTTGGATCGGTAAGCTTTAGCCTCCCGCACGTTGAAGTGGCACGTTCGAATCCGCGGTTTCTATACGCACGTTGGAAGGCTTCTTTAGGAGCGCCTCCACAAACCATGATCTCAAGCTCCAAAATATTATTGGTTTCATCTAATGGAAAGAGTACGGAAGAGCCACTGCTAGGGTAGTTTCTTGGATCACCACCTGGAATCTCTGGAAACTCTTTCACGATTCTGTTTGTTTTGTAATCAAACACAATCGATCTTGTGTTAGCGAAGACAAATAAGTTTCCATCCGGTAAAAGATGTAGGAACGGATATAAGTTGTTCTCGTTACTCGCATCCGAAGTTTCTCTAAGAAACTCGAATCTAGCTCCTTTATACCGATGATAATCCGGTCGGGGGAAAATTTCAAAGTTGAATTGTCTTCTTCCCCCGACCACAATTATCCGCCCATCCGGTAAAATTTGGTTGGTCGCATACCATCTACGTTGAGCTAGATACTGAGGAAACTCAATCCAGTCACATGTTTCACTAAAGCCGCACGGGGTAAACATTCGAGCCGCACGCTCACCATCGTTGTATCCACCAGTTTGAACCAACGTCCCGTTGGGAAGAACCGAACCAGAAGAACACCATGTATCGGTTTGGACTTTCAACGCTCGGTATGTGTTGGAGACAACGTCGTATAGAACAGAATGTGCGGAGCAATCGAACTTGATAGCGGTGTCACTAGGATCGAATCGACACATGCCTCCAGGTAGAGATATATTCGAGATGCCGAAATCAGTGCGGTCGAACATTATAACCATGCCGTTGTGGAGGAGTTGCATGTGCATGGCGGATATACCAATACTCGGTAGCAGCATTTCCCATCGATCAAGTTGCATCTGAAATGGGAGAGGTTGACCTTCGGATAATATGGCTATGGAGAGGCATAAGATTAATGTTGGGACGATGAGTGTTTTCATGGAGTTGATCATAGTGCTGCCTTTGTTCTTGATTTGATGGTGAATTTTAAGTTAGAGTTTGGTGGACTATTTTTTTGTTGAAGAATTTAGTTGGAGTACGTCCAGTTATATATTGTCATTGATTCGTTTACACTAAATTAATATTTTTATTAAATTTGACGATTCGTGTATATGTATTAGGACAACCAAGTCTTTAAATCTACGAGATTTATGCCTGGGCAGCTGGGCTTTAGATAATGTTGTAGAAATAATAGATTCATAACAATAAGATGATTCAATTTTGGGTAATCTTACAAAACTCGACTCGCGGCTTGGTTGGGTTTTAATAAAAGAGAACCCAAAAGATTTCAAAATATTAGTTTTAAAATTCTAAAAACATCTTTTTTGAATTTTTTTACAATTGACTAACTAAATATGTATTATTTACGTATGTAGCTAATTATAAAATCAATGAAATATAATTTGTCATTTTAAAAGTCTACGAAAATTGATATTATATATTTTTTTGATAATTGAAAATTGATACTTAATGTTTATGATGTGTTAAAACAAGTTAGTTTAAAACTTTGTGAATGCGGTACATATATTATATATATATATAATATATTTAATATAAACTGTAGATGAAATACGTTGGGCTTAAAGTGATATATATCTTTAACATTTTTTTATGTTTTACAAATGTGATTCTACAGAATAGAATCAAGCTCGTTGTCTTTCTTGTAAAGGGTAGCGAAGTTGCATGGATGGCATATCTAGAATCATATTGAATTTTAAGAAGAGCACACTAATCACAATATTGTTCTTTATGTGTGTTAAGTAGATCCGTCCATCAGCCTGATTTTCTTGTCTTGGAACGCGAGTTATCATTTCTGATAAATACATGATCTATCAATAATATTATTTTTATAATTTTAACATCTCGTTCGGTTTAAATTTTCGTCATGTGAGTTTTTATAAGTGTAAGGAATCTCCCTATTTTCTTCTTCATTCTGGTCAAAATGAACAAAAGTCAGATTTTTACAAATCTTAAATATATAGTCTATATTTTACCCTATAATTTATCCGATAATAAAGAAACAAACGTTAAGAATGCAAATTTTTAGGGATATAATTTTTAATCATTTAATACTTCTCCGAAGGTAAAAATTATAATTTCTAAAACGTTTTTGCGGGAAGAACTATAGTGTTACTGAACTTGCTTTTGCAATATTGTTGTTAAAAATACTATTATCATTATAAATTGAGAAAAACTAACATAAATTGTTATGATAAATTTAAAGTAGATGAAACGTGCTTTGCCTTTGGAATGGTCGAAATATTTGGAAATAAATAAGAGGCACTTCTTGCATTGTATATATAAAAGAGAAAATCTATAAATAAGTACTAAAATATTGATGTAGCTTAAAAGATAGAATAATAACTTGTTGATTCCAAGAATACCCATAAAACTAGGATAATCGCAAGTTTATTTGTTTATTCTTAGATTTTGCAAATAAAACTTTTATAGATTTGATGATATCTCTAGATATACCCAAAATAAGGAGAGGAATAGACAAAAACTAAATATTATCAGTCAATCAGAAACTGAATCCTCTGTATATTTATATATAGAGGAAAATTGAACACCATTTTTGCTGAGGTGTCACTCCCATATTCTTAAACTTTTTTATTTTTGATTTACTTAATTATTTTATATTCATAGCCAAACAAAATTATTTTCATTATTCTCTATTTTGATTACTCTAATTCATATTTCCAAACACATTTATATATTCTTAAGAGCAAACCATACACACTTGACAGGTTTGCTGAAGTTTTAAGTGTGGGCGTACTATGCTATGCCCAAATTCAGAAAAGATAGCGGTGATCCCTTGCCTAATAATCATGAGCCACTGCTGCTGACATTCAAGGGAATCAAAGGAAAGAGATATGTTATTGAAAACATGAAGAAGCAGGTAATCCATTGCCTACATATTACTCAGTCAATGTTAATACTCGCAGAAATAATAACTTGCTTTGATAAATGTTTTGAAGGTTGTGTTCAATCACATGACAACTGGTGATAGGGAAAACATGTACCCATGTTAGGACAAGGATATAGAAGACTGTAAGGTTGACAACATCCTCAAGACCCTGTTCGGGGAATTCGGTGTATGATGGAACTGGAAACAAGCTGACTGGGCTTCAAAAGTGTTACTCGTGGCAAAGAATGTGAAGTCCAAGAAGCCAGAGAAGTCAGAGAAGTCTTATGGCAAGAAGACTCTCTGATGATAATAATGATGATGAAGCAATAAGTGCAAAAAGGGCTCGAATGTTTAGTTATTGATCCGCGGAACCCTCTGGTCATGGCTGGAATGGTCTTGAGGTGAAGATGGAGGAGCTGTTTGATCGGTTCACCACACAGCACTTTCCATAGATGAAGCTTGGGTTTAAAACTGTGATAAGAAGATTCAATTCCTCACTACTGAGGTGGTTGCGATGGGAAGCCTTGTTGAGAAGCTTCTGCATCCAATGGATGAGGAGCATGTGAAGTCCGATGATGCCAATGTTAAAAATGATCAATCTGGTGGTCAGGTTAGTCCCATTCATTCTCCACAAACTTCTAACAATGGTGCTCACTGTGATAACAAGTTTAGGCGTAAGAGTAATAGAGTGGAAGCCGCATTGAGGAGTTTATGTTTTACTTACTTACTTATCAAATTTGTGGCATGTTATTCATTTTCCGTTAAATATTTGTACCAAAATAATAAATCAAATCAAATCTTATGTTTTCATTCTAATAAATCTTGAGGAGTTCATTGCGTTTATATTAGAAGCGTTTCTGTGCTGTTTGAATGTACTTCTGCATAATACAACCCATTATTTATTGTGCCTTTGTTGTGTTCAAACAATGTTTAGAAAAACATTATATGGCTCCAGCCAAGAGTGTCAATGAGGAGGATTCAGAATGTCATTTTCTCCCGACACATATCCGAACTGCCGATGATGCTGAGGAGAAAAGGAAACAATACCGAGGAAGCTTGTGTCTACACAGCTAGGTGAATTTGAAGCGAACAATACCATTAAGAGGATCGTCCCTAACACGCCAAAACCACCTTAGACGAGGGATGAAATATGTCACCAAAGACCTCAGGTACCATAGAACCGCGTCATATGGTTGGCCAGGCGGTTCCGCGATATCCTTTCATTTCCTAGCTGGCTATAATGAACCGCTTATCGACCGGTGAGCGAATGAGAGGCTGGGGTATTGAGCAACACTGTGTCTGTGGAGAGAGAGATAAACAAGGGACGACCTTAGGGGCTGGGCTCTTGGGATCCACGGCTACACCAGATTGGGATGATATTTGGTGTGGAATCAGGTTTTCCAAATTCCTATCCCTGATTCTGCAAGTGCACATGTCAGAAGTACCAACGGGTATAGAACACAAGGACCAGATTGTTTACTACAAGGTATGAGATCGAGATTTAGCTAGGGGAAATTATAGGTTTGATTGTTTGTAACTAAAACTAAAGCAAGTAAAGAAAGAAAGGAAAGCAAGTAAATCTTAATTTAAAGCAATGAAGGGAGAAGAGCTAAGAAATAGGATAATCTCAAGATAAGTAATTCAAGTAGCAAGTTTAATTGATTAAGGCTCTAAGAGTTTGGTACCACCTAGAACTCAAGACATTAGTATAGATCTTTCCATCGTCGTGACTCCGGCTCCGGCTCCTATGATAACCTATCTAATCGCTAAACTTTTTGTATGTTCTTAGATGATCAAGCAAGCATTAAATTAAATGAGACTCAATTGTTCACAATCTACAAATAAATCAACTGTCGCAGTCTAGAAGAGATTTCCTACCAAATACTAGTTCAGGTGAATGATTTATCATTGTTGTGGCTCAAGTCTACCTAAGATCATATGTTGATTGGCCAGATCAACACCAAGCAATGAACACAAGTAAAGGTGAAGAGTTTATGTAAAACCCAAATTCATATAAATCGATTATCAAGCTAGCATGAATACTATCCTTTGATTTCCTATTACTTAACAGATAACGTACTCAGACATAGAAAAGGAAATCGAATCCATATTCATAAAAACAGAGATCCAAGATATAACAGTGAAAAGCAAAAGAACTTTAGTAAAGATGTAAAGTAAATTGTGCTCTCTCCTTCTTTTTCTTCTTCTTGAGTTACAAGTCTAAGAAGATGTATTTATAATGCTCTAAGTCTTGAAGAGCGGCTTGACCTAGGTCTCAATAGGCGGCATGAGTTTTGGGCTTCAAATCATGTGAAACGGGATTCAAAATTGCCTTGCGTTGACCGGTATGTTCGTGTTGTCGGTCGTCGGTATAGGCCGGTAGTCAAGTCTTGATGCTATCTCGGTGATTGCATGGAGTGCCAGCTAGTATTGTGTTATACCGTGATCCCAGATTCGCTTCAGAGTTTTGGAGAGCGTTTCAGGCTGAGATGAGCACTAAGGTGCATATGAGTACAGCATATCATCCGCATACTGATGGGAAGTCAAAGAGGACTATTCAGACCTTGAGGGATTTGTTGAGGATGTGTATGCTGGATTGGGATGGTCATTGGGCTGATCACTTGAGCTTAGTTGAGATCGCGTACAACAACAACTTTCAGACGAGTATTGGCATGGCTCCTTTTGAGGCTTTGTATGGGAGGCCATGTAGGACGCTTTTATGCTGGACTCAAGTGGGGGACCGCAACATGTATGGAGCTAAATATGTTCAGGAGACGACGGAGAAGGTCTGTGTTGTGAGGCTGAGCATGAAGGAAGCTCAAGATAGACAGACGATTTACGCAGATAGACGCAGGCAAGAGCTTGAGTTTCAGGTTGGAGATAGACTGTATCTCAAGATGGCTATGTTGAGGGGTTCTAACAGATCCATAGCAAAGAAAAAACTTAGTCTGCATTTTATGTGTTTGATTCCTGTAGTGGAGAGAGTTTGACCTTTGGCGTAAAGATTGAAGTTGCCTCCGATTATGAGAGCCTTTCACAAGGTGTTTGATGTGTCAATGCTGAGGAAATGTCTTCACCCTTCAAAGGAGTTAGTAGCTAGGATTCCTCAGGATCATAGGCCAGATTTGACGGTTTTGGCAGTTCTTGTGAGGATTCTGGAGAGGAGAGTCAAGGTGCTGTGGAACAAGAAGATACCGTTGTTGAGAGTCTAGTGGGATTGCAGTGGTTCAGAGGAGGAGACTTGGGAACCTGAGGCAAAGATGAAGCTGAAGTTCAGAAAGTGGTTTGACAAGCAGATCGCGAAGTGAGCTCAGTGGCGGATCTACAGCAACGAGGGTGTGGCACGTGCCCCACCCTAATATTAATAGCTCTCTATTAAGTTACTAGGCAATATGATTCTAGTAGCCTAAATGTCAACGTGTACCCCATGTACAACTTCAAGTGAAAGGTTCGAATCCAATTCAATGTTGCATGTTTCTTTTCTTTTCATTGATTTTTTGGCTTCCCACATCTTTTGTGTTGGACTGTGTTCCTCTTAACTATTTCTCATCGTTTTCAAGGTCTTTTTTTATTACATCTTTTTATTAAATAAAACTAGGAAAAAGTCCACGCTACGCGTGGGTGGTGTTGTTACATTTTTTCGTATAATTTGTTTTTTTTTCATGTTTGTAAAGCTTGTTAAAAAAATGTACAGTAGTCTCTCCAACCCAATGTATCTTTACTTTCTCGAGTTTATTTTTCTACCACTCATTCATTTCCTCTCTTTTATAACTTATGAGTCGCTTTGGCAAAACTTTGTGAATAACGTTAGTCTCAGATAATTAATTAATAAATTATCTTACAGTTGATTTAGGAGAATAAAAGTCACAAAAATGTCGAATGCATCATCAACTTTTAGTTTTATATTTTTTTTCTTCAAAAAAAAATAAACACTTTAAAATAAAAAACAGCATATATCTCAATTCCTTGATAATTCAGTTGTCTATGTTATGCCATAATTCTCACATACATCATAACTTTTGTATATGTATAAGAATTATAAATATATTCACAATTCATTTTGCCACCAAAAGATGATGTACTTATTTTTTTAATCTTCACTTCCTTTCAAGTGATTATTAGTTTTAGGGGGAATTGCCAAATCTAGACCACAATTTCATTTTTTCTAGTCAACTAGACCACAATTTGAATCAAATGCAAAAGTAACCTCTTTGGGTAGTAAAATTACCCCACAAGCCCTCATGACCAAACAAAAAAACGCATGCCTCGATTACGATTATAACCTCCGGAGCATGTAGATCTACCCGTAGATCTACCTGGTAGACAATGTTAGAGGTCTACCTCATAATAACATCTTAAATTTTAATTAATAATTCAATAAAAAATATTTTTATACAAAAACAAGTATGAATAATTCTAATATAGACATTATCATCTACAAAAAATATAAATGCATACAAATGAATCATTTATAGATAAGCAAAGACATAGGTTAATATCTATAAAAATGTTTGAGGTCTACCGAGTAAGTCTACTATATCATTAAATTTAAATTTTTATTATAAAAATTGAAAAAAAAATATTTTGAGGAAAATTATTTATACATAATTACAATACAGACAACTTGCATCTATCTAAAATATAATTTCATAGATTTGAACCAACTGAACTATGAAAAAAAAAAATTAGGTTAAAAGCCTATAAAACCATGAGAGGTCTACCAAGTAGGTCTACTAAATCATCAAATCTTAAATTTAAATTAAGAAAAATTTAAAAAATAATTTGAAATATTTGTTTCACAAATAACGAAATAATAACAAACATAATTTGAAATCATGAATCTATAAATATCATATGTAAATAGTTCATAAGGATAAGAGTTTGAGTAGATTGTTTAGGGTTTAATGGTGTAAGTTGTAGGGTTTTGAAAAAATTTAGATGAATAATTGTTTTTGATTGGTTTTACGATTCAATGTTCGTTTATTTGTAATATACATTGTAAATTGACAATATGGCAAGCAAATCGTTGCAAAATTGCATCTAAATTGTTCGATATAGGGTTTAGGGTAAAGTAGACCTAACAGGTAGACTAATAGAGTAGACGGAAGTGAAGGTCTACCAACCGTTTTAACCTAGCGGGAATCCCGAAGTTTCAAACCGACGGCTGAGATTGAATCGACGTTTCGGTAATTTCGTGGTAGACTAAATCGGTAGACAATTCGAGTAGATCGAAGCGGTAGACCTAAATCTAATTGAACCGGAATTTTTATTAAACCGGAATATTTATCTCATGATATAAAAGAAACAAGAAACCCTAATTTTGTTAAAAATAAAAAACCAACCCCTCTCTTAAACGGCGCTCGCCTCTCTCTCGCTCTCTCTCTCTCTCCGGCGTTCGTCTGTGGAGCCATCGGTGCTTGAGATCTGATCTGCGGCGGTTGCCGATGAGATCTTCGCAGGTTCTTCCTTTGGTTCCTCAGGATGAAGGAGAATCTCCTTATGCATAACATGTTTATCTTCGTTTCTTTTGGTTGTGGATCTGAGCTCCCTTTCTTTTTGTTGGTTTTGCAGATCTAAACTCTCTTTTCTTTGTAGATTTGAGCTTTAACAATAACTCTCTTTTCTCAAACGGCGCCTCCCTCTCCTTGAACCACCACCATTCATCTGTGTCCTCCAGATCCAGATCTAGAACCGCCGCAGTTGGCTTTTTCCCCTTCAGATCTGCTCAAGAAGACTTCTCCTCTTGACTCCCACGACCCTCCCTCCCGCCAGCTCTCTCCTCCAGCAATTACGGGGCGATTTCCAACCGTTTCATAAAGTATCAGAAGCTGATTTTGGTACCATCGGAAAGATCATTTTCTCAGCTTTCCATAACATCCAAAATTACGGTAAACCGAGTTATATTCAGAGAGTTATGGATATTTCTTCTTGTGACGTCAGATCTGTTTTAGGATATCAATTTATTTTTGTGAAGGTTTTGTGAAGCAATTTCCTGACGATTCGTAAGTCACTAGGAGTAGATCTACATGCGGTTTTGAAGATCTCCAACCCAACTTTTCAGATCTTCTTTCAGTTGTCCATTCAGAGGTATATTTCATCTGCAAATCAGCTCCAAAGTTTAGAGAAATTCTCTATTTCTGTTTCCAGAAAAATCTCAATTTCTAGTCTTATTCTTTCATTAAAAAAAACACTTTTCTCAATCAATTGCAAAACTAACCCTCCACGTGGAGTAGACCTAAGTGTAAGTCTACCACTCATTTTTTTTGTTTGCAAAGGAAATGGCACCGTCAACTCTGCGTTGACCAGTAGACCTAAACTCATGTCTACTATGTAATGGTAGACCTAAAATTCAGTCTACCTTCGCAGACCAAAACTGAAATTCGTTAAAATTTTGAAAGAAAAGTTACTTGGCCGTCGGAGAAAGTCTCTTCGATGGTTGATAACTTCAATTTGTGTCTTCAATTACGAGTTCCGGTCATCGCCGTAAGCTAAACTATTGGAAATGCCAAAACCCAAGATTTGAGTTTTCTTTTAAGTTTTGGGATGAAAATGGAGAGAAAATGGAAAAATAAGAGTTTGTGAGATGAAAGAAGGAGCAATGCTAGCTCCAAAGTGAGTTTTAAGAGCATTAACAGCTCCAAATTGGGTAAAAATGGTGGTTGTCAACATTGATTATATGGGTTTTTGGCAATTAAATGTAGATGATGAGGGGTGTTTGGTCTTTCAGCAGATCTGGTAGACCTAAATATCGGTCTACCAATCAAAAAAGTAATGGCATTCCCGTAATTAATTGAAAAAACAGGACAAACTTAAAATAAAAAAAACAGGAGGTTAGTTTTGCATTTGACCACAATTTTGGGTCTACATGTGAAACAATCCCTTAGTTTTATGCTCTTTTAGAAAATGCATTGTAAACTGAGAAAACTCTTCTTTAGAATATTTTTGTGTGTGTAGCTTGCTTCTAAACCATTTTCAAATCATATACAATCAATTATTTATTTGTTTCTTTTAAAGATGATTTTTTTTTCCAGTTTTTAATGCATTTTTTATCAAATAATATTGATTAATTGTATCTTTCAAAAAAAAAAAAAAATTGGTTAATTTTTTTTGAAAATTGTTATTACAAATGATGCATTTATAGTCTATTTTTATTATATATTTTTTTAGTATGTGTGAAAACTTTTAAAGAAATTTCTTTAAAAACGTAAATAGTATATTTTTGCTGTGTTTAGTGAGGGCTTAGAGCACATACAACGGAGAAATGATGTAAGTTTTTTTAATTTTTTTAAAATGATTTTCGGAAAAAAAAAGTCAAAACGTAATTGGGTTGTGACACGTGGCGAACTGTGTTAGAGAAACGTTTCCAAAACCTCTTCGGGAAGAGACGTTTCTTGTCTTGAGCCTCACACGTAGATAGATATTTTTTTTTTTGCTAGAATTTGATATAGCTGTTCTTTTTAAGCTTTGGAAATAGTATTTTTAGATCATTTTGAATATATATACCAAAGCATAGAGCAAGATTGCTTCGTGTTAAGTCTCTGATTCATGTTTTTCTGTAGCTCTATATATTCTTCCCCAATGACGCCAAAGTTGGAGTTAGTACGATGAAGATGTACACGAACCGGATGAAAGCAGAGAATGTCTTCAGAGCGATCTTGGTTGTTCAACAGAACTTGACTCCTTTTGCTCGAACTTGCATTAGTGAGATCTCTTCAAAGTTTCACTTGGAAGTTTTCCAGGTAATAAAGAAAAGCTCTGATTCGTGTTCTCTTCTTGATGATGTATGTATCACATGACAATCCTAAACCATGTTTTGGCTGTTGCAGGAGGCGGAAATGCTTGTGAACATTAAAGAACATGTTCTTGTTCCTGAGCATCAAGTTCTTACCACTGAAGAGAAGAAAACTTTGCTTGAGAGATACACAGTGAAGGAGACTCAGGTTAGTATTTGGTCTAGAATCATTGTCCATGGTGATGAGCTTTTAGTTTTTGTGTGATTAAAGTTTGGAACTTGTGTGTGTATGTGTGTAGCTTCCAAGAATCCAAGTGACTGATCCAATCGCAAGATACTTTGGGCTAAAACGTGGGCAAGTCGTGAAGATCATCCGTCCGAGTGAAACAGCTGGTCGTTATGTGACTTATCGATATGTTGTATAAGCAAATGAGCTTTTGTGGATTGCGAATGTAAAACGCTAGTCAGAGATTTGTGAAACATAAGAGAAAAATGCTTTTGTACCAAACTGTTGCCAACAGTGTTTTGTTTGTATATTAGATTTAAGAATTCAATCTTGAGACGAATGTTTTTATTCCAAGAACTGTCTAGTGGAGTAAGATCAATTCAAAATTTAGATCATTGCCGTATGTTGAAGCATCATGGTTACAAAATTTAACAATTGAGACAACTTAAAAAGCCAAATTGAAACCATTGTTTTGTTATCTGCAAGAATCATTTATGGAAGTGGCGAGATTCAACAAAAAATATTAAATAAAGAACAATCTCCTCTACTGAAGTAGAAGATAAAAAAAATTAGAAGATATGACATAACTTGAAAAAAATATGTTTGTTTATGAGGCAAGAAGAGGAGCTACAGATTTATACTAGACTCCTTGTAACTACTATTATTGCCGGGTCGGGTCAGGTCAAAACCCACCCAACACTTCTCAGTACGATCTGTTAGGATCCTTTAATCCAAACCCACCAAAGCTGCTCCTTCCACTTGACTGAGAAGAACGATCTGAACCAAATCCCCACCATAACCTGAAGAACGGTCTGAACAGCCTGAACCACCTGAACCAAAGCACCTGTAACCAGAAGAACGGTCTGAACCACCAGAATAACGGCCGTCTGATCCTCCTGAACGGCCACTGCTGCTACCATAACCACCACCACCACCGTAACTTCCACCCACCTCCACCATAACTTCCACCACCACCTCCATAACCACCTGAACGACCACCAAAGCTTGAACCACCACGACCTCCTCCTCCATAGGATCCACCAGACCGAGGACTCATTCCTTCAAACATGCTTGCGCTTCCACGTTCAACAACAATGCTTGGAAGCTGCATTATAAACCAAACACCAACTTTAGTCCACAAGCATTCAAACAAAAGAAACAAAGATGTTCAAAAAAAGTCAGAGTCTAAGAGAGTTTATAATAACCTCAGTGAATCTGCTTCCGACTTCTTTCTCAATCATCTTTAACAGCCCTGGATTGCTCTGGACCGTGGATGAGAATCGCATTTTCTTTCTTTCCAGCACGTCCTGTTCGCCCCGTTCGGTGAACAAACGTCTCAGTGTTGTTAGGAAGCTCATAATGAACACCTATTCACACAGGTATCAAAGGTTTGAGAAACAGAACTCGTTAAAGTAGCAAGAGAGAAAAAATGTAGTTATCAAACTCACCAAATCGACATTAGGCACATCAAGTCCACGGCAGCAACATCAGTTGCAACAAGGATATTGAAATTCCCATCTCTGAAACCAGCAAGTGTTCTTTCTCTCTGACTCTGTGAATATGTCACCGTGTAAGGCTTCGCATTTGAAGGTATTCGCTAATCCATACGCAAGACGATCAGCATCACGTTTTGTTTGTGTAAACACAATGCATTTACCTCCCTTAGTATGCTCCTACAAAGGCAAAATATATTATAAGAATCTTGCCATACATTTGGAGGAGATAGAGATAATAAGTTTAAAAGCATACCGCTACAAGAGGACCAATAATGCCTGCTTTTCCATAAGACTCTGCAGAGATTGAATACATTGTAATCCCATCTGCGAGTTTCTGATCAGAATCTCCAACCTAAATAACAGCCAAGGCAAAAATGTCATCTCATTAACAGCTCTGATAAACATTTTCAGTTATAAACAAACACATTAGCAAGTATGAGATTTTACTCACAAGATCAATCGTCAAAGGATTATTCAAATACTTCTTGGTGAGTGATCTAATCCAACTCGGCATTGTAGCGAAAACATCATGCTCTGACGTTTTCAGGCAACTTCTGCAATATGATTTCGACATCCTCGGCGAATCCAACTTGAAGCATCTGATCAGCTTCATCAAGAACCATAAACTGAACCTCTGATAGATTCAGAGCTCCTCTTTTCATCAGATCAATGATACGACCTGGAGTGCCTACAGCAACATCGATACCGTATCCAAGCTCCCTCATTTGCTGCCCGATCGGTGTACCTCCATAGAGACAAATCGTATCCAAGCTTGGAGCAGACTCTCTAAACTCCTTCTCAACCTGACGAGCAAGCTCTCTCGTCGGAGCTAAAACCACGCAAAGAGGATTCTTTCCACGCCTGTCACATCAAAAGTAGATAAACCCAAATGTCAAATCTTTGGAGAGTCACACTGTAAACACAAAGTCAAATCCAGGAACTTTAACAAACCCATGTTTAGCGTTGAATTTGATGATTTTTTCAATGATTGGAATCCCAAAAGCAAGCGTCTTTCCAGTTCCAGTCCTTGCATCAGCGGCTCAAGCACAGCTTTCTATTCAACCAAACAAACATGAAAAAACTCGAACTGTTAATTGATCCGATGCAGAAATTCGACAATCTCTATAAGCAAATGGTAATGGAGAAGAAGATCGAACCTGAATAGGAAAGAGTTTATCGATTCCTCTACCACTCAAAGCTTTGACAATCTCCGGAGATATCCCGAGCTCAGATATCGCGAGCCCATCACCGCCGCTGCTGCCACCGACACTCTCCGGAGTGAAGAAACAGCTGGGGTTTTAGGTCAAGTGATTGATACTCTGAATCTATCTCTTGTGCATTTGGTTCTTCATGATTCAGCTCTAGGGTTAGCTTCAAATTGGGTTTCAGAGAATCCCCAAATCGTTGGAAGCGTTACGCTTGTTGACTCCAGCATTAGCCCTGCATTGCCTCTGTGAGTTTTGCACATACTTGTGATCAGAGAGGTCTTGTTAGGGTTTGCGTTTGGGTTTGGGAAGCTGGTGAGTCTCCGTTGCTCAAAGGAGATGGTTTTATCGGAAATTGAACTCATATGATACTTTTGAAAGGAAGGAGTGGAAGAGAAGCTGTTGTTGGTTCGCTGAAGAAGCTAATCCATAGCTTTGACATTGCACAATGCGGTGATTCTGATGAGATCAATGGTCATTTACCACAATCGTGAGAGACATTGAATGTACATGGAAAACGGAAGGGTCGGCGTTTGAGGGAGATGAACTGTTATGGAACCAAGTCGTAGCGAGAGATATCTTTTTTAAAAGCGCATAAACTCTTTAAGTTAGCCAGGTGGCACTCTCTCCACTGCTGACGTGTCAGTCAGCTGGAGAGTGTTGGCCAACTTTTATAGTATAGGATTAATGAAATTTAAAATAAAGATATTTCAATTTCACGGATCTCGGATTGATTTGTGTGGCATATGATACATTGGCTGATCAAATTAATGGCATATGATGGTCTCATGGAGTTCTGGATGATATCTTGAAAATATGTGTCTTAACCGATTGGAAAATTATCAACAACCAAGATAAAAATGCACTCAAAAATATAATGATTTCTTTGAATATACATTTATTAAAATAATGAGTTTCTGTGAATAGGTGAACAAATGAACTTGTGGGAATTGAAGGATTTTCTCGGTTTGATGTCGATCTGGATATGCCAGAGGTGAATCAGTTGAGGGAAACCATGTAAGTTTAATTATTTCATAAAACAAACATGCTTCACAAAGTATAACAGAAATCTAATAATCTTCTATATATAATTTCTTAAATTCCAGTCTCGCCAACATGCACAATGAATATGAAGATGAAGACTCAGAAGATCCTTGAACAAGTCTAAATGCCAAGAAGAGCCGCAAACAAGAAGATGAAGAAGATTTTAGTAAATTGTGTTTTCCAATTTTCATTTCTATATTGAGGATTACTTTAATAATATATGTATAGGTCTTATTTTCATTTAAAGTTTTACATATTATGAAAAAAAATCTTAAATTCCTTGAAAATTAAACAAATTACATAGATATTCAGAAGAGATACTAAAATTTTACCTCATCACATATTATTACAAACAACTGAAATTCTAAATTTTCTCTAACCTGTGCTGGTGCGGGCCTACCACCTAGTTAAAAGAAGTGATTGTTGAAAAATGTTTAGATTAACAAAAGCAATATTTCTGAAAGAGTAGCCATTTTATTAGAACTAGAAGAGTACCCACGCAATGCGCGGGATTTTATATAAGTTGAGGTAAATCTTATATCATAAAACAAAATATCAATATATAGACTATTATACAAAGTTTTTAAAATATGATATACATGTGCATTCATAAACAACATTTTAGGAAACAACAACCAGCTATTTATGTCTTAATGTATAAATTTCATTAATCTTAGAGACTTCGTGATATTTATCTTTGGTATTTTATTTGTCGAATATATTTCATAAGTATGAAAAAGAGTTCGGTATTGTGGATTTATTATCACACACAAAAGAACGTAAAGTTTATGATTAAAGATACTAGGTTTGAAGCCCCGCGCAAGCGCGGGGTTGTTTGCGATAGTTTTCTGTTTAGTTTTATCTATACTTGTTGATTTGAATTATGATGGTTTTGTATTAACTTTCATGTTTTTGTTTATGTTTTGAGTTAACCCAATCACTAACATTAAAAATATGAACAATTTGTCTTTTATTTTATTTTATTAGGATGTTAACACTCCCACTTTATCTCGAGTTTTCTATTTCTAAAATTTTAGCATGTTATAAATATTATGTTTGTTTACTTCTGTTAGACTATAAACATGCATATGCATTGGACTCAACGTTAAAATTTGTAAGCATAATGTAAAATAGCATTTGGACCCGAAATAAGATGAAAAAAATAATATATATACTTTTTTACATATCTACTTTGTTGTGGTAGCATATGAGCCTCATAACCATTGATTATTTTCTATTATGTTAGTTTTGTAAATATTAATTATATTTTGAGACAAACATATCACAATCCTTAAAATTTTCATGTTTTTCACTGCAATTAAATTTACATATAAAAACTCGACTTCTATTTTTTAAAAATAAACTCTAACTCTAATTTCTCATTGGCTTTTTATTATCTTAATTAATTTATATTCAACTTTTTAACTTGTAAACACATTATAACATTTTGAAATAGGATAAATTCTTTTAATAAAAAGGTAAATATATACCATTTCAAGTTACATATATTTTTACTTATATTCAAACTTTTTGATAAATTTTAACATCAAGTTATCACATATTTTATATTAATTAAGTAATTTAGTTGTGTATTTTTCTTAGTTTTATTTATATTTAAAATATAAATATATGCAAAGAAATATGAAAAGTCATGTATTAAATATCTTAAAAACAATTTAATGAATTTTTTGTGCTGATGTGGACACTCTATATGGAGAGAGCAACTCCCTAATTATATATAAGATAGTGTAATGTTAATGTTTTATTTGTTTTCTCAGACGGAGTATTGAAACGAACTGGGTTAATATTATGGTTTCTTCTCCACGTTGCAATGTGTTTTTAAAAATCCAGCATCAAGGGTCCCATTGTTTTTTTTTCTTCACATGTTAACAAATGAATTACCAGCACAATTAACTCGATTGTTCCAATCTTTGACAAAAAGTCTGGTTTACAAATGCGAAGAAGTCACATGAGATCTCTTTAACTATATATTGTTTAAATATACCAAATGCATCTAAAGATTCAATATCATGTAAGAAAGTACCAGGAAAACAAACAACGATGAATAGCTTTATTTGGGTATGTTAACCACTCTGCATTTGGGTATGTTAACCACTCTGCAGGCTTGGACGATTTTTTGTTTAGTTTCTGGAATTTGCTCGAGATGTATTTAAAACTCCCATGCCTCCTCATGCAACCATGTATCCATCTGAGGATAGGAAAGTTTTTCTATCAACATTTGAAATGAAATGACTCTGATGTGCTTGCTTCATAAAAAAAAAATATTGCATTTCCGAAAATCATAAATACAGTGTATCTATATTTTTCGTTCTTCAAAATATAGTCACATAATTTGTTGAAATGGAAGGAAAAAAGCAGGAGAAACATACCTTCGTATATCACATCAGGTAAACACCTTCAGGGGTTTGATATAATCTTTGAATATGTCTTCATTGGCCAAAGCAAATCTTCTCTACTAATTATTTTTCTTTTCTCTCTTTGGCACCTATCACTCGTTGCTATAAAAAATGTGCACAACATCATCATCAAAACTCATTGGTAAATGGTAAAGAAGAAAAAGAGAGAAAAGACCGGAGTCTATGAGTCTGATTGAGATCTTACCCGCTTGATCACAATACTGTGAAGAGAGAGTGTCTGTAACCGACAATTAGGACACGTAGAACATTTTGACATCAACTTTTTGAGATAAAGCATCAACCGTATCACTGTTCGATTCTCCGTGCTGCCAAAAGAAGAAGAAAAATATGTAAAGAACAACGTGTATGTATACATTATACAAAAACTTGTACTATATCTTATAACCTATATGGCTTTCTTGAATCTTTTTACCTCTGATTTGTCTCTTTGTTTCACGCCTATGCATTTAGATGCACTGATGCTGGCACTTTTCAGCAAGCTACGTACACTGTAACCCGTCGTCCCGTTCCTGTAATCCAAGCCCTCCTACTGTGACTTGGGAGGGATTTCGAGGGTCATGGCTAAAGAAGCTGCAGACATGTGGTTCTCGATATCGTGATTGTTTTATCCATTCTCTTCCTTAGGAGCAGGGACTCTCTCTCTGCAACAGAAAGGTACCACCACAACACATGTGATGTTCAAATACTACAAGTCAGTTTTTGCTCCTTTTGGGATATGGTTTAGTTTAATTGTGTTCTTTACTATATGTGTGTTATGGGAGAATTAGCAGACTGGCCCATATATTATGCATCTGTAGTATTCTTTTTCTCCAGCAACTTCAATCGAAAGTCAATTATCAAAAAAAAAAGAGAAGAAAGAAAGATTGTATACCTAGGCAAGGAGGCGTGTTGGCGTTGAAGAGGAGAGCTTCTCTCACCCTTACCGTAATGTTCTTCAAGATGAGCAAATTGTCTCTTAAACTGATCAACACCACTGCATTTTCATTTGGATTACAAAAAAAATTATTTATCTTACTGCTCATAATCCGTAGTAAGATTTGAATACAGACTGTAAATGTTATAATATTATTACCTTGGGTACATGAAGCTAGTCTGTTCTCCACCTCGAAGATATTCATCCAGCATCTGAGGATGATACTCCAATATCTGCAATGTTTCTGATACGAGCCAACTCTTTAGACCTAGCTCGTGTTGTAGCTCCTTGATAAGCAATTGTGAGCTCAAAGAGAATAAGAGATTGAAAGACATAATTAGCTAAGCTTCCTCTTAACCCTAAACTCTTGGAGCTTTAAGGTTAATTCTTGGAAGTTGATTTCTTATTGATAATAAGAGGTCCTTATATAGATCCTCAAACAAACCGACTAAGTATGATTAAAAGGAAAATTAGCAAAACCTTAATCTAATTTTGCACGAGTTAATTTTGCCACTATTGTTCAGCGCTTAACCAATCCAAACTAAGTTTAATGAATCGCAAGAGTTAGACATCAGTGTACCTCTCTGTATATCAATTCTCTCATGTTTTCCTTTGTTATTTTCCTTCTTTCAAACTCAAACTCGAGTTTTGGAATCGGTTGAGTAGATGGTTCTCGATCCACGTTTGCCAGACCATGGAAGTAAGGATCTGCCAGTGCCTGTATATCATTACACACACATGTATACATCAATGTTTCTTTGCCTGAGAGCAATTGATTTCGCTCTCAAACTTTTCAAGGCAGACGCTGAAAAGACACTGGTATAGAGGAGCTTTACCTCTTCAGCTGTAGGACGGTCTTTGGGATCAAACGCAAGAAGACGGTGCAGGAAGCGTAGGGCCAACGGGTCTACATGAGGAAATTTGTGAGTGAATGGAACTTGCGGTTTTCTCCTCATGTTTCCGAGATATCTCCTTGCCTTTTCATTACGAATCTGAAGCAAGACAAAACATTAATCAACCATTTCAGGAAATCGAAAACTGATCCAACCCTGGTCTAGTAATGTTATAACACTCCTAGTCTCCTATTTCTGTGGGGCCACATACCTACGCCATGAGCTTTCCTACCAATTACTATAACTCTAACCCAAGTTAGGCCTAAACTAATTGCCACCAAACCATGGCTGTAAGAAAATAATCATAGCTTATAAACTTTTAACTCATAAGACATCAACGAAACTCAATACTTGGGCAAATTGTAGCAATTGGAAAATAAAAAAGATGAGCTTAAACTGACTAATACCAACTAACCCTTGAAATAGCTTCGGGTGGAGGAGTACCAAGCAAATCAGTCATAATATCCAATTGGTGCACCACATTCTTCCCAAGAAACAATGGCTTCCCGGTCAGCATTTCTGCAAATATGCATCCTATGCTCCATAAAACGGAGGTAAGATTAATGAGTGAACCCATAAAACGGAGTCACAGACGATGAGAAGAAGCCGGAGCAAAATCTATAAAACGGACAAAGCATTGGTGGAATTCGCACAACTCCAATCGTGAAAGGTAAATGTGCTATCGTGGAAGCTGTCACACGAATCCTGACTGCTTCTCATGGGAAAACTCCAGGAAGACCATGCGTCGCAATCTCATGGCTCATATGAGCTTGATGGAGAGGGCGACGGCAACAAAATTCTGAGGGAGTAAAGTAGTATCGAAGAAAGAGAAAGGCGATGTGGATATAGACCTTTATAGTGGAAGAAGCGAATTGAAGGCGCGTTGACGTTACGGCAGGAGTTTAAGGCGGCCATTACCGTCTGTAGCGGCGGATAGGAAGAGAAGGGAACAGTCTCCTCGGAATCGAGACGATTTGGGGGAGAATAAAATTGTATTAACCTAATAGAAAAGCTACGTCGTTTTGGGGCATAATTAAACATTTCGAAGGGAATGATTAAACGATGTCGTTTTGGTGTAAAAAAAAAGATGAGAACGCTAAACGACGTCGTTTTGGCGTTGGGCGAAAAAAAAAAAAGTGCCACGTGTCCTCCAGCTGGAGAGTGTCCCAAGCCTTATTAGTTATGTAGATTCACCCGTCTTCACAAGTGATGATAATTGTCGGCAATACTCTGCATCCGTTAGCATCTATACTATTAAAACTGAGTCACAAACTTAAGGCCTATTCATGTAGCCAAACAAGACTAAACCCGAAATTAACACTAAAATTAAGAAAATAACCCGACCCGATCCCTGAATGAAAACACGCGGATCTTGAGAAATCAAACTTAAATCAAACCGGATTTTCAGAAGAAACCGGCGACCAATTCAATTAGAAACCTGAATATTCCATGAATATTGCGTAATCGGCAACAATTACACAATAACGATATCTTTGGAAACTTGAATATTATATCTCCATGAAATAAGAATGCGTATAACTAATTCGTAATCTTAGGCACAATCAGTATATTCGGAACTAAATGATTGAAAACCTAATGACCATAAACTTCAATCACCATAAATGTGTAGAGGGACACAAAAGAAAATTACCAAAAATTTGAAAGCTTTTCTGATCACATTTGCAAGTATGTGAAGCGATTCAATGTGTGAAGATTCATTACCAAAAAAGAATGTGTGAAGATTGACAACCATAAAACCAGGATCTAATAATGAGTGGAAAAATATGATATTTTTGAAAATTTGAACTTAATAACAACTTTGGGTAAGTTAAATATTCAGCGATAAAAAAATATAAATAGTTGCGTAATCTTAGGATCGAACAATATATTCAAAATTTAACCATAAAAAAAAAAAAAAAAAAAAAAAAAAAAAAACGTTCAAAAACATTTAAGAGAAGCCCTAAGGAGCAACCTTAAACACTATAAATACGTGTAGAGCAATCACACAGAGAAGTGCATACCTCGAAAGTTTTCTTCGCATGTTACACATTACTTTCGAATGAATTCTATCTAATAGTTATATTTTAATGGCATGTTATACATTACTTTTCTAATCATTATTTGTATTCTTTAGAAAAACAGATCAATAACTAATGTGTTTGTGGTTTGCTTGACAGACAAACCAGGCTTCGACTGTAAAAGAGTTTGTTTCATGTCTCTTATAGCCGTGTTTGCTTGCATAGCTACACACAGGTTCGTCCCTATAGTTTTGTTTCAAGAACCAGAAATCGATTTCCCTTTGACGATTGTATTTTGTTCTGTTTATTTATTCATTAATGTTACAAAAAAAACAATGAATTTAGGCCATAATTACAATGTCCAGAACCGACCAATTGTGGGTTAAAGAAACATGTACATCGTTATTTATTTCGGTAATGTATCATAAAATCAGGTTTTTAAAATTAAACATACAAACCCATAAATATCTCATTTTCATCATACAATTAGGCTCATAAATACCTCATTTTCATCATACAACTGAATAATATCTTAGCCCTAAATTAAACTAATAATAGTTTAATCATCACATTCACCTAATTAGCATAATTAATGTTTTTTTATAAGATACAACAACCCGTGCTGTAGCAGCACGGGTCAAGATCTAGTGTTCATTAAACTCTGCAGCGAATTTGTGGCTATAAGTTTAAGTTATGTTATCAATCAAAATCTCTTTACTAAAAAGATAGAGGGAAAAGGTATATAAATATTTGATTCATGTCACGCAGCTCCAAACTTATCTTTTGTATTCAATTTTGGTTTATCAAGAGAAAAGAAAAATAATTGTATACCTTCCACTTTTAACTTTCTGACCACGTGTTTGGCCTTCAAGCATGTCTTTTGCTCTGCTTTCACATTTTTATTTTCTTCGCTCGTACACCCTGGGTTATAAGAGAAACTTATAGAAACATATTTTGGTCAATAGGGAAGTTGTGATGGCGAGTTTGGTCGGAACAGAAAAGAAGATATGTTGGAGGATCACATCTTGGCTTCATCACATGTATCAATAGCTAAAGCCTAAAGCAATACACACAATATCATTACTCCTCTCTTCCTACAACACAATACCAAAATAACAGAGAAGACGAAGATGTCACACACAACCGAGAAAACATTCCATTATACAGTTCAGAGATCCAGCAATTGTCTACTCAGGAAAGGCGCGAGTCCCATAAACCCAACAACCATTATCTAAGAAAGAGTCTTTTAGCACAATAAACAAAACAATTAATAGGAAGACTAAGATATATATCTTGGGGCTGACCCGCGTTTTGCACAGGTTGTGTTAGTTTTATACACATATTATTTAAATATAATTAAAGTTAGACAAAAAATTTGTACAGTCTTGGTCCATCTCCTCCAATTTTGTTCATTTTCATCGTGTACGTTCTTTTCCGTCCTGTCTGTCCTGTATGTCCCGTCCTGTCCAGTCTCATACAATTCCATTTTGTTATGTCCCATTTCGTTTCATCTCGTCTTGTTCCCTAAATATAATTAGGGTTAGGCATAATTCTGTTCAATTCTATTTATTTTCATCTTGTCCCATTCTTTCTCATTCTGTTTATTCTGTCCGCCCCATCCATTCATATGCTATCCTACTATGTTCTTTTCCATTTTATCTTGTCTGTGTCTTGTCTCTAAATATAATTAGGGATAGGCAAAATTCATGTCATATCCCTTTCCATCCCATTATGTTCATTTTCATCTCGTCCCATCCAATCCCGCCACATTCTATTTCTTTTCATTCTATCCCGATCAACATTCATGTCTTGTCCTCCTCTAATTATTATATTTAGAGGTAGGCGGAATTTATGTCTTTGTTCTATCCCGTTCTTTTCTATTCCTTTAGATCTCGTCTCGTCACTTAATATAATAAGAAGTAAACAAAATTACCCTATTCTCCAGTTCTATTTTTTTCGTCTCATTATGTGCAATCTCGTAATACTAAAAAAAAAAGGTTTCTTTCTATGATATCTTTTTATTATTATTATTACTAAATAATAGTTTTTGTAGATCTATACATAATATTTTCTTTTTAAAATCATTTTTCATATTCTTATTAAGTTACTATAGTAATAAATGATAATTATTATAAAAATTAAAATAGAAAAAAAAATATAATAAATAAATTGATATACTGAATTTAGAGACACCCTCTTCTACTAATGTGGCAGTACCATAATAGAACTGCATGAACTTTATATATATATATATAGATATAGATAAGGTACCTTTATGCATACGTTGGTTTTCTTATGACCCTGTACTCACCCACGGTCTCTCAAACTGACGAGCAGAAGGTTACAGAATTAAGAAATTAAAGATTTAAGAACGAAAAGTAAACAAACAAAGAGATCGAGGTTTTCTCACAACTGTTTTTCTGATCTCTTATAATCCTCTGTTTCTAAACCTTCTGTGACCTAAAAAATATGCACGATCACAAAATTATAACCTAACATACGTTACATATCAAACTCAAATAAAATAAACAAATCACAACAAAGAAGTCAAAACTACTCAAATATAAATTTAGAAGGATTATTTAAGAAAGTAAATCTTCGTCAAGCTAAGAAGAGATTAAAAGAACAGGAAGATGAAAATAAAAGTATTTAGATGATATATAGTAAAAAAGTTTATCAAATAAATTAAACAATTATTATTAAAAAAGGTTTACTAAACAATATCATTATCTCTTGTGAGACTGAATGAGAGGGCTCTTTTCTCCAAAATCACTTTGGGAAATAGTAGTATAGAAAACTTAACAAAATCCCGAAAAAAAAACGAAAAAAGAAACTAAAACCGGAAGCAGCCAATGAGTTCTATCTCCGAAGATGACTTGGGAGCAAAAACCTCCTACGCTTGCACCAAAAGCTCATCTGACTTTTACTGCCTCCACTTCATAAACTAGCCAAGCATTCTTAGGCACAACTTCATTCAATCCCTTTTCTGCGTACCCGAGCGATGGAGGAATTACGAGCCTTCTCTTATCACCAACTCGCATCCCTGAGAATTATAGGTGCAACCATATTCTTTAAGAAAAGATATCAAAATCTATAAATGTTAAAGCTGAAATCATATCTATACATACCTTCAATGCCAATACTTAGACCTTTTATGACATTTTTTTCACCTGCAAGGAGCATTATTATAAATAAATAAAAATCAGATTGTTTTGAGGACGAGAGAAACAACAATGACTATGAGGATTCTAAGATATCTATGAAATCTTTACCTAAGCGAAATCTGAATGGAGGTCCTCCTAAGTTTGATTGAAACGGTTTCTCGGTGTCTTTTAGCTTCCCGGTGTAGTTTATGCTCACCTGAAACAACCATCAATAGTTTATAAAGAACTGAAACAGCATCAAGATTTTATTAAGATGTACAACAATACTTTACCTTTTTCCCATCGGTAGCTACTTTTCCATCTAAATGTTCTCTTGCAATCTCTTCGATTACCACTTCATTTGATGGGATCACTAATTCTAGTGATTTTGTAGTAACAGCTTCTTCATCGATGTTCCTATTCATCAGGGAAAAACAAATTATACTATATACTATTGAAGTTTACCAATTAAAAATATCTATTTAGATATGTCTCACTTTTTGTTCTTCTCTAGACACTCAGATAGATTTTTCTGGACGTTTGTAGTTTCATCCAATGTCTTATTCTTTCTCCTCCTTTTCTTTAATGGAGTTTCATCACCACCATTCTCAGAGAGTAATACGGCACTTGATGGTTCGATAACCCTATCAAGTGCAAGACATGATATAACAATTGCCATTAAAATACCGTAATACCAATAAGGAAATTAGTGCAGTTTAACAATGACATCAACTGGGTTTGAAAACGTGAAGATGATTCCTTTTGTGCTTGCAATTAAAACGTATCATCTTCTCAAACCATGGATGGATAGCATAAATAATTTACTTGATTATTATGGTACCACTTACTTGTCAGTAGCTTGAACACTTTGAGGCTTTTGTGTACCCTCTCCATCATCTACGACAATCACATCTGACTTCTTAGACTTTTCCTTCTTTCGTCTTTTCTTGGACAAAGTTTTAGAGACTTTCGTAAGGGGAGAAAGTTTCACATCAGGTAAGGGTTTATCCTCCCTGACATATTAAACATATTTGGATTACAAAAGCGTAAGACTTAAAAATATTAAGATACCAATACTAAAACTATTAAGCCAGTGACTAATGGGTGATACTTTTTACCTTGTATCGAGAGTCATATGGCTATGAGCTGTTGCTTCCGCTGCCTTTTCACACTCAGCATCAGGCTTGTCAATTTCCAAACTCGAAGACAAAGCAATCGCTGTAGAGATTTTGAGGCCATCTTCGATATTGCGTACTTGTACACAATCACCATCGCTGGAGTCATCAGGTTTCGCGGAAGTTTTATCTGATTCTGAATCAGATACCTGAAACTTCTTCCTTAGTCGTCTACGGTTTCCATCTCTGTTTGCTTTTTTATCTTTCCACTCCATAACAGATACTGGAAAAGAAGACAAACTAAGATCATCAAAAACGGATAAGAGAGACTGAAACAATCCCCAAACTATTTTCATGTAAGATATACGCGAGATGCAGCCATCCGTGAAGAGAATACTAAACAAAAACGGTGGTTCACTTAAAAAAATTGCAATGCTAAGAAACCTGAATACGTTATCTCTGATTTAACTGCAAAATAACTCGGCAAGCACAATGATATAGCTAGACTGAAAAGAAGTAAATCCAAGTGTATATCTAACCCTGAAGACAAGTTCCAACCAACAAAGCAAACAGAAGCTCAGAAGATACAAGAGTAGGAAACGGTATACCTTCATCATCATCGGTACTAGAGGGGTATAAACGGCAAGCAGATGAATCATCGTCATTTATGAAGCTATCACCGCAGTCATAGTCGTCATCGCTGCTACCTTTGTCCATATCTGAGTTACCAACATCTTCTCCGTATGACTCCCTGATCAAGTCAAGGAAACAATACAAAGCCACAATCTTCGTCTATGAACGAAAGCAATAATCCAATATGAACTTTAATCTTAAAAGGATACGATTCATCATCATTTTGGCTAGAAGCTGTGCTCTTTCCCAGGAAGTATCCAGTCAGATGAATGGTATTCGGCCCAAGCACGGAAAAAGTTACATCCTCGGCTTCTTGGAACTCCATGTGCAACTGGCAAGACTCAATCTTATCAGGAGACAGGCTACATAAGAAGACGGGACTTTTGCTCCCAACGTTACACTGAAGAATGCTTCTTGCCGCTGCATTTCCAATCCCCAATGTCGCCTAAACCAAGAAATAAAACACAAATATCAGCCAAAAAACAAAAAGAAAACAACTTTTTTTCCATGATCAAATCAAGAGCAAACCTAAAAAAAATTAACAAAACAAGAGAAAATCTAATGTTCAAGATACACAAAACTGGAAAAATTAAACGAAATTTTTACCTGCGAGAGATGAAGTCTTTTTCTCTCCGTACTTTTCAGAGTACAAGGTCTCCCTGATTTAACTTCAAGTCCTGCAAACAAAATAAATCTCTCATCAACATGAGAGACTTTGTGATTATTGATATATATATATATATATTTGTACAAATAACAAACAAATAAATCTCTCACCCCAGAAAGCCATTGAAATGCTCAGAGAAAGAAAGGAAAAAAATTGTAGATGCTAATTAACACTGGTTCTTTTGGTTGCTCTCTGTCTATTAGGCGACGAGGATTTTATTGGCGGCGAGGGTTTAGGGTTTATTTTCTCGGCGCCCTTGGACACTTTTGATTATAGAAATATATCAATTAAAGAGATTTGATAGATGCTTAAAATTGATTCCATCTAGTAATGGACGATCTAATATTATTGCCCGTTTCATTGAATCACACAATCTTTTGTTTCCTCAAAATCCTAGTTTCAAATATGGCTATTTCTCAAGATACAAACCGTGTTCACGGTTAGGAAGCAGAGAAGATCCATCCAAATCCAATGCTACGGTTGCACATGCATATAAGAAGAAAAAAAAAAAAAAACCAAAAGAAATAGCTCAAGTAAATTATTGCAAGACATAACATTGAATCATTAGTTAGATTGATCCTCAGAAAAGGTTTACCACATAATTCCAGATCTGTTTATTTAATCATTGTAACATTGAATCATGTCTTGATCCACCTCAGAGAGATAAGGTTTTGAATGGTCCTTGACGCTCTGACATATGATTAATAGCTAACTGCATCTACCAATCAAGAAGGCAATGAGCAACTGTACCATAACAGGAATCAAATCCATTCAAGTTTTATAGAAATGACTCATAACACTAGTATTGATTATGTATTGACAGATTTCTCTCCAGCATTTCCTGGATTATTCAGTTGAGGAAGCTATAGCAATGATAAAGTGTACTTACTTGTTGCTTGACAGGTTCATGAAAAACAAAGAGCCGCCATTACTTCTCTATAGGCTTCTCATCTTTTGAAAGGACCAGTGACTCACTCGTTTCTTCAAGATATCTCCGTGTAGGCTTCCCAGCTCTTTTCACAGACCTATATTCTCCTCCACATTGAATCAATTCGTGCTCTTAATCTTCTCCCAAAAACAGTAGAAACGGTACATAAACATTGTTTATAGAAGTACCTGGATTGTCGAAATCAAAAGCCGGATGAGAGATCGGTGCCGGAATAGGCAGATATGCGATTACGGATGAAGGAATCACCGGAATTGGTGGTCCTTGAGCTGGAGATCTTGTGTTGTGCGGCGAGAAGAAATCGCACCTGAAGTAGCTCGAGTTGCTCGTCGAGTAGATTTGCGAAGAGTAGCCATAATTTGGTGAAAAAAACGAAGCAATTGATCAATCGGAAGAAGGAATCCGACGAATCGAGGTCAAAAAAACGAAAATCGGAAGCTCGGATCAAAAGTGTTGAATGTTGATTCAACTCTCTGATACAATATTAGAGAAATGAAGAAGAAAGAGGTTGTAAACTGAACTCTCAACTCATATTTTCGTTTCTCTTAATTGTTTCGATACAAGAGAAGTCTCCTTAAAATATGGAGTTGGTACAACAAGACTAAACAGGAAATACAACTTAACCAATTCTATTTAAACCAATATTTCAATAATGTATTCCTAAATATAGCAAGACGTCAGAATTTGGAAGCGCTTCGATTAATCAATTTGATATGGATTCCAAGTTTTCACCGTCCTAGGTTTTTTACCCGCGCATCTAATGAAATTTTAAACTGTTATATTTAATTTTTTACAAACGCTTCACATTTTTTATTTTTTTTGCTGTTTGTTTTTTTTTTATAAAACTTTTCTTTGTAATATACTTTTTAATTATTTTTTTACTTAACCAATTTAATTATTTTATAATTAGTCAGGTACTTTTTAAAAACATATTTTCTGTAAAAACATACAACATCCTATCCTCACATTTCTTAAATTAATCCCTTAATTTTACTATTCATTAGACACTTTTTAATTTTTTATATCCATTAAAGGTCATCGGCAAGCTTTTGTACAATCCAATATTAGTCTAATACATATTTTAGTTGTTAATTTCTTTTTAATTTTATTTATTAGTTTAGCTTTTCCAGCTCTGAGTTTATGATTTATACTTAATTTATTTATCTATTTTTTTAGTTTAATTATTTTGCATTCAATTCCATTTAATAAATTCATCTCTTTATTTTTAAATCACTGTTTTGATAGTTAAAAAGTCTCATATATTCCAAACTTTTCTTTTTCGTATCCTGTTTAATTAATAACCGCGTTTCCAATTCCCGGTTCCATTGTTTTGGTTTTTTACGGTTCGGTTTTGCTATCACATTGAAATAAAATCGAACAATGTTTCTACCTTATTCCCACCGGAACATTGTTAATCTCATCATCGAGATCCCTCTTCTTTGTTTCTCATCTTGGTTATTTGCCTTAATCCCTTGAGCGATTGAGACTGTCAAAACTAATTTGATCAATTGATTGAGGGAACAGTTTCTGCTTTAATCCCTCTTCCGAGACTTTATTTCTCTGTTTCTTCTACTGATTCTCTCAAGCTAATCACTTCGTGAAAGGTTTGAATTTTCCCTATTTTGAAGCCAGTTTTGTTGATGTTGAGATTATGTGTTTAGCGTTTAATCTATTTCTTCCGATCCGAATTTGTGATAAATCTATAACTCTAGGTGATGCCAACTGCTCCGCCAAGTTCCAGAGACTCAGAGATGTCTAATTTTTCAAAATTGTCGCCTTTCGATGGACGTTACTGGGGTAAAGCTAATGACTTTGCCTCTTCCATGAGCGAGTTTTCTTTTATCAATTTCCGAGTACTTGTCCGGGTACTTGTTTCTCACCCAAGTGAATGTTTATTATCTAATTTATGATTTTGTTCTTTTCATTTTTGTGTTGACTAAGTATTTGCGAGTTCTTTAGTTGTCTAATGCTCTTGTTTTTTTTTATATATATTTGGTAGATTAAATTGCCTCTGTATCTTTCAAAAGTCCCTCAAGTCACCGAAGTTCCATGCTTTTCAAAAGATGGTGATGTCTACTTGCAATTCATATTCGATGTGTTTAGCATTGATGATACGTTGGAAGTTAATAAGGTCGAGAGAGTAGCATATGATGATGTGAAAGCTGTGGAGTATTTCTTGAAACAAAAGTTTGAATCACAGCCAGAGATTGCCAAGGTTGGTAAACTTTCTCTCTGTTCCACCAAGTACTTAGAAACATCTATTCTAATATGATGTAGTTACCTTTTTCACACTGTCTGAGAAGCTGCCATCTGTCCTGGAACATTTATGTCACTTGTGTACCTTTTCCAAACAACTCCTTCTTTTTTCATAAATTTTTAACTCTTCTTCTTAATAATTGTTTCTCATAATTCCAAACTATGCGACTGTCGAGATTGAGATCTAGGTTTAACAATACCGGCGTCAAGATCTTCTACAGAACACAGAACGTACGGTCATGGTCCTACCAAAGCTCTCCTCATCATAGGTCTCTCTCTCTCGAGCTTGATTTCAATTGGGATTGCGATTGAATGCTCAATTGTTTCCTCAATTTTCTCCTTTTCTGTTCAGGTTTAACCGGAACTCATGAATCATGGGGGACCTCAAATCAAAGGATTGATTGGAACGGATAAACTCAACGACGACGGAATCGTTTCTGATGATTCGGAAACCGGCCAAAGCATGGAGGTTCTCTTCTTTTGACAATTGTGGTATGGGTCAAAGCTCCGTGCCTTCCCACAACTCTGAGTACACGTGAGTCTTGCCTCTCTATATTGCCTCCGATTTTGTTCACGAATTCCCAGTGAAATTGGCTTTGTTAGCTTCACTCAATTTGCTTTCGTCCTTTTCTGTTTTGGATTACAACAACGATAATGGCAAAAGATTCGATTAATTTGTTGGATCATTTGAGATGGGAGAGAGCTCACATAATTGGACACTCTATGGGTAAATTGTGTTTGATAATTCAAGTGGCTTTTGTTTTTATTATTTTTTCTAGCCAAATTGTATCTTCTTCTTATTGTTGCTCTCTTGGATTTTTTACTTAACAGGAGCAATGATAGCTTGCAAGTTAGCTGCAATGGTGCCACAAAGAGTCCTTTCTCTCTGATGTTTCAATAGGCTTATGTGAACTGACATGACATATGGGCGAATTAAAGTCTAGGTTTTAAAATCCATCAATCTCGAACAAATCTTGCAATTTAGGGATACAATTTGCCTGCCTTGCTCTAAGCTTGCTTCAAATTACTGCCAGTGCATTGGATAAAAAGGAAACCAATTTCAGTGTTTATAAATCGAGCTCTGAAATGATCATAAGACTTATTTCAACCATCTTCTTTCTCTATATTTCACGCTCTTTACATTTGCTTTTGATTTATCCTCGTTTGTCTTGATAATTTCAGTGTCCAGGCGTCGCAGCTTACGTTAAGACGTTTCATCCTGATTGGTCTCCCTCCATGATCAAATCTGCCATCATGACAACCGGTAATCTAAAATATAAAATAATGTGATGTTCGTGGAACGATGAAAGCTTTGCTAGGTTTAATTGCATTTGTTCGGAAAACTGATTCGTTTTCAGGATGGCTTATTGGATCAACTCTTGCCTCAGGTACTTTCATAATGATGTAAATATTACTGTCACCGGTTTGTATATATAATAACACAATATTGAAAGGATTTTGAATCTAGATTGAATGTGTTTCTGGGACATATAAATCTCGGGAAATAATTTAGATGTTACATAAATCCCTAAATATCCTCATCCCCTTTAATCCCTCATTACCATAACTGCCATTTTTGAGGTGCTCGCAGACACAGGGAAAAACTTACCAGGTTTGTAAACTAAATTAGTTTCATCCAAAAAAGGTAGATTAATTATTAGTATGGTCTGCTAGGATATGATCAAACCTATTTAGTAACATCTTTTCGTTATTGTTTCTTGTAGATATTGTGGTACAGATATCAAGCATTCGGACTGCTGATAAGCTAGACACCACAAAATCTCCTCCAAGGAAGACCTTCAATCTTGTCCTGACTTGCACGTTTGACAGGTAAAAAGCCACCCACAGTTACTATTTTCCCTATCTGTCTTTCTCATTTGTTAGTAATAATGTCTTGATGATGGTTACACAGTGGTGAGTCAGCTTTCATATCCCTGTGGAAAAAGCATGCTCGTCAGATCAATGAAGAAATTGGGCCCAGTGGTGAGTCATCTATCTATCTATTCTAATATGATGTAGTTACCTTTTTTCACACTGCCTGAGAAGCTGCCATCTGTCCTGGAACATTTATGTCACCTGTGTACCTTTTCCAAACAACTCCTTCTTTTTTCATAAATTTTTAACTCTTCTTCTTAATAATTGTTTCTCATAATTCCAAACTATGCGACTGTCGAGATTGAGATCTAGGTTTAACAATACCGGCGTCAAGATCTTCTACAGAACACAGAACGTACGGTCATGGTCCTACCAAAGCTCTCCTCATCATAGGTCTCTCTCTCTCGAGCTTGATTTCAATTGGGATTGCGATTGAATGCTCAATTGTTTCCTCAATTTTCTCCTTTTCTGTTCAGGTTTAACCGGAACTCATGAATCATGGGGGACCTCAAATCAAAGGATTGATTGGAACGGATGAACTCAACGACGACGGAATCGTTTCTGATGATTCGGAAACCGGCCAAAGCATGGAGGTTCTATTCTTTCGACAATCGTGGTATGGGTCAATGCTTTGTGCCTTCCCACAACTCTGAGTACACGTGAGTCTTGCCTCTCTATATTGCCTCCGATTTTGTTCACGAATTCCCTGTGAAATAGGCTTTGTTAGCTTCACTCAATTTGCTTTCGTCCTTTTCTGTTTTGGCTTACAACAACGATAATGGCAAAAGATTAGATTAATTTGTTGGATCATTTGGGATGGGAGAGAGCTCACATAATTGGACACTCTATGGGTAAATTGTGTTTGATAATTCAAGTGGCTTTTGTTTTTATTATTTTTTCTAGCCAAATTGTATCTTCTACTTATTGTTGCTCTCTTGGATTTTTTACTTAACAGGAGCAATGATAGCTTGCAAGTTAGCTGCGATGGTGCCACAAAGAGTCCTTTCTCTCTGATGTTTCAATAGGCTTATGTGAACTGACATGACATATGGGCGAATTAAAGTCTAGGTTTTAAAATCCATCAATCTCAAACAAATCTTGCAATTTAGGGATACAATTTGCCTGCCTTGCTCTAAGCTTGCTTCAAATTACTGTCAGTGCATTGGATAAAAAGGAAACCAATTTCAGTGTTTATAAATCGAGCTCTGAAATGATCATAAGACTTATTTCAACCATCTTCTTTCTCTATATTTCACACTCTTTACATTTGCTTTTGATTTATCCTCCTTTGTCTTGATAATTTCAGTGTTCAGGCGTCGCAGCTTACGTTAAGACGTTTCATCCTGATTGGTCTCCCTCCATGATCAAATCTGCCATCATGACAACCGGTAATCTAAAATATAAAATAATGTGATGTTCGTGGAACGATGAAAGCTTTGCTAGGTTTAATTGCATTTGTTCGGAAAACTGATTCGTTTTCAGGATGGCTTATTGGATCAACTCTTGCCTCAGGTACTTTCATAATGATGTAAATATTACTGTCACCGGTTTGTATATATAATAACACAATATTGAAAGGATTTTGAATCTAGATTGAATGTGTTTCTGGGACATATAAATCTCGGGAAATAATTTAGATGTTACATAAATCCCTAAATATCCTCATCCCCTTTAATCCCTCATTACCATAACTGCCATTTTTGAGGTGCTCGCAGACACAGGGAAAAACTTACCAGGTTTGTAAACTAAATTAGTTTCATCCAAAAAAGGTAGATTAATTATTAGTATGGTCTGCTAGGATATGATCAAACCTATTTAGTAACATCTTTTCGTTATTGTTTCTTGTAGATATTGTGGTACAGATATCAAGCATTCGGACTGCTGATAAGCTAGACACCACAAAATCTCCTCCAAGGAAGACCTTCAATCTTGTCCTGACTTGCACGTTTGACAGGTAAAAAGCCACCCACAGTTACTATTTTCCTTATCTGTCTTTCTCATTTGTTAGTAATAATGTCTTGATGATGGTTACACAGTGGTGAGTTAGCTTTCATATCCCTGTGGGAAAAGCATGCTCGTCAGATCAATGAAGAAATTGGGCTCCTAAAAGGTGTACCTATTGTCGCCATTGTCACTGTTGTTAACCCTAAATCTGCTGGGTGTAAGTTTGATATGCGATCATGATTCTTATGGTTCAAGTTTTTTGGTCTCATCTACCTATTGTCTTGTCCACTGACATTTCATGACCTTTTTTGTCACTGTTTATATTAGCGCAACTTTACCTCAACGGTACCGCATCTACTCGGTTCTTTTACAACATGGACAACATGATTGTCAAAGATTTCTGCGAGAGGTACGAAATCATGAACTCCCAAATATGTTAACACTTGTCTGTTTGTATATTTAAAAACACACTCTAAAATTTTTCTCCACTGCTTGAATTGAAGCTCATACTATCATAAATCCCTTGTGCCTACAACTGTTGACGGGAATGTTGAGACCATTCCAAAGGAGACCCACACTATTGCAGAAATACTTGATTCTGACAAAGACGAAAAAGGCTTTGTAATTACCTCTTTGGTAATGACCACGTCTTTCAGTCTTTCACTTGTGCACCTTTTTGTAAGTCACCCTTTCAAAAATTTTGCAGGCAAAGATGTTTTGGTGTAAGGCAAAAGTGGTTGACTTGATATTAAGCAGTGGTTGGTTCTTTAGAGCATGTTATGAATGCCGAAAGAAGCTGACCCTTAGTGGTTCTAAACTTTTTTGCCCTGACTGTGATGCTGACAAAACTGTAGCACGACTTTTGTATGTTTTGATTTTCCGTAACTTTTCCAACAAAATTACACCTAAATTTTCCTGCTAAGTTTAGTTCATATCTTATCTCTATGTATTGCCATTTTCCAGGTATCGGATTGAAGTTATAGCAGACGACGGTCACCAAACTGGCTCATTTGTTATCGTCAATGACGCTGGGTTAAAGTTATGCAACACGAGTGCATCTGAGCTCGCTGCGAAGAAGGTGACCAACTGTAGAAGTTAAAAGTTATTCCCAAATTAATTTGTAGCTGTATCTGTCTAAATAACTTATAACTCCTTCTCTGTAAACAGGATGTGAGGGAGGATGACAACTCTGGAGATTCAGTCCCACAAATTATTCGAGATATTGTTGGGAAAGATTTCATATTTTACATGAAAGAGTCATGGTACAAATCATACCAAAGTTTCTCAGTGTCAGACATATACATCCCTCCTACTGTCAACAAAAGGGTTTGATTACTGACGGTCCCTCATGATTATAAAACCTACTATTTGTGTTTGGTTTAAAATAGCCAGGGCCGGCCCTGACCTAAAGCAGGTAAAGCCTGGTGCTTTAGGCGCCAAACGTTTATCTTAAATTTGGGGCGCCAAATCTCTGAAAGTTACCATAGTTCAGTGGTTATCTGCTATCTAACCTGCTCTCAGGTCATGGGTTCCACTCTCCCCGAGTGGAATCTGTCACTTTTTTTTATAAAAATATATATTTTAAATGGGCGCCAGATTTTTTTTGGCTTTAGGCGCAGTTTGTTATTGGGCCGGCACTGAAAATAGCATTCTCAATCAATACGTGACAGAGGCCCCAAACCAGTGAGTCCAGTACAAGGAAGAAACCCAATAACACCATCATAGGAAAGAAAGTTGTTTCTGAATGCAGCGACTCCAAAAAGCAACAGTCCAATAGGTACCTCACAGTCTCTGGTCTCGATCAATCCACCAACAAGAAAGTTGATTTCTAATTGATTTCTATCGCTAATTGATTTCCCGTGGTTCTTGCTCAGGAAAAACAAGAAAGTTGTTGTCGACGAATCTGATGAGGAGGCGTCCACTGACCCACGCTCGGGACATGAGTTGGACGATGAAGAATAATTACATGGAGCCTATCTTTACAATTACAGTTATGTGTTCCAACATGGAGTTTTCCTTACTTACAATTAGCAAGTGTTTCGCTTCTCCTTTCTATTGTGTTTTTGAGTAGTTCCGACCATTTTTCTATTACAATAATAATTTCCACGTTACATGGAAGCTACATCTTTACCCGGTTTTATCTATTTATTACTATTAAATGTTTCTCTTGTCTGGACCATGGTCGTTTCTCGAAGTAATTACAATCATTCCCCGATTACAAACACTTACCTATTATTCGTTCATCACTATCTATTTTTCTACTTGCATGCATGAATAAGGTCACAAAACCTTTTAATAATTATGCTACTTTTTTAATTAGTTGGTGCCATCATTTCGAAATTACTTTGTTTTATTTCCAGTTTTCTTAATCTGCAATAATGGGAAGGGAAAATACATGTTCCTTTACGTACCACTTTCAGAGTAACAGAAAAATGCTTATGGTTGTTCATTCCAATATCAACGTACGTAAGTCTTAAATGTCTCATCTCCTCAAATTTAAGCATCACATACTCAAACACATTACTTGGATATTTGTAGGCACGTTACTTGAATTTCAAAATTGTGATGAAAAATTCATTTTGAATTCCACTTTATTTGATCATGAATTCAGAGTAATTATATTAATAATGACTTATGTTCAGTTTCAAATTACCATATATGTAATTCAAAAACGAAATTCAAAAACAGAATCCTACTACAATAAATGACAAACTTAATAGTAATCAGTCATTACTATTATATGTAAATTAGTCATTGTTCTCTTCTTCCCATTGAAGTGTTCTGTATTCTCTCTTCTTCAGCTAATTCACAATCAGCAAATTTTTTCCGTCTTTGCAAATCACCTAATAATTATAGACTCATCTTAATTCTCTCATGCTTTTCCTTCGTCCTTAGTGCCAGGCCGCGTCTTCTGTTTTGCCAATTTTTCTCCTCTGTCTCTATATATTATTTGTCTTCTTTCCTTTCTGTGGTTTCTTTTCAGTTTACGTGTTTTTTTTTCTCCCTTCTGAACAGGTGATTAATATATATATTGTATACATTGGAAATGGAATCTGGCAATTCAAAAAACCCAAAACATATATCGCACAATAGTTCTTTGGCAGGTATGTTTTATAATCCAATATTAAAATAGATTATGCACATGAGTTAATCCCTTCCAAAACCAGCAACAGATTTACGAAGGGGAGTAATAGCAGCACCAAGAGGGACACAAACGAGGGTGTTCTCCATTAATGGTTCATTAAAAATCTGTTTGACTTGTGATCACCAGATTCGAATAAATTATGTGCACATATTTTCATTCTAATTGACCCCCCCCACCCATATATTTTACCTTAGATTCCAAGGAAGCGCGCAGAGCTCGAGAAGAAGAAAGGCGGAAAATATTATCTTCCAAAAAAACATTACCACTATGTAGGCCTCGAACCGATACCAATAGTAATGGTTAGTTCTACATGTGCATATTCATTTCAAATTGTAAGGCATCCGTCGTTAGGCTACGGTAAATCGTTAATATAATTTCTGACATCTGGTCTAATTATGAACTTGAAGCAGGACCAATCTCTACCGTTAGCGTGGCCAAAAATGGTTTGGAAAATTCTCGCCTTTAGTTCACAAAATTATAATCACATTTGTACACATATGAGACATTTATAATCACTAATTTTCTCTTTCCTTCTCAACTAACCAACTAAGCTACTTTTAATAACGTAGGCTTCCTTACCTTACGTGGAGATTACGAACATGGTCAGACCTCACAATCGAGTGGTGTGAAAGCACAATATGGTAATGATAGTTACCATTCAAATATTATTTTTTTTTTTTTTTTTTTTTTGAGAAAAGATTTTCTTATTTGGGTTAATTTGCTAGATATCAGTATTGGGCTTCAATATTAGGTGAATGTCAATAGGCTTTTCAAAATTAGTCGGTGATACTCATGTGTCAAAAAAATGACTTAAAAGCCCATAAGTATTTCAGCGGCAAAAAAAATAAGAGTCCCTTATCTCATAGAGCCAAGATTAACTTGATACGTTCGAAGTTCTTTTTGAAGATAGTATGGAATGAAATTCCTCTTTCACTACAACAATTTCTCAGCCGTAATTCTCGAAGTAGACAAAATCAATGGAAAGTTCGAGCGGAAGTCAGATCTGATACTGTATGGAGACGAAATCCTTTTTAAGAACAACTATTTCTCGCTCAAATTTTACGAAGTCGACAATATCGATGGAGTCTGATCGGAAAACATTCCAGAGATTTCTTTTTTTTTCGATTGCAAATATTATTTTTTCTTTCAAAAATAATATATTAAACTACAAGCTCAACTAAGCTGAATTCGGCGCGCCGTAAGTTCGGACATAGGGATGAGGTGGAGGAGATCATTTAGGTCAATATTCCACAAAATACACAGAATATAGTAACCTATCACTTCTTACTGATATATTCTTAATTTGATGTTTTTTTATGTATATCCAGTGGTATTTCCCTTCTTATTTATCTACTACTTATGTTTCTATAACCATTTCCAGAAGCTGGTGAATCCTCTGGGCGGAAACGAAAACCACCCAAGCCTCTTACGAAATCCAAAAAAAAGGTATGTTATTGTTACCGAACACGCATCCGTACCCGAGTTCTTTTATTGGTAAGAGTGGCTGATTATGATTGTAATTGATTGATAACAATTGGTATTGGTATTTCATTTTGTTAGCGTCGTATGTTCAAATAGCACCACGCACGATTTTACGAGAGAAATTAGTTATCAAACTCTATGTTTAACATGAAATTAGTTTATGTTTAACTCTAAGAAATTAGTTTTCAACAATTTCTTTTTTCTGAAATGTTCATCAAACTCTATTCTGAAAATTATAGTCTTTCTTAATTCGAATAATTTAACCAAGTCATGACGAAACCAACGAAGAATATATAATTTGCTTCGAACTACATCAATCACACAATAACAATTACAATATTTCCCCATCCAATTGAATCCCTACTTTAACCGTAGAGGAAAACGATACAGGCCCAGCCAAACTGAGGAGTAAATTCTAAACATATGCCCAATTAACATAACCAAGCCCAGGTAACATAATCCAAACCCAGTTGAAACTCCAAACAAGAAAACAAATATAAACAATTAAACTAAAATAACAAACCGACCAATCTTTCGTCAGATTCACCATTTCACTTCCTCAATTATTTTTGATTTCGTCTTCTTCCTCACTCTGATGCCTAAAATTATCCCAATCTTATCTAATTTTCCACTGGAATTTTCTTCTGTCTCTTCTCTTTTCTGTCGACTTCTCTTTTCACCCCTTCTTCATCCCTCATTCTTATAATCTCTTCCCTAAATCTCAGGTTGTATATCAATCTTAATCACACACATAACCAATTCCAAGAAACAATCTTTCTACTTAATCCACATCACAAGTTTCTTCGTTACGCTCAGATCCACCGTCTTTCTGACGAGGCTTTCACTGTGGCCATGGCAACTCTTATTCGAGCTCCTCCCCAAAAAGGAAGAAACTTTAGTACCGTCAGATCTTCAAGGGCCTGTGATCGGCAAATGAGGAAACGCAGCTTTTACAGCCATTTAGAACACCCCTACTGTAGCTGTCTTCAACACTTGAAGACCTAAGAAAACGATATTTCAGATCATAGGAAAGATGTCGTATTTAAGAAACAATTCCCAAATCCTGACAGGAAAGACGTCGGATTTAACCTCAAATTGGGCTTTCTTGGTTTCCTGGTAATGTCAACATTTTCACTACTGTATCATTAATTTAGCTTATTGAATTTTTCAGAGGTCAATTTGTTTTACATCCAATTGAAACACCCTCGATGACATAATCAACAACATCCTTATTTTAAATTATTCGTTGCTCATTGTTTTGTCTTTCAACATTCGATGTAATTACATAGCATTAGTTAACTCTTAGAAGCTGAAAAGTTCAAAGTGTCGATGGACTTTCATTACATAGCATTAGTTAACTCTTACAAGCTCAAAACTTTGAAATAGAAACCAAAAATTTCAGAGGAAATTGTGTTCCCAGTTTCTAACATGTTAGGGACATTTTCATACTGGTTTGGAACAGCTCTGAATTCTATAACTCTCTTAACATTCTACGTTTGCTTGACCAATGCTTTGAACTTCAAATTGGTTAGCTTCGAACTTCCGACCAGATAGATTGAAGTAAAATCGAAGTCTTTGCGTTTACTTTCTTAGATCTCGAATGTACATATAGATCAATATGAAAAACAATTAGTAGTCAATAGGAGACACAATTAACTTCACAACTATTACCAGAATAACTACTCACTAATGAATAAGTCCAACTATATTTGCAGGTAAACGGTGTCGTCGTTCGGCTCCTCCAAACGAACTGGTAGACTGTCCAAACTGTGGTGCATTGATGTGGCGAGCAGAGAGCACAAATAAATCCAAAGACATCAGCAAATTAAACTTCTCGCTTTGCTGTCATGGTGGACGTGTAAAGCTACCTAGGATGAAGGAGACACCGGAGTTTTTAGCCAAGTTACTTGAAACATCTGCTCCCTTCCGAAGAATATAAGAGGCTATAATGCAGCATTCGCCCATACTTCTACCGGGGCTAAAGTTGATGACTCTGTCAACAAAAGACCTGGTCCATACTCATACAGAGTACATGGGCAAAATTGTGATCGGATTGGTTCTCTATTACCAACAGAGGGAGAGCAGCCAACATATTCTCAGATGTACATATACGACACAGCTAATGAGGTAAATAATCGTTTTTGAATCGAATTGGTCATAAATTTAAATCTCGTCGTTGTAGCTTTCTGGAACGGTTTAGAACATATGGGTTAGGGAGACACGCTTAACTGACTTCTGATTGAAATACTTAAAAAATTATTCAAGGTTCTCTTTTGATTGAAATCAACTTCCTCTCTCTCTCTCTCTTAATGCAGGTGAAGAATCGGATCAACTCCCTCACGGGGAGTGAATCAACAACCTCCCTAGATGAAGAGATCGTTTCTGGATTGTTGAAGATGCTAGACGACACCAACGAACTCACAAAAATATATAGAAGAGCTAGAGATCGGTACGAGGTGGAACAGCCTACAGAAATGTCTATAAGATTGATAGGGCAAAGACAACGTGGGAAGCAGTATGATTTACCAATGGCTGATGAAATTGCTGGACTCGTTGTCGGTGACGTATCTGGAACAACAAAAGGAAGGGATATTGTTGTCCAGTTCCAATCCAACAACCTCCAAAGGATCAGCGAACTACACCCATCGTACATGGCACTTCAATATCCGATTGTGTTCCCATACAGTGAAGATGGATATCATATAAATATCCAGAATGCACAAACCGGAGAGAATGCTATCAGAAGGGAATGTGTGTCGATGATGGAGTTTTATGCATACCAAATTCAAACAAGATTATCAGAAGGTACAACTCTAATAAGATGTGGACGTCTTCTTCATCAATACATTGTAGATGCATACATGGCTATTGAACAGGAAAGACTAGGCTGGTATAGGAGAAACCAGAAAACTTTACGAGCTGATGTTTACTACAATATATGCGACGCTATGAGTAAAGGCGACACTGACGCCAGCAAGGTGGGCCGGAGAATTATACTACCTTCATCTTACACAGGAAGCCCACGATATATGACACAAAACTACCAGGATGCTATGGCAATATGTAGAGCTTTCGGGAACCCAGATTTATTCATCACCATGACGGCAAATCCAAACTGGGAAGAAATACTAGAACACTTGGAACGAGCTGGAAATCTTTCTGCTAATGACAGGCCAGATCTTATATGCCGTGTATTCAAGATGAAGCTAGAAGCCATGTTAGCTGATATTTGGGATGGAACTTTCTTCGGTGAGGCTAAAGCAGGTACGTTATTACACTTACTCAAATGCTTAATGAAACCTATGAGTTGCTAATTTATACACATGTACGTTTACACGTACCAATAACTGATCACTTTCTCTGAAGTGTGAACTCATGAACTTTTGATTTATATGCAACTTGTAGGTTTTAGATTACTTTATAGTTTTCGTTCTGGTTTGAAAATTTGTTCTATCTCACCAACTATTTGCTAACTCGTTGATTCTCCTTTATTATACCTCCTAATCTAATGCCATCATCCATAGAGTTTGCAAAAGAAGACATTAGGAAAAACACTTTCAGTTTTTTAAAATTCTTGGTGGATTCAGTCACGTTATTGGTTTTGCAATAAAAGTCCACCGGAATATGCTTCTTTCGATTTATTGTCCTTGGTGTGATTCAAATGATTTACACAGATTTTCGGACCTAATTGTTTTTTAGGGTGCTCTTTCAAATTGATAACTGTACGTTAGAGAGTAGGACTGTTATTATCTGAAATGTGACGACGTTTTATCTTCTTCTTCTACGAATTTCCACTATCACTGTCTTCATATTATGCTCACTATTGAACATTTTATAATGCGGTTATATACACCATCAAATTCCAGAAGTGTGGTCTGCCTCACGCGCATATGCTGGTGTGGCTAAAAGATGATATGCGAAATCCAACGAGTACAGACGTAGACGAAATTATATCAGCGGAGATTCCTGATGAGAGGCACGATCCAGAAGGTTTTAAACTGGTAGAGCAGTTTATGATGCATGGTCCTTGCGGGAAGGAGAACCCGAATTTGGCATGCACTGAGAATGAGATATGCACGAAAGGGTTTCCTAAACCATACACACCAGAGACTAAGTTTGTTGAGAATGGTTTTGTGACCTATCGGAGAAGGCAAGATGATAGAAACACTATATCAAAAGGGCGTACAAAGCTAGATAATCGTCATGTGGTCCCACATAATCTGCCTCTACTAAAAAAGTACAAGGCACATATCAACGTCGAATGGTGCTGCAAAACAGAGGCCATCAAGTATTTGTTCAAGTATGTGAACAAGGGAGTTGATAAGGCTACCGCAGTCGTAGAGAAGACCGGAGCTGCGGAGAAAGAGACTGAAGAGGTTGATGAGATAAAGACTTATCTTGAATGCCATTATCTATCAGCCTGTGAAGCCATGTGGCGCATTCTTGGGTTCAACATTCATTACAGTAGGCCAGCTGTCCAACGGCTAACACTGCATCTAGAAGACCAGCAACCTCTAGCATACAAGGACAACCAAACTCTGGACAGTATTCTTTCACGAGCAGGCATAGAGAGAACGATGTTTACAGAGTGGATGAAGATGAACCTAATTGATGAAGAGGCACGTACACTAACCTATCTACAATTTCCAAGTCGGTTTGTATGGAATTCCACAAAGAAAACGTGGACCAAAAGAAAGCAGGGAAACACAATCGGAAGGATTGTAAACATACATCCAACAGTAGGGCAGCTCTACTACTTGCGAATGCTGCTGAACGTGGTTAGGGGTCCAACATGCTACAAGGATATACTAACCTTCGAAGGAGTCACTTACGATTCATTTCAAGAGACTTGTGCTGCTAGAGGTTTACTAGATGGAGATAAAGAATGGGTTGAGGCATTAGAGGAAGTGAGCCAGTGGGCTTTCGCTAGACAGCTGCGTAGTCTCTTCGTTACACTCTTGATCTTCTGCCAAATTACAACTCCAAGTAAGTTGTGGGAAAAATGTTGGCGGTCTCTTGCAGATGATATTGAGCACATTCAGCGAAAGGAATTGAGATTCTCCCGACTTAATTTGAACGACGAGCAACTGAAAAGCTATACTCTACTGGAGATTGAGAAGCTCATGCGCCAACATGATTGATCATTATCAGATTTCAAGGATATGCCACAACCAAACAAGGCGATGCTGAAGGATCTAAATAATACATACATCACAGAAGAAAATAGTTACGACGAGGAAGAACAGCAAAGAGAGCATGAAACTTTATTAGCCAGTCTAAATGATGAGCAAAGATTGGTCTTCGGTGGAGTTATGGACTCTATCGAGTGTGGAAAAGGACAGTTCTTCTTCTTAAACGGTGCAGGTGGAACTGGTAAGACGTACCTGTACCAGACGATCATAACAAAGATCCGGTCATTACAGAAGATAGTACTCCCGGTCGCTTCGTCAGGCATTGCTGCGTTACTTCTACCGGGAGGCAGAACAGCTCATTCAAGATTCAAAATACCACTAAACCTGCAAGAGCATTCAATGTGTGACATCAAACCAGGATCGATGCTTGCTGAGTTACTAAAGGAAACGGTTTTAATAATTTGGGATGAAGCCCCAATGACACATCGTCAAGCATTTGAGGCCTTGGACAGGACCATACGAGATATTTCATCTCCGGAAGACCCAAACGCAGCGAATAGACTTTTCGGTGGGAAGACGGTATTGCTAGGAGGTGATTTTAGGCAAATACTACCAGTAATTGCAGAAGGAAGGAGACAAGACACGGTTTCAGCGGCAATAAACCGATCATATCTTTGGGATTCCTGTAAGTTCTACAACCTAACTCAGAATATGCGCTTACGAGTAGAGGAAAAAACATTTGCTCGGTGGATACTTCAAGTAGGAGATGGCAATGCAGCAAAAATCAATAGGCCAATGGGAAGCTGCGAAGAGGTAGACGTTATTAAAATCGAGGGCAAATTAATGCTTGAGACCGAAGAAAACCAGCTGGAGAGATTGGCGGCAAGTGTTTATACAGATTTTTACGCCTCATACGACGACAGAGAATACATTACAGAGAGGGCCATTTTGACTCCCAAAAATGACAGTTCATGAGCTAAATCTGTTTCTTCTACACCAAATCCCAAGCGAGGCAAAGGAATATTTGAGTTCAGATACTATTGAAATGGAGAAGGAGACGAAGGAAGACGACGAGCTCCTATACCCTACTGAATTCTTGAACTCTCTCAAGTTTCCAGGTTTGCCAGATCACTACTTAACACTGAAAATTGGCTCACCGGTTATGCTCATCCGAAATATGAATCAAAAGGAGGGACTTTGCAATGGAACAAGGCTAATAGTCACCCATTTGGGGGACAGAGTAATTGAAGCAGAGATCTTAACAGGAACGAGAGTTGGGAAGAAGGTGTTAATCCCCCGTATTATACTTTCGCCCCCTTATTCTAAATGGCCATTCAAACTAAAGAGACGACAGTTCCCCTTGAGATTGTGCTACGCAATGACTATTAATAAAAGTCAGGGGCAAAGTCTTAAGAAGGTTGGACTGTATCTTCCGAAACCTGTTTTCAGTCATGGCCAATTATATGTGGCATTATCAAGAGTGACATCAGAAGCAGGATTAACGATTCTAAACATCCAAACTACAAAAGAGATGGCAAACACAATCAAAAACATTGTATACAGAGAAGTTTTCAACAATATCCCAAAGACGACATGAGCTAAGGTACTTTCTTCTCTTTTGTGATTATTTAATGATGTGTACTGTCATCTATCATTTTGCATAAGATATTCACGTATTTCAACTTCTCACTCATCTCAGCCCAATAAGATAGTATACTCCTCAAATCTGGAGATAATCTCGACAATGACGCAGCTACTATCTCCGAACAGGTACCATCGGCAAATGTCTCTACATAAATTTCGTAGACACTACTATATAAACAATCACTCATTATGCACAATACAGGCCACATGACCCTCTCACTTTCAATGAAATGAAACCAGACTGCAATACTTGGTTGTATGACACTCTTGGATTAAAGGTTAGAATTCTCATGTTTGTTCATCAAAAATACATAATGTGTAGGAAAATGTTCGCTTTTGTACCATTAAATACGTGTCATACATCAACTTCTAAGGTACTTGTGATTGTTAGAAAGAAAGAGAGCATGATGAGTTTGGTCAATCATTAAGATTAATACACCTGCAAGTCTGTGGTCCTGCTTTGTCTTTCGCATGGACTTACTTTGTTCAGCTTCATTTTCCCTGTATGCTTTGTCAGATCTTCATCGTTAGTGTTGTCTATTTCAGGTTTCAAGTAAAAAAAAACAAATTCTCCGCAACTTCGTGACTATTATGCTTTTGGGTGCTGTTGGGACTGTTATTTCTACTACTGTCATTACTTTAGGTACGTTACTTCCTATTTTACTGAAACAACGTTTAAAGCTGCTTTGGGAAGAGGACCTGTGGATCATTAATCTGTTACGTTGACAGATAGTTTTGTATATCGACTGATAATCTAATGGTGCTTCAAACAAGCGTAACGCTGTTCTTTAAGCACTTACACATTGGGACCTTAGTCTTGGGTGATTATCTTGGTAATGTCTGAACCATTAGCTCTGTGTTCCTACTGCTTTGCTTTTTCAGTTTTTCACGTCAGGGGGCTTAACTTGTTTTTGGGTTCAGCAATTCGTCCCATATTTGCTTCAACAGATTCTGTGTGAACACTGCAGGTACTGGGTTATCTCTAACTACTCAAAGTACTTATAGACCGAAAAACAAAGTGGACCAAAAGTTTAACTGCAATCTTGTGTTGTAATTTATAGGTTCTCAATCAAGATGAGACACCTAAACAATCATTATTGACACGTACTGCCGGTTAAAAACAACTGTGGGAACTGGAATCCGCACAATAGTTTCAAATGATGTGTTTAAGAGAGGGCCTAGAAATTCTAAGTGTAACACAAAACGAGATCCAAAGGTAGTGGTTTTTATTGATGTAAAGTGTGATGAGCTGTGCAGCGTAACAGTGTGTCAAAAAGTGATCCCTTGAACAATGAGGGATAATGCATATTTATACAAGAAAGAGGTGAATATTTCTAGGAATATCTTTGAGATATTCTCGTAGATTCGTTTCTATCTTCATCTCTGCCGCCATGTTGAAGTCGGCTTATGCGTTCTAGGGCAAACTCCGTCTTGGGCCTCTTTCATGGGCTTCAGCTCGAATTGTCATGGAAGATATTGGTTCGGCCCACGAGATGTTGCGGTTTGGCCCAGTAAACTTCATACGCTCAACCGGTTTGTCCGTGCACTCTCCGGTTCGTCCGTGCACTCTCCGGTTTGTCATTTATCTTGGGAAAGGATGTTGGCTCGTCACTTCTTCATGGGCGAGCTGACTGTTAATTGGTTCGGCACGGATTTTGCACGATGTTTCGTACGAACTTCGCACGAAAAGGGTCAACGACCAGCTAAAACGCTCCTTCACTCTTTGGCTCGTCGGTCTGTCAACGAGCTGAAAAACGGGTTCGGCACAGAACTAGCACATGATTCGGCTCGGCACGATATTTGCACGGGAGATGGTTCGCACGGATTTTGCACGGAGGTTGATTATCGACGAGCCAACAGCTTCGCTATACTCTGCTTCGTCAGTTTGGCTAGACACACTCCTATACTTACTAATTTTATCTGTTGATCTTGAAGGGGTGAAAACCGACCCCAACAGTTAGCCCCCAGCTCATTAGTTTCGAAGTCGAAAGTGACGAGCTAAAAGTCTTGGTCAAGATCAACGATGTATAAGATAACTACTAAGGAACAAGGCCAACCTTGATCCGTTGACGAACCAAGCGTGCTGATGATGAGCCGAGCTTGCTGATGACGAATCAATTCCTTTGAAAAGCTGCTTGATGAGCCGACTGGTTTCGATGACGAGCCAAAAATTTTGATGTCGAGCTGATTCGTCTCACGCCGAGGCAAAACAAGTTGATGCGCCAGAGAGATATTTTCAAGGTTGCTGCCGAACTGTCTTCACGAATTACTCCACCAAGCCAAGAGATGCATTTGACGAGTTGGTCAGTTCCAAGGCCTAGCTGAAAGTGTTGATGACGAACTGCCTGCACTTGGAGAATTGGTCGACGAGCCCACTCTACGACGATCTATCTTTGATACGTAGATTATTCGACGAGCTGACTGATCTAAGGTTGTGCTTGGGCAACATGTCGACGAACTGCCACTGTGACGGTTTGTTTGATGCCAACCTACGTTATTGACTTGCTTCTGACGAGCCAATTGATTCGTGATGAACCAAATTAGTCGTGGAGACAATTCGACGATCCGAGCTGTTCGACAATGAGCTGACTTAATCCAGGAGGACGTATGATGAGCCAACCTATGTGACGTCGAACCAACTCAACCGAGAGTCATTTGACAATCAAATTGGTTTAAATGTCGAGCTAACAGGTAGATGACGAGCTGGATGGTCCAAAGCTACACCGAGATGAGTTGTTGACGAGTTGAACGTGTTGTTGCCTAGCCAATGTTTAGGGAAAGGTTGCAAAGCGAGAGCTTGCACTGAAGTATAATATCGATTAGCGAATGTTTGGCCGAGCTGAAAATGCGTGTAGTTGGTGGCCGAGGAATCGTCTGAGAAAGGATCGTCGAGCCGTAAGGTTTGGACGGGAGTTAATCCTCTAAGTCTTAGTTTTCATAGACGAGCAGACTTCTGCCAAAACTTTGTATGACGATGTTTAGAAAGGAAGGTTCAAGTTTTCCCGACGAATTCACACTTGGCTACTTCCGCGGTTTAAACAAACTTTCCATTGTAGAGATGTTAAGACCAGCTTTGCCGAGGGGCACTTTGTTTAAACTGGGTTTGAGTTGTCTTACTTCGGTTTTTTCCACAAACTCGCACTCGGCTGTCTTTGTGGGTTGAAGTGATCCATAGTCAAGAGACGTAAAAGACCAGTGTTACCAAGAGGCGTTTTGTCGTTTCTGGGTTTAAGGTATCTTTGTTTCAGTTTTTTCCACGATCTTACCCTCAGTAAGTCGCAGGTCGAAACAACGACAATTGATCGAATTTGTATAGTGCGCGCTTATAAGATAGAGAGTATTAGTGAAATCCATGTTGGATTGTATGAGTTCGTTTGTTGTGGCCAGCAACAAGCGAGAAGTGAGTAGGGTTGAAGTTAGTCAGAGTTGACTTGAAAGTGCGAAAACAGTTTTCGAAAGATTGAGATTAGCGGCGAACCGCGTTACAAAGAAAAAGACAAAATGACTAGGCGGTATCGCGTCACGTAATGGAGAGTATACGAATGTACATACTCCACTCCCCCCTCTTTTTTTTTGGGAGGCAACTGAATCCATCAAAGATGAATTGCCTACGTACCCCTCGCGGGGATCAAGTCACGCGTAGTTCTTGTAAGAAGATGATCAGGTCGGCGTGATAAGATCAGCCTTGTAAATGCGAGATGAGCTCGGCTTTAGTCATAATGGTGTGAGCATGTGCTTGATTTTTAGATGCGAGACTTGGCTCGGCTTTTAAGGAATTTAGATGCGAGACTTGGCTCGGCTTTTAAGGATTTAGATGCGAGACTTGGCTCGGCTTAAGTAGAATTGTAAACGAGGCTACGCTCGGTCAAAGTGGATTGTCAGTTTGCTATGGTTACCTTGATGTGTTTTGATGGTTGGTAAGATCAAGACCCAACTTAATGTTATCCTTGGGTCGTTCGACTCACCGGCTCTATCGGTTTGTTCGTCCGCTCACCATGTCAAATTTTGAACACCTCGCCGCTTGGCTCGTCGTGAGGATTTCAGCTCGTTAGGATGCGTTTGAGTCGTCCTTATGATTATGGCTCGTCGCTATGATTTTGGCTCCCTGCTATGATCTTGATCCATCGTGATGATTGTGATTCGCCGCAATGGTTTGGCTCGTCGCCGCGTTTTGGCTCATCGTCATATTTTCGTCCCATTGATGATTGTGGCTCGTACTCCTTTTTTCGTCGGTGTTTGACTCTTGTTTCACCGAAAGATTTCTACCAAGTTTTTTTTTGTTGTACGCGTAACACTTTCCCGCTTGGCTCAAATTTTGAACACCTCGCCGCTTGGCTCGTCGTGAGGATTTCAGCTCGTTAGGATGCGTTTGAGTCGTCCTTATGATTATGGCTTGTCGCTATGATTTTGGCTCCCTGCTATGATCTTGATCCATCGTGATGATTGTGATTCGCCGCAATGGTTTGGCTCGTCGCCGCGTTTTGGCTCATCGTCATATTTTCGTCCCATTGATGATTGTGGCTCGTACTCCTTTTTTCGTCGGTGTTTGACTCTTGTTTCACCGAAAGATTTCTACCAAGTTTTTTTTTGTTGTACGCGTAACACTTTCCCGCTTGGCTCGTCGCCGCTTGGCTCGTCGCCACTTGGCTCATCATCGCCGCTTGTGTGGTCATTTGGCTTACCACCATTGAGAATCTTATATATGAATTGTGCTTCCTTGTAAAGCTGGTTTGTTTCATCATGATGTCGCCTAGTGTATACCATGTGTTATACTTGTCACGGCTCGCCGTAATCCGTCTTTAACTTATAGCAGCGGCGTCACTCTTCGTCTGCAGCTCGTCGTATTGTGCGTACAGTTTGTAGCAGCGGCATCATAGCTCGTTTCAACAGCGTCATAGTTTGTTGGAGTTCGCCCACAGTTCGTCATAACGGCGTCACAAATTATCTTACTTCGTTCGCAGCTCATCGTAATGGCGCCACAACTTATCGTAATTTACTCGCAGTTTGTCGTAGTGGCATCGCAACTCCTTCTAGTCCATCCACAGTTCGTTGCAGTGACATCTTGTTGCGAGCTCGTCACAACGCTTGTAGCTCTGCGCAGCTCGTCAACACGCTTATAGGTCTCCGCAGCTCGTGGCGATGCTTTTAGCTCTCCGCAACTCGTGCCAATGTTTATAGCTCTCCGCAGCTCTTGCTGATCCTTGACCGGGTCGCCGCATGGATCTGAGCTCAGCTTCACGGGTTTAGGCTTCCATCTTATCAGAGTCGCATAGTTTGTTTGTCAAATCGTTTTGTTGCGCCTGTTCTGATCTTCAACTCTTCCTTTGTCAGAGTAGTGATAACGTCGTTCGTTGTTGTAGATGGATCTGCTCCGTCTCCAGTAAGTCACGGCGTGCCTGTCGGTGTGGCTACGTCTTCGGCTCGCTTATCTCCCGTCAGTGCGGTTCTGGGCGGTGCGTCCGTGTTTCATTTGTCTGATATCCGGAGGTGCACTGAGAGCTTTGTTGACCTGGGATCTATGGTGTCTTGTGTTCCGTTAGATTGCGCCATTCTAGCTCGTAATTCTTCCAGCTGGTTGTCGTTCGGGCTCCCGCCGATGGTTCCCGCGATCTATAGTTCGCTAATCTTCTTCGCCGTCATTTGATCTACGAGTCCGGCAAGCGCTTCATCGCTGTATGGGTTAGCGGCCGAGCTGTGTGTCGTGTGGGCTCCTGTTCCGTCTGCTGGCGCCGATCCTCCACCTGGCGCACCTCCTGTCGCTCAGGGCTCGCCGTTTGCATTCGCGTTTGATCTGTTTAAGGGAGGTGGATCTGTGGCTCCGTCTCCGACCGGCGTTCGTCCTCCTCCTCCTGCCTCTGGGGTCGTGAAGTTGAGTTCCAAGGGATCGATGCCATTCCTCCTCGCGGCTCTCCTTGTCTCCTCTCCCTGCTGCCGGGTGGCTCGCAAAGTCTCTAACTCCCTCGTCAGCGAGCTGTTCAGCGTGTGTTGTTCCTCGGCCTTCTTCTGTAGAGCGGCGATCGTCTCCTGCATCTTCGCCAGTTCGATCGCCGCGTTCCGGGCGGTTTGTTGTTTGTCTGTCGTTGCGATTGGATCGGTTCCTGGCGGGATGACTCCTGTTGCGTTCGTCGTCGGTCCGGTCATCTCTTCAGATCTCGAGTGTTATTTGAGTAAGAAATCTTCTACTGACCCTCCTTCTAGCGCCAAATTGTGGGAACTGGAATCCGCACAATAGTTTCAAAGGATGTGTTTAAGAGAGGGCCTAGAAATTCCAAGTGTAACACAAAACGAGATCCAAAGGTAGTGGTTTTTATTGATGTAAAGTGTGATGAGCTGTGCAGCGTAACAGTGTGTCAAAAAGTGATCCCTTGAACAATGAGGGATAATGCATATTTATACAAGAAAGAGGTGAATATTTCTAGGAATATCTTTGAGATATTCTCGTAGATTCGTTTCTATCTTCATCTCTGCCGCCATGTTGAAGTCGGCTTATGCGTTCTAGGGTAAACTCCGTCTTGGGCCTCTTTCATGGGCTTCAGCTCGAATTGTCATGGAAGATATTGGTTCGGCCCACGAGATGTTGCGGTTTGGCCCAGTAAACTTCATACGCTCAACCGGTTTGTCCGTGCACTCTCCGGTTCGTCATTTATCTTGTGAAAGGATGTTGGCTCGTCACTTCTTCATGGGCGAGCTGACTGTTAATTGGTTCGGCACGGATTTTGCACGATGTTTCGTACGAACTTCGCACGAAAAGGGTCAACGACCAGCTAAAACGCTCTTTCACTCTTTGGCTCGTCGGTCTGTCGACGAGCTGCGAAACGGGTTCGGCACAGAACTAGCACATGATTCGGCTCGGCACGATATTTGCACGGGAGATGGTTCGCACGGATTTTGCACGGAGGTTGATTATTGACGAGCCAACAGCTTCGCTATACTCTGCTTCGTCAGTTTGGCTAGACACACTCCTATACTTACTAATTTTATCTGTTGATCTTGAAGGGGTGAAAACCGACCCCAACAACAACCAGAAGAAAGCCATCGCTCATCTTAAAGACATGCAGAGGAGAGAGATGATCCATGATTTGTTCATTTACACGATCATGATTAACACCAATGGCCGGAAGCAAGCCATTGCTCTTTTTAAAGAAATGCAGAGGGGAGGAATCAAACCTGATGTGGTAAAGTACACAGTTTTGCTCAATAACATTCCAAAGCGGGATACGAAGACGGGAATGGAAGCATGTGATGTTCAACCAGACGTTTTCTACTACAGGGTTCTGATTGATCACCAATGCAAGATTGGTTACATATTCAATTATTTCGACCAACTATGACTAGATCAAAAAGTTCTCTCTGAAACACTAACACCTTTTTTTAACTACTTTGGTTTATTTGCGAATCAAACCAGTTTTTCGTATCCATAACCGCCCTTACTTCTCCAAAATTCTAAACTTAACTCGGCCCTTTAGTTTGGAAAAAAAAATAACCCTGCCCTTCAACTAATCATTTTGTATGTTCATTTAATATTTTCAGTGTCTTTCTGTATACTAGTGCCATCAACAATGTCTTCAAATTCAAATTCCTTAACCAACCAAAAAACCAATGTATTCAAGTGTAACGTCAAACATCGTTATAATATCAAATATATATTCACGTCAACAAACATATTGAAAAATATGAAGGTCAGCTTCACCTATTTATCACCTTACAAGAACCGGTAAACACGTATTTAATTACATTCTCCACAGTAATAATCATTTACGCTCACATTCAAGCTTCTAATTTAGAGATGTGACCGTTGTTCAGTCAAATATTGGTAATAAAGAGTCGAATTAAAGAGGCTATCGAATATAATCAAAAACAAATATCACACACAATATGACCGTTGTTAAGCACTATATATATAGATAGGAAAATGCCATACAACAACATTCCAACAAATACTATACACTATCAAAAAAACCATGAACAATATACTATTCTCATTGTACTACAGGAGAGTACCATTTACACCACCACACCAAAACCAACTCCATCTCAAAATCACTCGACCTCTGAGACAAGAATACAACATCAACTACACAATCCCTTTCACCAACAATCAAGTCATAGAAGAAAATAACTCAAGCTTCAAGCAGGCAGTCAAATTCTTCATCGAATATCATGACATTAATGATGATACAACAGGTACGTTAACGGAAACACTATTAAACTTTATTGAGAGAGATATTATCACTGGAAGCGGACCCCACAAATCGTCTACAAGTTTACTTCGAAATTGAAGACCTCAACCCAAACTCTTCAAGAAGATTGGATGTCAACCTGGTAATCACAGACCTAGAAGCAACACAAGCCCAAGCTACAGAAGAAGAACATGGTGATTGCCCTATATGTCTTGACAAACTAAGAGATCCTCAGAATATCAACACTTTGAGTTGTACACATAAATTCCACCATGACTGTATTGCAGATTGGTTATATTACAGAACAACATGTCCTTATTGTAGAAGAGAATTAATCTAATATCTACTACAAATATTATGAATAAAAATGATACTTTCTCTACTTTGTATTTTCAGGTTTCAATTGATTTCCTCTGATTATTTCTATATATATATATATATATATATATATATATATATATATATATATATATATATTAACCTCTTATTTAAAGGAGGTCAAATAAATCAAATTAAAACCAAACAAACTTCAAAACAATATATGTTACTTTCTGGATGAGAACCAAACAAATACATTTGGATGACCGCAGGAAAAATAAAAAATGAAATCTTCACCAACAAAAATGCAATTCACGAGGAGCCAAACTGATTACTCATCATTCCTTCCTCATAAGTGTTGTGAATTGACGATCACTTTTCTTGTGATTATTTCTCTGACTTCCGGCAAAACACACAACATTTACATTTAACATTTTCAAAAAAAATTCATATGAAATTACCAACTTCAAAACAATAATTCGGACAACTGCTTCAAATATTTGGAAATAAAAATGTAAACAAAAACTAGAGACACAAGGACGAAATAAAAACAAATGGTCACACATATCCACCCAACAAAATCATTACATATCACCTAAAGATATTAAATCTTCACTACTATTTAATAAAGACACATAAAAATTTGTGAAATTTAATTAAAATAGATCATGGTCCTGTTTCAAAAATTATTAACAATCCCGTGCACGGCCATCACGACAATCACTATTGCAATGTAATCATGTTTATGAAAGCCGTGTGCGATCACAATCCCGCGCGTAGGACGGGCGCCCACCTAATTAGATAATAGTTTTTAAATCTAAAAGTAAAATGATAAGCATTAGATAATAATCTTTAGATAAAAGATAAAATGATAAGCATTAGATAATAGTCTCTTGTATGTGTATTCTAAAGTTTAGAGGATTATTTATAGCCAATGGCAAACATTGAAATAGATAAATTGTTAATTTCCTTTTTATTTTAATTAGTTAGTTTGGCTTTTCCAATAATATGTTCTTTTTGTTAGTTTAACTATTTTTATGTTGAATTTCCATTAAACTATTTAAAGTAATGGGTTAAGGTAATTGGTATCGTAATAAATATTAAAATTCAAAATAGTACAATTTACATTCTTTAATACAATAATGTAATTTTTCTAAAAGAATTTCGATTTTAAAATTAAAATGCTGATTTGGCAAAATTTAATTGGTTTCTTAAAAGTTGATGTGGACGCTCTCAGAGGCTATAGCCTCAACTTTTATATATAATAGATTTGTAGGAAATTTTTAGGAAAAAAATCTAAATAGAAAAAAATATCTTCATATTCACATCATAAACAATAACTTACTTCACATTCGTTGTTTAATACATTACTAAGTCTTGACCCGTGCTTGGGAAGTACGGGATGTTGTAATTTTATACGAAAATTTATATATTTGACATTGTAATTATGTAAATAATATTAGTGTATGTTTGTGATATATAATGATGAATTACTGTTATTTTGATCATTTAAGTATGAGATGAAACAAATATGTGAAAATTGATGTTATTTTTGGGTGAGTTACCAATTGTTATAATTTCATGCTAGATTCTGACCCCGAGCGAACAAAATCAAACCGAAATCGAAATCTAAACAGTATAACATAAATATGTTTCGTTTTACGGATTTGCTCTGTCTGATTTGGTGAGTTACAATATTGTATAATATTTCAGATTTGACGACAACTATTTGATATTTTCGTTTCTTCAAATATAACAAATGAAGTCACCAGCTAAGTTTATAAATCTTAAAGTTGTATTGTATTATTATGTTCTCAAATGGATTTGGTTCGGTTAGGTTAACCGAACAGGTCTTCAAAAAATTGTAAATCAGCCGAAGACCGTCGTTTCTAATTTCTCTGTTTCTTCTTCACCGATCTTCTTCCTCCTTTGATTTCACCGATATGATTTCTGGTTAATTTCTTCTTCTTCTTCCTTCAAGCATATCATCTTTTACGCTTAGGCTTATCTTCTTCTTCTTAGACCCTTTACTTCTATAGAGTCTCTAGAATTTTAAGGATTTTGCAATTTTTGGCATGAATCCAAAATTGAAATTCTAAAATCGGCATGAATCCAAAATTGGGATTTTTTTATCTGAGCTAATGTAAGGCTTATAGTTCTCTTCGTCTTCATCCCCCTAATACTCGTCTCAGACACCTCCAGCATAATTGATTATGTCTCTCCTCACGGTAGTCTTGCAACTCCGATCTCTAGCTTAGGTAAGCCCTTAAGCTCAAGCAATTTCCTTTCTTGTAGCAATCCTTTGGTTTTAATTTGCCTGCGAAATCAGAGAACTCAAATGTGATTATATTCTTCCTGTGTTAGTGATCGGAAATCTAATTATGAGAACTCAGCCTTATGATAGTGAATCTAATATGATTGGACATAGCTGAACTGAATTCGTCTTGGACATCTAATTATAACTATAATTATGATTATGATTGGAGATCTAGTTATAATTATGGTTGGACATAGCTGAACTGAATATTCTTGCCAAAACCTGTTTTTTCTCACAATCTGAATTTGTCTTTAGAACTGTTTTTAATTGCTCGGACATGCTGAATTGCATAGTAAAATATATATTGTAAACCACAAGATGTTGTGATCTTTGAAGATTTTAGTTAATTGAATTATATAACTATTCAGTGCTAATTTTAATTTAAGATTAAAGTAAGTATTGAATCAATAATAATAATAAGAGAAAAAGTGATAAATGAAGTGGTCAAAATTTGGCCGAACTTATTTTTTTTTCCGGTATGCGCCTAAAACGAATAAATCTATTTCTCGTCGTTTTTATCCATCAAAAAGTAGGCTTTGTCACATACATTTCGTTTGTTTACTATCCAGTGAAAAACAAAAAGTTGTGCAACCGCGAATGTAGACTCGAAGATCGTAAATTGATATCTAGTCTTCTGATATGAAATCGAAAAGAAACTAATACTAATCATATTGAATTATCATGGCTTTAATCTAAACAATAAATCATCAAATGATTTCTAATATATAGTTATCTATCTTTACTAAATTAAAGCAGCTGTTTGGTCTCAAAGTGTCCACCTCAACATTTTTTCAGTATCTAATTAGAATGCCACGTGTCATTGATCTAAAACTCATTTTAATCTCCGTTTGTTATGACGAGAAACTCTCCTTCTTCCAGCACTTCCTGAACTTATTATCGATACATCTTCTTTCCGAGTTCGTCTTAAATAGTCAGTTACACCTTCAATTAGATCATATAATCCCTTCGTCCTTCCTCTTTCCTCCTTCAATTATTCTTTTAAACATCTCTTCCTTCCTCTCCACTTCTCCTTTCTTCACCACTTTTCAGATCTACTATATCTCCAGCTTCAAACCTACATCACTACATGTTATCAGATGCTATACAACGACATGTCATCACGATGGACTCTCACTACGACCCATTCAATCACTCTCGGAGCAGCTCCCGCTAATACTCCGTTCCGGCTTCTTCATCCAACGTCCAATGGTAAATCAAATCTTTAATTTCTCTCATTAGTCGAGAAATCTAACTATGGAATTTAATCTGAATCTGAACTGTCTCTGTGTTTAATTTGTTTTACGTTCAGTGGGGGTGAGTAATCTAGCGGTGAATTGCCGTCGGAGAAGACGCGTTGCGAAATACATTTAAATACTATATCAAAATTAATGAAGGAGCTCATGGATAGCATCCTCAAATCAGCCCTATTCCAAGTTAGTCATACTGAACAATCTCTTCTTATTTAACTGTCTCACTTTCGATTTTTTTATTTGATGATTGCAGGAACTGATGTCCAGGCTAAGGAAGAGGTCGCTATTAAGCTTGTGAGTGTGAATTTGAAAATTTAAGTTCCAGTTCTGTAGATTTTGTAAATCTGTAAGTTTGTCTCATTAAAAATCTGATTTTTATGGTGTAATTGTGCAGGAAAGTGTGAAGACTGTTTATAGGATTTATAGGGTTCTTCAAGGAGGAAGTAAGACATGTTTTTCTTATGAATTCTCATTTAAACTATAGTTGTTTTGCGGTTTATTCAGTCATGTGCGTGTCATCTGGGATTCCAAACATGAAATGGCACGGTGTTGAAGGGGACTACAATGTATTGGTGATGGATTTCTTGGTCCAAGCCATGAAGATCTCTTTAGTTATTGCAACCGGAAATTTACTTTGCAGACTGTTCTCATGCTAGCTGATCAAATGGTATATTATGCATTTTGGAATTGATTGATGATGCATTGTGATCGTTGTTAATGCAGGTGTTTTAAAAAGAACATTTTTACGCCTTTTTGCCAGCTAAATCGTCTCATTCGAAGTCGTATCTACATCTTCATATAAAGCCTGATAATTTCCTCATGGGTTTGGGAAGGCGAGCAAATCAGGTTTATCTTTCTTTCTCCATTAGCTCTCACTTAGCCTTTTTTTTTTCATTAGTCTCTCAATTGTGATTTTGGGACCTCGCTATTTTGTTCTGTTTCTGTAGGTTTACATCATAGACTTTGGCTTGGCTAAGAAATATAGAGACAGCTCCACTCACCGACATATCCCATACATGTAACAAGTAAAATCAGGCAAGAAGTAAATTAACAAATTAAAATACCTTTAGCAAGTAAAGCATTAATGAGTTTGTTGTAGTGATCTAGAGTGATTTACACTTTGAGTTATGTTTACAAAAAGAGGGACTTTTAGATATAGGTGGACTTTTTTTTGTCTTTTTGTGCCTTAGAAATTTCTACATACCCTTGATGAAAACTAAAGTAAAAAAATATTACCTTTCGTTTGAGCTGCTGTTTTATTTTCGCCGGCGTTGTTCTACATCGGAGTTTAAGGAATCTGTTTAATTTTGGTCTATGATAATTAATTTACATGATGTTAATTCAATCTGTTTCCGGTGATAACGAAAGGCTAATACTCCGCAAAATCAGTGTTTCTCATGTCGGTGGAAAACTATTTCAATCTGAATGTTCAATCTATTATGTTTAATTAACGATACATGGATCCATCTCCAAAGCTCGACTTTGTGTTTTTTTTTTTCTAATTTTTGCTAGATTGGATTTGGTAGTCTCGCAAAAGAAAACTGGACAGTTGAAGATGTGTACAGTTAGCTATCTTTTTGAACGCTTTCCACCGTTTTAAGTTTGGACAATGGGCATTTGGATGCTAGTATGCATACACAGAAACTTAAAAGTATGATGGGCGTTTGGACGCTGTAGATTGATAGTAAAGGAGTGATTTGTGGAATTAACTTAAAAGTATGATGCTTGGTCGAAGATCAATAGCATATCGAGAAGAGAGAGTGAATCTCATTGGTCTGTGGCTAATTGGAGTTAAACGGAAAGAAGAAGAAGAAGCCTGTTCAAAAAGCAGAGTCGTTTGTTTTTTAATTACAATTTTTGTTCAGTTTCTGTAAAAACCATTAACGATATCAACAATACTTACATAATCAGTTTTTAAAGAAAACATATCACTGTTAAGAAGAAATTTGATTATGTATGATTGTGTGCAAATAAAGGTGAAAGCTAAGATAACATGAAGAAAGAGAGAAGTTGATACAATTTTACATGAACTCATGCATCTAGCTTGTGTGATCATTCATCTTTCCAGATATCTGCATGCAAACTCATCAAGCTCCAAAGGATTTGAGAGCTCTTGCATCTTTCTCCTTGTTTCCGACTTGATCTTCATAGCAGATCTTCTTTGCTTTCTGTATACCATTTTCGTTTTTACAAGCAAATGAAAGATTAGAAAGAAGAGTGAATGTACAGACACAAGTACAGACTACAGACACGAACAATCTTAAGAGTTATATATCCAAAAACCGACTTGAATGTTAAACAGCGATTGTGTGTTTCCGGGCGATCTCGAGCTGCGAGTACTATAATAACGATGAGGAGAATGATACAAATATCACCACCAGTAAGCACATCTGCATAATCACTGAAGTGAATGTATCAAAGCAAAAGGAAAGGGCAAGTTCGCTTATTTTCTTTTTTAGTCGTAAAGTATCCACGGTAAAGTATCCACGAGTGATAATGTGAAAAACAGATTCAGGTTGCCACAAAATGTGTGTGGACGGAATTTTGTGGATCAAGTAAGATGGACAATATATTTTTGACAAATGACAAACCTATAAGGGAAACTAATAGTAGCATTAAGAAATCACCATAAAAAAATCTCAATTTGATAAAGCCAAAGCATTCATTCAGAATGAAACAAATCTTCTAGAAACAAACTATTATCAAAAGTAACCACGTGAAACAAACTATCCAAATCGAAAACTGTCCACACGAGTTTAACAAACCATCCAAATCAAAAACTGTCCACACGAGTTTAACAAACCATCCATTAGAAGTATCCACAACGAAACTAAAATTCGGAGCTCATCCAGTCAATCAAATTGCACCCGCAAGAAACTACACGTAAAGAGAATTGAAGGACATATAAATAATGTCGGAGGACAAATTAAGGTTGTACAAGTAGAATATACAACTCAAAGTATGGTAGCACATAAAATCCTAAAGCATCCACGAGAAAAGCGTCCAAGCAAATTGATAAAAGCATCCAAGAAGACGAATAAAAGCAAATGTATAAAAGTATCCACACAACAAAGCATCGAAGAAGACGAATGAAAGCATCCAAGCTGTAACAAGCAAATGATAAAAATATAAAAAATCAGCTAAACTATCTACAAGAGCTGAGTGGTATCCACAAAAAACTATCCATGTAGTTGATCCTCGTGCACTGAATGCAGTAAACTGAAATGCTCTTAACAATGGCTACCGAGGTATGGCTCAAAATCATTTTCTATTTGCTACCTTCCAAATCGAAGACAAGAATAGACAAAATTTAGGATATTGTATCAGTGTGAAGAAGGAATCTCAAACAATTTTGGGAATTAAAGAAACAGAATAGAAATTTGTACCTTCCATATCGTTGGCGTAAGTACCTAACCGTTGTAGTTGGGTTTCAGTAAGTGTTGCCGCTGTAAAAAAAACGAGGATTAGGAAACCTCGCCATAGTTATAGGATTAGAGTTTGTTAGGGAAAATGAGGCAAATTCTAAATCGACGAAATCTGAAACCTGAAATTAGGATTTGGACATGATACGACAACGAGATCTAAGACGTGATGGATCGGTTACTCCTCTGTTGTGGGACGTCGGTGGCGTATATGGAGTACTCCTCTGTTACACAGTTAAGACCGAAATGAAAAAGAGCAACAAAATCAGGTAGATGGATGAGATTTGAGAAAGTAAATTGTTTCCACAACGCCGGCGAAAAGAAATGTCTCAGTTTTAAATATGTCTCAGTTTTGTGAGAAGACACAAGGTGTTGCTATTGGTTCACGGCGGAGAAAATGGGATAAAGGAAGAGAAGAGACGCCGGAGAAGAATGTAAGAGACGCAGAAAAAAGTAAAAAAAAAAAGAACGGTAAATATGAAACAAATTGTCGTGAAAGGTTAAATGAAAAAATAAGGTTAGTTGTGTAACTTTAGTTGGACAAAGTCCACCACTTTCACAAAGTCCCTCAAAGTGTAAACTGAAACTCCAAAAGTGCACCTCAGTGTAATTTTCTCTAGTGATCTAGGTCTTCACGCTGACCAGTGCATAACAAGAGGTGAACGCATGAGTTGCAATGGGTGAGCGCATCTGGAAGTAACTGACTAACATGATCGATTTTGGAGCTGAGTGTATAGCCAATAGAGCCTCTCTTTATCCTTCGTTCCAAAGAGTTCAATTGATGTGTGACAGGTAATCTATTGAGTTACATTAACGGTTTGTTTAATCTGTGAGCTGATTTTTAGTAGAATAGCTGACGTATGAATACGCAACCATGGTTCGTTCATGTGTTTATCTCGTATACAGACCTTCGACCCAAACCACTTTAAGCCATAAAATTGAGATCCATTTCTTATGTTTTATTTATCCCTTCACGTCATATTTCATTTTCAGTTGATTTATATGTGATCACTTAATATACAGGAAAATTACATTTTTAACCTTCAAAGTGACAAATGCTAGCACTTTTAACCTTCAAAATATTGCACTAACACTAATTATGTTAACACATAAACCTTCAAATTAACTTTTAGGGTTACGCCGTCAAAAAAATAATGACCTGAACTGTTTCGTTTCCGGTAAAAAAAAAAGATGATGTGTCAGTAATTTTTATTTTTAAAATAAAAATTTCTTTATTTTTAATTTACAATAAAACAAAAATAAAATCTTCATCTTTGTTGGACCTGGATTTCCCTCCAGAAATCCGGCCCATAAGGCCCATCACCTAAGTCCTAAGATCAAGATAAGTCCACTCAGGCCCAGTAAAGTGACCTCGAGCCCACCAAGTATCCTTGTCCAAATCCAGCTGTTTACTGTCCGAGCTACTTGTGAAGACGAAGTCGAGCTCTAGCTCGACGGAGTCAAGTCCACAAGCTGAGTTTGAACGAGTCAAACGAGAATCTCGCTTTGACTGTTCAGATCCGGAAATAGCGGGATCGGTAGTTGCACGTGGACGAGATACGCGGAGGAGGTTGCGATCTACTTCGGAGCTATAAAAAGAGGACGATTCTTGATCACAAGAGAATGTTCTTTTCTACATCTCTAAGAGAAGTTCCTTTCCTAGAAAACAATCTTGATCTTCTCACTTCTTTGTCTTGAGATATTCTCATCTTTTCTCTTCGATCTTATCCTTGATCTTTGAGATAATCCCAGAAAGCCCTGATCTTTCTAGCCGGAAATCACTTCCGGCAGAAGTTTGACGTAATCTCTTACCTTCGGATCACTCCGATAACCTGAGATTTATCGTCATCTTCACACCCCTTTAGCTCTTTTCGTGGTCATTTCTCTTCAGAAAACGACTCGAAATAGAGAACAACTTACAATCGAACTACGTCCAGGCTTGATCCCTAAAACAGGGTACGTAGGCAGCTCGTTAACGAGCGCAGCCACCACCTCATTTCCATCTCTTTTGCTTAGTCGAATCCTAGTGTTTTACATGGTCTTTTAGGCCGGTTTTGTAACCACTTTATTCGATTAGCCTAAGTCCGATTTCGTCAAATATTTGTCTACGAATCATTCGACTTACATCAGAATCTAACCTCTGATTCCACAGCAATTTCTCCCTACAAAATACACATAAATTTTGAGTGTGGTTTTCCGAACCCACATTTTGGCGCTAGAAGGAGGGGAGAAAATAGCTTTCTCTTACACAAGGGTCGAACCTAGACCAGTTGAGAACGAAATGGACTCAGTCCTATCAAATTCTCAGGGAGCTCGCTCCCAATCTCAGATCCCATCGGATCAAATCACTTCGGATGTCAGCAGTGCCAAAACTGCAGACACATCGAAAAACCCGATCACCTCGCCAACTGGCAGCAGCCAAACTGCTAGTAGATCGAGCGTCCTGATCGATCCGGTTATCACCTCCGCGGCAGCGAACTCGAATGTTCCAGCCCGCGTGAAACCATCGGTGATCAACCTCGTCACTCCTGTGATAGCCGAGAACTCGATTCTACCGAATCAGATCTCGCACGCAATTGAGAAACCTCATTTGCGGATTCGGGTCAAATCTAAAGATTTCCCGATTACCTCGACACCGATCAGTCGGAAATCTCCGACGCAAACTGTGTCAACATCGTTTGCCTTGGCTCGACCGAATCCGGACGACCAAGCCCGAATCAAGCGAATGCTCACCGACCTGATTAACAGTCAATACGACCAAAAAATCAGGTTGGAAAAATATGAACGAAGTCTTGCTGAGCTACGGACGATTATAAGTCCTCCTCCGGGAACTCAGCTCGACTCTTCACCAATCTACAACCTAACAGCTCGTCGAAACGGGATGAGGCGCCACTGCGTGCTCATGTCTTCCAGACTCTCGTCCCACCGATGAGCTCGCCAATGAGCAGCTTGAACATTCCAGATTCAAGCAAATCGGAGATAGGATCTCAGCCAACAGAGCGACTTCCATCTCCACCTCCAAAGCTATCACGTATCGAGCCAACTATATTTAGATGGCCCGAAACTATGGCTTCCAACTCAAGCTTGCAGGCGATGTCTCAGCTCAAAAATCAGTCCGATGAAATTTTGAGCTCGCAGCTCCCTGCAACAGCTCGAACTGTTGTTAACGGAAACTATCAACAGTTTCCCGCAACAAATGATCTAGTCGATCGAGCTCAATTTCATAGAGCAAACGATCCGACAGATCTAGCTCGATTGACAAAAGCAAACAGCTCGTCAAATCAAGCTCTATCCCATCCGATTTCAACTAACCGGATTCCTGTCGATCCGCGAAACCTTTTGGACCGCGAATCTTTCGAAAGGTTCCAGGTCCAAACAAACCTCGCATTCTGGCAAGCGAACTCAACGTTTAACCAAACAATGAGTTTGATTCCAGATATCGACAAAGTAATCAGGGAGACACAACAAACTCCCTTCTCATCCAGGATCGCTAACACCTGTCTGCGCGATACGTATCCCAGAATACTCTGGTAACAGCGATCCACGAGCTTATATTCGAGCTCTTTATCTCGAAATACTTCGAGCTCAGTTTTCTCCCGAAGAGATAGAAGCAGCTTGCTGCCAACTCTTTGTTGAAAACCTAGCCGGACCAGCTAAAAAATGGTTTGAAACGCTGGACGAAAAATCAATAGATAATTTCGACCAGCTGATTTCGGCATTCGTAAACCAATATTCGATCTTCATCGAATCAGAAGTTTCGGAAGCCGATCTCTGGAAGCTTCCTCAAGCTCCAAACGAATCACTTCGATCCTACGTCAATAGATTCAAAGCAATCATTGCTAAGATCGAAAACCCTAACGAGGCAGTAGCTCTACTAGCCTTCCGAACAACCTGTGGTACAAATCAAAATTCAGAGAAGAACTAATCGTTCGACCTCCTGTATCACTCGACGATGCACTTCGCTGCGCGTCAACCTTTGCTACTCTGAAGAGGAGATCAATCTCCTCCTAGAAAGACATCGCAAAGAAGATTACCGCAACACTCTCTTTCATTTGCGAACTCAGTTCTCAAACCGAACCCGAGTTCCGATTTAGAGAAGTTCTGCGAACATCACCAAATCTACGGCCATTCCACCGACGAATGCCGAGCCAGAGCTAAGGAATTAGCTAAAAAGCGGAGAGCTGAGGCAAAAATGGAAAAAGCCAATCAGCCCTCATCGAACGATAACGACAAAGCACCCCGAAAAAGGGAACGCGAGATCGGAATCATCTCCCAAGAATCACCTCTTTCACATAAGAAGCGATTCGACTCGACCCGTGTTCAGAGAGCTCAGCTCACGCCGCAGCTCAATGACCCTCGCGGTCACCCGCCCGCCCGCACCAAAAGATAGCGAGCTCTAGCTTATGCAGAGCTCACAATCTCGCGGGGGAGTGGAGCGTCTTCTCAGACAGCTAACGAAAACCTCAACCCGAGTTTAAGAACTTTGCGAACTCATGCTCACGCTGATTTCACAAGTTTTCGGGGGAGTGGAGCCACCCACCCTCAAATGAATTAAATTCATTCGCGGAGGCTCGAAAAAGTGCTAAGACTCGAACAACTCGATCAAAGCATACAACAAAAGGTCAAATCTTCTAGACGAGCTCTTCCTCTAGAAAGATTCGACCTAAAAACCAAACTCTTGAAAACCAATAGGTTCCACAAGAAAAAGCCCACGATGATTAACTCGTAATAAAGCTCGAAAAAGCAAGCTCAAGTTAATACGTCATGGCAAAGAGAGTTCGGTGATAAGGAAACAGGAACCAACTTGGAATGACCTAATCCCATCACCAAAGTAGTTCGGCAAAACGTCTACAAACTCTCATCCCCCTTGAACTACGTTTAGGCTTGATCCCTATTCAGGGTACGTAGGCAGCTCCACCCAAGAGCGCAGCCACCATTATCCAGATCTTTAGATCGCGAGAAGTCTATCTACGCCCAGTGGGACTAACATTGACCCCGCCAAGCATATCTGTCCAGGCAGATACGCTACCCCAGCTACTTGTATAGACGAGGTCGAGTAATACCTCGACGGAATCAAGTCTTCAAGCCGAGCTGTACGTGTTGGGCGGTAATATTACTTAGACCGACGGAAACCGGTAATGTCCGGACCGTACAAATTAGGTGGTAATATCGCTCAGACCGATGAGTTCCGGAATTATCTGGATCTCACGAGTCGGGTGACGATATCGCTCGGACCAACTAGACCATGAAATATCTGGTCTGACGTGTCTGACGATAATGTTGCTTATACCGATGAGCCCTGGAAACAGTTGGGGAGGAGGACTGACCTCGACCCCGCCAAGCATATCTGTCCAAGCAGATACGCTACCCTAGCTACTTGTTAAGACGAGGTCGAGTAATACCTCGACGGAATCAAGTCTTCAAGCCGAGCTGTACGTGTTGGGCGGTGATATTACTTAGACCGACGGAATCCGGTAATGTCCGGACTACAAGTTAGGTGGTAATATCGCTCAGACCGATGAGTTCCGGAATTATCTGGATCTCACGAGTCGGGTGACGATATCGCTCGGACCAACGAGACCATGAAATATCTGGTCTGACGTGTCTGACGGTAATGTTGCTTATACCGATGAGCCCTGGAAACAGTTGGGGAGGAGGACGAGAACGACCTCAGAGGCTATGAAAAAAGCACGACTCTAATTTAAAGATCATCTAGAACCTATTCTCGGTCTAGAACCTGAACTACGTTAGGCTTGATCCCTATTCAGGGTACGTAGGCAGCTCGAAGTACGAGCGCAGCCACCATCAACTATCAAGATCCTAAGACTAAGAAAAGTCCGTCCAGGCTCAGTAAGGCTGACCTTGACCCCATCAAGTATACTTATCTAAGTACATACTACATCCGGGCTACTTGTAAAGACGAGGTCGAGTAATACCTCGACGGAATCAAGTCTTCAAGACCGGGCTGTACGTGTTTGGCGATAATACTACTGAGATCGATGAGCTCCGGTAATGTCCGAGCTGTACGAGTCAGGCGGTAATATCGCTTAGACCAATGTGACCATGAAATAGCTGGTCTGTTTGAGTCGGGTGACGATATTGCAGACCGATAAGACCATGAAATAGCTGGACTTTGCGTGTGATGTGATAATGTTGCTTATACCGATGAGCCCCGGAAACAGCCAGAATGGCAGTTTGAACATGGACGAGATATGCGAAGGAGGTCGAGATCGACTTCAGAAGCTAGGAAGAGAGATCAATTCTAATCCTAGAGATCACCTAGAACCTACCATCGGTCTAGGACTAAAAACAAACTTTGGGCCCAACAACCCAAATCAGCTAAACATTCGAATTACTCCTAAGGACATCGAATACTTAGCAAAAAGCCAGTCGAACCCGACTGAAGATCTGAAAGGTAATCAGCTCGAGTATGAAAGATTAAGACCAAGTGCTGATCATGTAGAGATCACACAATTGGCAAAAGCCAGTCAATCCGACTGAAGATCTGAAAGGTAATCAGCTCGAGTACGAGCGGTCCTCAAGATTAAGACCAAGTGCTGATCATGTAGATCAATCTACGAGATCACACAATTGGCAAAAGCCAGTCGAACCCGATTGAAGATCTGAAAGGTAATCAGCTCGAGTACGAGCGGTTCTCAAAGATTAAGACCAAGTGCTGATCATGTAGATCAATCTACGAGATCACACAATTGGCAAAAGCCAGTCGAACCCGACTGAAGATCTGAAAGGTAATCAGCTCGAGTACGAGCGGTCCTCGAAGATAAGACCAAGTGCTGATCATGTAGATCAATCTACGAGATCACACAATTGGCAAAAGCCAGTCGAATCCGACTGAAGATCTGAAAGGTGATCAGCTCGAACGAGCAGTCCTTTGAAGATTAAGACCAAGGGCTGATAATGTAGATCAATCTACGAGATCACACGATCGGCAAAAGCCAGTCGAATCCCGACTGAAGATCAGTTCGAGTACGAGCGGTCCTTGAAGATTAAGACCAAGTGCTGATAATGTAGATCAATCTACGAGATCACACGATCGGCAAAAGCCAGTCGAACCCGACTGAAGATCTGAAAGGCGATTAGCTCGATTTCGAGCAGCCTTTGCAAGCTAAAAGCACTAGAGCTGATTGTGTAGATTAATCTACGAAATCACACAACTGGCATCGATCGAATCCGATTGATAATCTTAAAGGAAATCAGCTCAACCCTGAGAAGTCTTTCTTTAATCAAGCCCAATTGCCGATCATGTAGATTAATCTACAAAATCACGCAATTGGCAAACACCGGTCGAATCCGACTGAAAGTCTGAAAGAAAATCACCTCGACTTAAAGTAATCTTTAAAGATGAAGCTCGAGTGCTGATTGTGTAGAACCACCTACTGAATTCAGACGATCATCTAAAATCAGTCGTTTTCAATCGAAAGAGGTTAGCTCAACCCGACTCAACCTTCAAAGTTGAAGCTCAACACGTTAAAAGCTTGAGCTGGAATTCGCAAAGAAACTAGCTCAACTTTATACGATTCTCAAAAGAGATCAACTGAGCTTCATCCGGTCCGACCAGTTAGCTTACACGCTGATGTACTTGCATTTTACATAGTTTTAGCACATCTTTTATGCATCTTTTGCATAGTTTTAGCTCCATTTGCATCATATCTTGTTCCTTTTCTCTTCTTATGCATTCATGTTAGTTTTAGGTTGCATTTGCATACATATGCATGTTTGGTCCTTTGAAATAGGTCTTTTGGAGCATTCTGGAGCATATGGGACATGAGGAGCATGGAGGGACTTGGCACATGGACGCAGCTCAACTGGATACGCAAAGGAAGAAGGGAGAAGCCATCTTGAAGACCAGCTCGACCGTCTACTCGACCAACCGGTCGAGTTCCTCAACTCGACCGGCCAAGCTTCAACTCGATCGAGCTGAGAAGTCAACAGTCAAACCCGAAAAATGTTGCTTCCCCCTTGACTTTCCTTTGACCCTAAACCTAATCCTCTTGTATTTAAAGGCTCTAAGCCACGAAAAAACCACCAAGCTTTAGATTATTTTGTTTTAGTTTCTTTTAATTTATTGTCTTTTACTTTTTAGAGCTCTAATCCCATCTTTGTGTTCTTGAAGCTCTTGCTTCTTGAATCCTAGATCCTGGATAATCTCTTTGTATTTGCACTTGCTTATTTCAATAAAAGTTGTTTAATTTCATCTCCTCTTTCTTATGATGTCTCTTTTATTGCATTTGCTTGTGTTTACATTCATGTGTAGTGAGTAGTTACCCATTAGGGTTTGAGATGGGATAGATTAGAGGTTTCATATGCTTAATCCTTCTAGCTTATGGTCTTAATCTAGATTCTCTCTCTTTTGGATAGATCTTAAGGCTACATGACCACTACCCCTGGCTTGTAAGTCCTTAGGCGATTCCCCACACGAAAGTGATGGCATTCGCTGGAAAAGATCCACTAAGAGCTCCAATATCTCTTGCTCTAGAAATAGAGGTCTAAGGGGTTGGATGGATTAGTTTGGGCAATGATCCTATAGCCTCCAAGGTTTGATTCTCACTGGCTAACCCCCTGTTTCTGAGATCATTCCTTGGTTGATAGCCTTCACCTTGGGAAAGGGTTGGCTAGGCATTGAGAAGCCCAATATCAAGAGAAGCCTTGATACAAGGAGTTTTAAGAGCTAGATGATTAAGTGTAGATTCCTTTGATTGCAAAACCCTGTCTTGAACCCTAATTCTCTCTTATCTTGTTAAAGTCGTCCTTTAGCTTTTTTTCTAACTCGACCCTCAACTCGATCGAGCTGTCGCTAGCTGTTTACTTTCTGCATTTCATTTCTGTTTCATTTAGGTTGTTAGTGTTACTTCAAATCTATTACTGCTTGCTTGACTTCCTGGTTGTTTCATATTCTCATAGAGTGACAAGTTTCCCATTTTGGATTGATAACCCTTTGTACTACATCAACTATCATGGTTAAAGGGAATTGTTGACTGTGTTTGTGTTTGCATCTTACCACCTCATCATATACCACTGATTGCATTCCACACATCTCATTTCATATCTTTTCACATCCACACACAAATCCTATCATCACACGCTAGGTCAAATCTCCAATCAAACCAAAACGACTAATGTTCGAACAATCGAGCTAACAGTCAATTGATCTGGAAAACAAAGATAAACTCTAAGACATCAAACGTCTAAGAAAAATTATCAAACACCAAGCTCATTCCGAGCAAACAAGTTTGAACATAAAAGGATAAAAGCCTTCCAGGCACCAAATCCAAAGGCAAAGCATAAAACCTTGCGAGCTAACTTGTTCGAAACTTAAACGAGAATAGAGCTCATCCTTAAGCAAGCCGCTTTGACGAGCTACTCTATCTCTCAATATTTGAGCTTAGTATCGAGCTCATCTACCATGTTTCATCTTATCAAGCTCATCTTGCCAAGAGCTTCATGTAACCTTTGTTCACAACGAGCAGAGAGCTTCATGTTAACCTTCAAAGCTTGATAAAGAGACGCAAATATTAAGTCCGAAGATATCAAATCATCGGCAAAAACTTAGAAAAGGTAAAACCATACCTTCTCATCCGCCGCCATCGCTGCCGCATACAGCTCCCTCTCGAGCGTCATATCCAAAACTGGAGATTGATTTGCAGCAGGCCCGCATTGGCGCAACATGAATGTTCAAGGATTATCCAAAACTGGCACATCCTTCGAACAATCTATTACTAAAAGGGATGACGGACTCGCCGTCGAGTTAACTCGCTTTTTCAAGGAGCTCGACAAATTCGGAGTCCGATTATCATCTCTTGCTCATTTCGAGCTCCATCCTCATTGTTCGCTATTCGACTCAACGAGATAGTTCGTCTCAAATGAGTCACTTGGGTATTATCCCCATAGCAGCATGAAGAACCCGACCTACTACTTCATCACGAAGAGTATATTCACCGCAACATGGACAATCTCCACAACTCCATTAGCTCTAGATTGGATTGCTTGCTCACAACGAGCGGCAGCCGACTTTGCAGATCGTTCACAAAACGTTAGCTCGCGAGAAATCTTCTCTCTTCCAAGAGGTGGATACTCGAAGTCGGGCTCTAATCTGTAACAGATGGAACGCGGCGAAAAACAGTAACAAACAAAATTTTGTTGCTAAAAATGGATGAAAACCTCACAGGTGTTAAATCCGAAGCAAAACATATGACTTGCCCAAGTCATTACAGCGAAAAACTTTCTCTATCGCAGCATCGAGCTCGATTCGAAGTTCGCTCGGGACATATACCATCTGTCAAGCTCGATTCTAAATAGATTCTTGCTTGATCTTATATGATCCTAAGAAATCAACTAAGTCTCACTTAGTCTGATTTGAATGGCAGTCAAGCACTCTGCCAATTCTCGAGCTAAAATCGAGAACATCTCCAAGATCGAGCTAGATTCTCAATAGATTCTAACCCGACCTTAAGAATATCTTCAAAGATATTGACTAAGTCTTTGTTCAGCTTAGCTCAACGATAAGCTCGAACGTTTGGTTGAAATAACATTCGAACCAAAGACTAGTTTTATTTAGCTCGACCTAAATAAAACAAATACTTAGTCGAAATCATGCCAAGTTTGACTCGAAATTTCAAAAAGAAATCAGTTTAACTTGAAGCAACTTTCAGAAGAGTTGGCAAAGTCTTTTCTGCTAGATTTCACGGTCAGCCGAAAATCTTATGCGAGAATTCAGTCAAACAAACCGACTAAAATTCATTTAGTCGTATCCTTTTTCGAGTTCGAGTCGGAAAAACAATCCGACTTAAAGCGACCAAGTTCGATTAAAGAATTTAATCAACAATGGTCGAACTCGAAAAATAATCGATTAACTCAAAAAGAGCTCGCGCAATGTTTGAGTTAGTTAAACCAAAAGCCTTCTCGAGAAACAATCTGAAAGAGTTGATAATCGCAAATCTTCTCCTAAGGTTTTCATTACTCTCGAAAAGCTCGACTCTTAAGATCATAATAGCTCTTCGATCTATTTTCGATCTTGATTGTCGATCTAAAGAATAAGTTATTACCTTGTCTTTCAAGGTGAAACTATCATTCAACGGCAAGATCTCAAAGATCTTTCGCCTTCCCGTTTGCGACCGTCGATCTCTAATGACTATTCAAAGTCATGATTTAGTTCGACGGGACTGCGGGACAATTTTAAAACAACCTACCGCTCATTAAGTTCGATTATACTCACTTAATGAGCTGGGGGGCTATTGTTGGACCTGGATTTCCCTCCAGAAATCCGGCCCATAAGGCCCATCACCTAAGTCCTAAGATCAAGATAAGTCCACTCAGGCCCAGTAAAGTGACCTCGAGCCCACCAAGTATCCTTGTCCAAAATCCAGCTGTTTACTGTCCGAGCTACTTGTGAAGACGAAGTCGAGCTCTAGCTCGACGGAGTCAAGTCCACAAGCTGAGTTTGAACGAGTCAAACGAGAATCTCGCTTCGACTGTTCAGATCCGGAAATAGCGGGATCGGTAGTTGCACGTGGACGAGATACGCGGAGGAGGTTGCGATCTACTTCGGAGCTATAAAAAGAGGACGATTCTTGATCACAAGGCAATGTTTTTCTACATCTCTAAGAGAGATTCCTTTCCAGAAAACAATCTTGATCCTTCTACTTCTTTGTCTTGAGATATTCTCATCTTTTCTCTTCGATCTTATCCTTGATCTTTGAGATAATCCCAGAAAGCCCTGATCTTTCTAGCCGGAAATCACTTCCGGCAGAAGTTTGACGTAATCTCTTACCTTCGGATCACTCCGATAACCTGAGATTTATCGTCATCTTCACACCCCTTTAGCTCTTTTCGTGGTCATTTCTCTTCAGAAAACGACTCGAAATAGAGAACAACTTACAATCGAACTACGTTCTGGCTTGATCCCTAAAACAGGGTACGTAGGCAGCTCGTTACACGAGCGCAGCCACCACCTCATTTCCATCTCTTTTGCTTAGTCGAATCCTAGTGTTTTACATGGTCTTTTAGGCCGGTTTTGTAACCACTTTATTCGATTAGCCTAAGTCCGATTTCGTCAAATATTTGTCTACGAATCATTCGACTTACATCAGAATCTAACCTCTGATTCCACAGGCAATTTCTCCCTACAAAATACACATAAATTTTGAGTGTGGTTTTCCGAACCCACAATCTTTCAAAAATAAAACTAAAAAAAATATTTAATTTTCGAAAATAATCTTCATCTTTCGAAAAAAAACAAAAAAAAAATATTTAATTTTCGAAAATAAAATATTTAATATTTTTAATTATTTATTTTAATTGAAAATTCTCTATTTTCTTGGATCTCCATCGTCTCTTCTCCTTTTCTGGTTTTTGGAATTTTTTTCTCCAATTCATCTGTTCTCTTTAATTCATGAGATTTCCTCCAGTTTGGCACACAATTAATTATGTTCTTCAAATTGTTTGGTTTCTTCCATTATGATTCACTTATATATTCATCTCTCAATTGTTGTCATTTTCTTGTTGAGTGCATGGAGTTTAACTTGATTTACAGAACTTTGGTTCTTGATTCACTAATACCTTGAGAGTTCTGGGTCAACAAATCCAAATGCAGATCTATAATTGTCACCTCCTCCAACTTGTAAGTTTCGAAATTGGGTGAAAATCAGAAGTAGAAGTTGAATTGATGAGGAAAATCAGAAGTAGAAGTTGAATTGAGAAGGAAAACCCAGAAATTGATGAGACATAGGAGAGGAAGAAGAACATACTATCTATATGACCCATTCAGATTACAAACCAAAATTATATTGTGTAGTGTTGTTGGGTTAATCTCGATTCTAAAGTTAGCTTGCTTGTACTATTGATTTTGTTGAAGACAAGTGAGAGCATCTCTAACTCAGCCCCATATTTCATCTTTATTGCCATTTTGGAGTTAATTTTGCTCCAACCCAACTCTATTTCCAATCTCAAAATGGCAAAATGCCATATTTTTTCCCAAAATGGGGATGATCCCATTTCCATTTCCATTTTGGAGTTGAAGTTTTTAATTTATATATGAGTCCTTCCATTTCCATTACTTTCACTTTCAGTTTAAGATATATAATTAATTATTTTGATGTTTATTTTTACTCTAAAATATAAATAATACATATATAATAGGAAAATTAATTATTTAAGCTAATAATAAATTTTTAAAAAGAAAGGAACATTACTTTTATTAGAGATAACATCAAAATGAAATTGTGAAAGTTTTGAAGAAAAAAAATTATGGGCCAATTTGTAATATATATAAATATACAATGCAAATTTAGTAATTAATAAAAGTTTTTCAAAAAGAATATACTTAGAATATTCTTTTTGAAGTAAAAAATGGGGCAATACATTGGAGCAAAACCCAACTTCATTTTGAGATTTCTTCATTTTGGAGTTAAATATGAGGCAATACATTGGAGATACCCTGAAAGATCGAGAGATTAGAAGAGATTGATAGGAAGAGATGAGATTTTTTTTTGTTTTTTTTTAAACTATTTTTAGTTATTAATTAAAGTAAATAACTAAAATCATAATTCAAAATAAAATAAAAAATAAAAAAAATTATGCACACGTCATCTTTTTTTACCGGAAACTAAATAGTTCGGGTCATTTTTTTGACGGCGCAACCCTAAAAGCTAATTTGAAGGTTTTATGTGTTAATATAATTAGTTTAAAGGTTTTAAGTGTTAGTGCAATATTTTCAAGGTTAAAAGTGTTAGCACTTGCCACTTTGAAGATTAAAAATGCAATTTTCCCCTTAATATACTTTTGTTTTTTTTTTTTTTTGTGATAAAGGCGAATGAAGAAAGATTTATCATCAGAGAGATAAAAATCGTAAAGAAGAATGGCATGAAGCATTTACCAACCTGTCTTCGAGCCTTGGATCAAGCAATGAGTTTACAGAAGAAGAGGAGATGTTTAAATCCTTAAGTATGGTTAAACTTTGAATAGATTCTGGTTTGGCTTAGCTTAATTTAATTATGTTTAGTAAATATAGACTTACTGAAACGGTTTGGGGGTTGAATCGCATCATAGCATCTACTGAAAAATTAAAAATGCTTTCTTCCTTATATGCGTTCATGTATCCTTGTCATACTTCTTTTTAGTCAACGTTGGACCGCACTACTAGCCTGAGGGAATTCTATAATATAAAAGTTGCCCATCTGGAGTTGACCGCCACGTCAGCACGAGAGAGATGGACATGTGGCATCTCCACATATTTTACGGTTTTAAAAAAAAAATCTGACGCTTGGACTTGGTTCCATAACATTTCATCTTCCCTGAACGCTGAAATTTTCTTTTTCCATGTATATTCAATGTCTCTCATCTGTATTATATGGATTGTGGTAGACGACCTTTCTATTTATTCCCTTCATTTTCAAATCCATGAATCTCACTCAGATCCCCAAAATTTACTTCATAGCGCTGTTGTAAACTCTTTCTTCTCCGTTGTTAACCTCAAAAATGAGGCTGTCGAATGTTAAGTCAGTCCAAAGTCGCACGAATTGGACGATCTCAGTATCGTTTTCCATCTGTAGGTGTGCAATTACGATTTGAAGAAAAACGATCTCCAGTCGATTGTGTTTCTTTTTCTGTATCCTCTGAAATTGCTTGATGGGGGGACAAGGTTAGTACGGAATATTTTTTTAAGAATTGTGTTATGCTCCTGTTTGATTAGCTTTATTACAAGGACTATTGCGTATTTCAAATGTGATAATAAGACGGATTGCTTGATGGATTAGAAACTATTTCTTCATTAGTGGAAGCCACAACAACGGCGCTGTGATTCTCTCCTCTTTGTGGCTTCAAGTCTTGAAAAGAGTTTATTTAGGCTAAATCTGTAACTTTTTTTTATATTTGCATTTTCAATAATAAAATTTTGTAGATTTTGGTGATGGGTTCTATTTGGAATTGTTGGTAGAAGCTATCACTTGGATCGAATTTTCAGATTTCAGTTCTCATCGGGGATTGCGCATCGGTTTTTCCGATTGCTCTGTCTTTCGTGCTCGACTGAAATTCGATCCCACTATCTGGTTCTTTCGGCTGTAACGTAGATCTTATGTTTGTTTGCTATGTTTTTTAATGATTCCTGTACTTTTCGGGATTTATGTTTGTTTGGTATCTTTGACTCACTAAGAATTTTGCTGATTCCTCTACTTTTCGGGATTTCTGCTGGTTTGCTATGTTTACCTCACTAGAATTTTGCTCCGGTTGCTAAACTGTACTCTTGGTAGATTCTTATTTGGATGTGACCGTTGGTGCTATCTAAGAAACCATTCCATATTTGTCATCGGATCTGTGTATAAACCAAAGCAAGTAACGTTTATGTCTTTGATAGTGTGGGATTATAAACGATAATATGGTAGATCATTTTCATTTATGTCCATGTTTATAGTTTTCTTTCGTTTTTTCATTAACCAACAGGAATGTTGTAAAGAAGAGGACTAATGCCAAAACTGAGAATGATGAACGACCATGTCAAAGAGGTATGTGTATATTTTCTGAGTCGAAACTCACTATCAACTCTTGAATTATCCCTCACTGGTCATATCTCCATTGTCTTACTTTTGAGTTGCAGGTCCCCAAGACAAGAAGAGACCAAAGAGCCTAAAGATCTATAGTATCCATCCGAGGTATGTCATCAATGGTTTGTTTTCCTGGCAGAAATGAAAATATATATCAATTGCTTTGTTTTTCTTGGCTTGACAGATTATATACTAATCACCTGCTTCTATTGTTGGATACTTATTTTACTCTGGTTATTATACGTTGGACAATTAGGCCAATGAGTTCTCATTGATTCTATATACAATATTGGCTCACTTTATTTTTAGTTTATCTAATATAAAAGGAAAGGCAGAAACAAAGAAAATCATAATAATACAATAGTATTTGTGTTTGTTTCTTTAATTTATCGAGTTTTTTATTTCAAATATTTACTTTATTATAGTTAATAAAATATTACAAATATTTTTTTTGCTATTTATTTGTATAATGATATATATAAATTTAGAAAAGAATATGAAACTAATGTTTCAAAACAAATCTATGTTATGTATTTGTCTTTTTTTTTTCATAGTTTCTGTCATCAAAAACATGAAAATGTATAATAGCGTCATTTTATTGTATTTATCTACTTTAATAGAAACAGAAAAAAAAACTATTTTCCTTGGTCTGAATAATTGAATATTAGTTTTATGCACAGATTTAATGAAACATGTAACAATTTGTTCATCCTTGAAGATATTGTTATTTGTTTTAAGGGAGAGTCCCAACTCTTAAATCTCAAAGCTTTAATTATATATGTCTATTTTTGCTTTCAAACATTTGCTGCATTTGAAAAAGGAAAAAAAAATGTTTTTCACAACTCAGACATGTTAACACAATTCAAGCAAAAGAGTATTGAGAATTAAATATCGAGCATGAATTATGCTTTCGATGTTCTAAACAAAAAAATATATTTGTCCCAAACAGAAGGTAAAACACTGTTCTTTTAAAGCTAACTCTCCTAAGTTCACTTTGATTTTGAAAGTACAATTCTCAAATTCTGTAGAGTTAACTAATTCAAATAGGTATACACTATAATTTGATCTCTACACCATCAAAAATTATGTGGACTTAACCAAATAAAGAGTATGTATAACCAAATTATATGATCTATACACCATCAATCGCTTACAAAAATGAAGGGGATCCTAAAATAAATCAAGGTTTGACACCTCCTTAGTTCAAATTTAGTAGTCTTGGTTTTAAACGTGTGATTGCGACATTAACTTTGTTTGTACCACCAGGGAAATGCAAGTGCATATATTTCTAAAACTACACAAACACAATCCTTTTGCTTGATTCCAACCACCATGGGGAACAAACATATCAAACGGTTCATCCAAAAACCCCTAAAGACTTCGATTTATAGAGAAATCCATAAGGCAGAAACAAAGAAAATCACCAGGAAACTCATGAAACAGGTGAAGAAAGTTTCTGATTCTTTTTGTCTCCTTTCACTACAGGAAATAAGGGTATTTATATCACCTGAAAAACGCTATGTAATGATACGATAGCGTTTTATAAAACGCTATATCATCGCCCACAACAATAGGTCCGGCACTTTAGATAGCGCTTTTTGTTTATGCTATCGTTACTTCCGATACGATAGCGTTTTAGTAAGTGCAATTAAATAATATAATATAACATTTTAAAAACGCTATTGATAATAATATTTAGTATAGCGTTTAATAAATGTTATTTCTATTGTTCTTATAGCACTTTTTAAAATGCAGTCGTATCTATTCCTAATTTTCAGAATGGCTTTACAACCTGAATCACAATCCACCAGGATATGCATATATACGAATACCCTGAATCACAACATTGCATTTTATTAAAAGATAAGTAACATAAGTTCAATATCTCTTTATAGAGAGATCCCAAATCGACCATCGTTGTTACAACCAAAAGTACATCAAACACAAATGTTATAAGTGAAGAAAAAATGAATTATAATAATATGAGTTTATCATTTGGCCAAGCCACTGTGGTTCCTACTGCATCTGATATGAACTCAACTTCAGAATTAGGTCTCCATACCTTTGCACCATCAACCTTTGACACCTCTACCCAAACCTTACTAGCATTAGGACCAAGAGGGACAAAATGTACCATGTCTGCTGGATCTGTAGAAGAAACACGACCTAGTGCTACTCTCTATTCGGAGTTACCATCACAGGCCAATAATATGCACTTATGTTTCCAACCATTACTGCTACCAGTACTTTGACTACCACTCTAATAACAAAAATATACAACACAATTAGGAGAATGAGATCACAAGCTACATTTTATCACGTGTAGTATTAAATCATGAGTTACAATAGATTACCTGAGTTGATTTTGTGGCTGAATCTTCTCGTGAAGGTATAGTAGGTGAGCGTATTTTATCAACAGGCCAAGCGATATTGAAGTGAAGTGCATCACCCATCACTGATATCTCAGCACTAGGCCTCCATAAGAAAGCATCGTCTTTAACTACATTCTGAATCTTCACGCTTGCAGCATTTGGACCGAGAGGAATATCATTCACCAATTCTTTTGGGTCAGTTGAACACAGAATACCATCAGCAACGAGGACATCATCAAAATTCCAATCAAAGATCTGCACTTTTCCAATTGACGAGGTTGTATCCTATGACAAATAGAGAGATTTATAAATATGCAGAAGATATTAGTTATGTAATCATTGACTAGCAAAGTAATATTTTATTGAAGTCTGCAAATACCTCGGATCCATTAGTGTTGGCTGCATTAGGCGGTTCACTGAGTTCGTCCAAAATTATCTTGTCATTAGGCCACGCTATTTTAGCTCCTACAGCTTCCCCGCGGAGACAATGCTTGGTGTAGGTCTCCATACAGAGGCTTCTGAGTTAATTGCACACTTGACAATAACAGCAGCGGCATTAGTATGTAATCATTAGTTGCTGAGTTCGTCACATTAGTTGCTCCCTGTTCGTACTCAAGACTAGCCCTACCACGCAATGAAAAAGCAATCAATAGTTTGTAATCTGTACATGTTTAATCAAGAATCATTGAAAGAGATTGACAAAGAAAGTTGTACCTTGGTAACCAGACCCAAGCTTTCTCCATGATACAGGAGCTCCGAGGGAACGTGCATACAAGTAGTGTATCACAGATAATGCATTAAATCACACCAACAATACGAAACCTAGATCGAAAGCATGAATCTAAACTGATAAATATACCTCTCAAAGTTTCTTCACCTCTCTTAGTATCTTAAGATGCAGCCGTCACTCGTTGACAGATATCTTCCTGCATGTCAGACAAATCATTTCAAGTTTGTGAATTAAACAAGTAAGAACAGGAAATCAAAAAGAAACTGACATTTTAACGATTTCACCTTTGATACGGGACTGATAGGAGATGTCTTGAAAACGAAATCGAGAATCGAGGTTGAAGAGAGAATCGAAAGCACCGAAATGGGTTGTATGGTTGTATGAGATAGAGTTCTATCTTCAGATTCGAGGATGAACAGAGAATCGAAAGCTGGAAAATTTGGATGTTTCTCGTTTCACGGTGTCAAGTGATTAGGCGAAGAGAATCGAACTAAACGGAGCAGTAAGGGAAAATAGAGGGTTTCGGCTGTGATTTCTGTGAGAGAATCTGAGATTGTGCGAAGATTGCGAGAAATGGCGAAGAAATTGATAAAAACTCGAAAAATCGATAAAGAACACGAGATAGAGAAAAATCGTCAATTGATTTGGGGGTTTAGGTTTTCCCCAAAAAATTTTAGTTTTACTCTTTAATTTTTTCTAAGTGTGGTGGGTTTTCGATTTCTATTTTTCCGCCTAATTTTATGATAGCGTTTCTCGATATATTGTGCTATTATAGATTATATGTTATTTGAAAACGAGACAAATAAAATTAAGTTTATCTACAATAGCGTTTCATAAAAGACAAACGCTATATAAAAGTAACGGGCAACTCTATTATAGCACTAATGCAACAAACGCTATGTTTTAGTGCTATCAAAACCCAATATTCTTGTAGTGTTTTAATTTCATTTATTCAATGTTTGTGTTTCTGGAGTTGGTTAATTGCCAATAGCTTAAACCTGATACAGTGTTTATTATATATGATTTAAAGCCTTTGTCTCCGCTCTGTTACTTGTTTATTATCTGAATATGTCTCCATATAACCATTTCTCCATTGCTCTCTAAATTGCAGGATTCAATTATGACTTTGTTTACACAATATCTGGACATTATTCAACTCTATGTATAATTTTGAAATTGTGACCCATAAATTATAAAAGAGAAAAAATGAATGAATGGTGGAAAAATAAACCCGAGAAATTAGCGAAACATTGGGTCGGAGAGACTATCGCACTATATTTTTTAAAAATAAGCTTTACAAACATGAAAAAAAAAACAAACAAATTATATGAGAAAAACTGACAACACCACCCGCGGGCTTTGTCCTAGTAAGTTTAATAAGGTTTATTTATTTATTTTTTCCTTTGATTGATTTACAAATCTTTAACTATAACACTGTTTTTCAATATATGGTGGTAAAGATATTTTGCTTGAAGCAGTTAAGGTTGGGTGCAAGAGAGTGATGGAAATAGGTGAAGGTAAGAAGCTTCAAACGCTACAAGAAAGGTTTATCAAGAGCCAATAGTTATACGAGAGAGACGTCAACACCAAGTGACCCAGTCTTAATATGCACTCAATGCGGACTAGGAGAAAGTTGTTCTTGCTCGGGGTATGGAATGTCTCTACTTAAACAGAAATATCTAAGACTGGGTTCCTTAAGATTAATGACATGAAAGTTCCAAAACTGAAAGAGTTAAAGATGAAAAGTATCAAACGTATGAGGATTTGTGATGTGTTATTACTTTACAGTAACATATATGAAATTAATTACGAGTTGTTGTTTGTAAGAAATTAACTCGAGTTTCAATGTGGATAAAAAAAATTTCACTCATTTATTAGTTACTAATGATATTAGAAAACTAAATTTACAATAAAATGTAACAATATTTTACGCGAAAAAGTAACAATTTATATGAGTATTGGTACGGAGAAGAGGGATGGTGTTGGAAACAGAGACTGTTATTCGGTATTGATAAACAAAATTTTTATTAGATACAAAGTCCTCGAGAGGAAAAAAAGGCAACCAAAGAAAATATATTTGATGAGAGTTCTTAGTTGGAATTATCAGGACCTGGGAAATCAGTTTACCATTAGTCATCTGAGAGAAATTTGGGGTAAGTTTAAGCCTGAATTTCTTTTCTTATTGGAAACAAAGCAATGTTTCAATTTTGTCCAGCAATTCCAATTTCATTTTGGATACGACAAAATCTTAACGGTGGATCCAAATGGTACAAGTGGAGGCTTGGCGCTTTTTTACAATAATGATTATGTTGTTGATATCATTTACTCCAGTAAACGACTTATTGACATCCAAGCCACATATGAAGGAACTCATATATTTATGTCGTTTGTTTACGGAGATCCAGTGGTTCGGATGCGTGATCGTGTGTGGGAACGTTTGACGCGGATTGGCACCACATGAACGGAGCCGTGGTTCCTTATTGGGGATTTTAATGAAATAACCGGAAACCACGAGAAGCAAGGGAGTGCGGTACGGCAGGCATCGACTTTTGTCCCCTTTAATTTAATGATTAACTAGATCTTAACCCGTGCTTGGGAAGCACGGGAAGATTTTATTTTTGTAAAATGTTTGTAATATATGATGAAGAATTAGTGTTATTTTTATGATGTAAGTATCTAATGTTACAATTCACAGCCCGATTTCCATAAGATGAACGAAAACAATAGCACCGGCTTCCATGGCCGAACAGTATATCATTTACATGTGTCGATTTGCACAATGGTGTTCAGATGTGTTTTGTGAGTTATAATGTAGATAATATTTCACATATGACATTCAGTTTGTTTATGTTTCCATTTTTTGGAAAAGTAAATTTATATGGACATTATATATCTTTTTCTAATGATGGTTGATGATATGTAGTCTACCAATTACTCTTACCAAATGTGAAAATATTTTATTAATATATTTTGTTTCGAAATCATTTTGCTTCGGTTTTGGTTAACCGAGGGCACATTTCGACCCGGATCTATTTCCGTCAGTTTAAAAATCTTGAAGTTCTAATTTATTTCCAATCGCTTGAAACACCGTCGTTTACTCTGTCTCTGATTCTTGCTTCCGATCTTCGTCTTCCGTTCTTATTACTTGTGCTTATCTCTTTCTTGTACTTCCTTAAAGCAGGAAATTGAGACGATGATCAAAATTCAAACATATATAGAGATTTCACAATCTCTTCTTAAATCTCAATGGGAATCCCACGTGTTCGTCTTTTGGTTCTGAGCTGATTTAAAGGCTTATAGTTCTCTTGGTCTTGGATTCTCCTCCGATCCGGGTCATATGCCTCCAGAATAGTCGATCTCTACTCGCGGCATCGTATTTACTTCTAGCTCAGGTAAATCCCTAATCTGAAGAGATTTCCTTTGCGTACCTTTCTTTGCATTTAATCTTCGTTGCGAATTCAGATTATCCAAACTCGTTGCTATGGTGATAACGATATTGAAAGGAGCACGAATTATTCAAACTCATCCTATTGATAGTGATAGTAGTTATGAACATATTTAACTCGAACAATCATAACTTGTCTTTAGTTTGAGTCAGTTTTAATACAATTTTAGCTGGTGAATTGCCAAGTCAGAATATTAGGCCCGAACTAATTTATTTCGGGTATGGATTTAAAACGAATAGGCCAACCGTTTTGTTGATTTTTTCATATTATGCAAATGGGCTTGATTTTGTCTGAAACACACAGTTTAGGCCCGCCGTTTTGTCTAACACACAGCATTTCATTACAATTTTGAGGCCCAGACAACGATGAGCTTCGTTTCAGAAATCTCGATTTGATATCTTATCTTTCTGATCTTATCTTTCTACGCTGATTTTGTGCATGTCGGTGAATCGCAAGCGTGGTTCTTAACAAACGTAGATGAATTTAGAGCTCTCTGCGTTAGCTTCATCCAATAGTTCATGAAGAACGGGATGTTGTAATTTTTGAAGAAAAATAAGTATTTTTTTTCTTTTGTTAATGAGTGATAATTATGAATTTTGTAGATATTGTTAACTTTGAGAGAATCAAAATTTCTCCATTACTTCATTAGACTTTGACTCGTGTTGTCGATAGTATGGGTTGTTGTTTCTTTAAAAAGAAAAATAAGTATATTAATTTTCCGTTTATGATTGGTAATTATTAATTTTATCGGTATTATTAGCTTATTTTTCCACAATCATTGCATTAAATTGTGACGTGTTGTTGACATGATGACATGAGCGAATCAAATTCTTTTAACTTGAAGTTAATCACGTCCAGCACGGGCCAAATCAAAACTGAGTGATCTCCATCAAATCACGACCAGCACAGGCCAAATTAATACTTGATCACCGGAATGGGGAAACCTAGATACTGATTTTTGAATTGAGAAAGTGGTTTCTAATTACGATTGCCTAATACTTGATATTTTATACCAAATCCATTAAAAATTTTCTGAAATGATTCAAATAACTGAAACTAAACCAATAATAACTGAAAATACTAATTGAAGGTTAAATAAATAATAACCAAAAATTTAAAAAACCCATATTAAGAAAAGCAGTAAATCTCAATCACTCATTTTCTCTCGATGATAATATTTAAATCTACCGATGAAACTTAAAATAATATTTTCTATACTATCTTCGTTTTTTCTCTTCTTTCGTAAATTTGTCCATGGGACATGTTAAAGTTAAGATAACAAATTTTGACCTTTGATGAGTTCCGTTCTGTTTTTCTAAATCTTCGAAAAAACCGGGTTCTAAAAGAATGTTGGTTCCGACCCGTGATGTTGCTAACCTTTGAGTTGATTAATTAATGAACATTCTGTTTCTAAGATTGGATATTGTTTTGAAATTTGATTAAATGTTGTTGTGGCAACATATATTTTTTATCATAATTTAAGTCATATAATATTTTTGTTAATTTGGGTCAAGAAAACGATAATTTTTTTTCTTCTTAGGGTCTTATTGTTATCCTAATACTCTTTCTCTTTTTCATATTCCAATTTTATCCGTAAAACATGTTAATTAGACAATTTAATTAGAGACTCCTTTTAATTACAGGTAAATCTGTTTTTTTTAAAGTTCAATTCCAAGGTGATTGCAGTTTCTTTACCTTTAGGTTTTCACTCTTTTGTAGTTGTGCCGGATGCTGTTAAGCCGGTTTTCATAGATGATATGGCCGGAGTTGCTACTCCGCGCAGAGTTCATTTGTAATTTCTTTTTTTTTAATAAAATAGGGGGTCACCCCCTCTCTTCAACCCAAAAAAAAAACGATATGGTTATTCAAAGAAAACTTTGTAGCAACAAACTTTTTTTTTCAAATTCTAAGGTAAAAAAATAAAGGTTTAATTTGCAAATTTAATTTAGTTGGAAGGTTAATTTGCATAAAACCCTTACCATTAAAACAATATTCAAGCCAAATGACAGCTACATCCCGTAAAAAAAAAAACCGACAGAAAGATTAACTGTATTCGATTATCATTTCGGTTTGGTTCGGTATAGTCGAAACGAACGGTGAACAAAAAAATCCTAAATCGATGTCTTCACCACTGGCCACCGTCTCCTCTTCTTCGTATCTTCTTCTCTTCGCCGATTCTTCTTCTTCTTCTGTTCTTCTTTGATTCTTCCTCTTATCTTCTTCTTCTTCCATCGAGCCTATCGTCTCCTCTGTCTAGCGTTGACTAGCGTGACAACAACAATTATTGTAATTCCTTCTTCCCAATCTACAAAATCGAGAACTTCAAGTCTTGCCTTCGATTTATGAAGCTTCATCTGGAATTCGAAAATTTAGCTCGATTAGATGGTGGGACGACCTGCTAATTTCTCATTTCACCTGCAGATTCAGCTCGTTCTTCACCGTAAGCATTGGTAAGAGTCTCAACTTTCTTTCACGATGCACCATCTTCGTTTCTTTTCTAATGTAGCTTTTGCAATTTTAATGTCAAGCTTCAAATGACAGCGAATCCATTACAAAATATTTATAAACTTAGAGCATGTCCAGCGGTAATCTCAAGAGTCTCTAATACATAATATATTAATATAATTTAATAGTATAATTAAATTTTAATTATAAAAGAAACACGTCGGTCTCTAAAATAAACTAATACGTCTCTCCCCCAAGAGACTCATGAGACATTTATCATTTCTCTCTCTTTTTTTACCATTATTTTTATTTATTTTTAATGTTCTGATACTCTCTTCATCTCAGCGCTGGACATGCTCTTAGCTTCAGTTTAAATATAATTTGGGTTTATGTTTTTGATCTTAATTTAGCATCTCTAATGTTTGTTTTTTTTGTTTTTTTTTCAGTTCAGGACTTCCGCTTCTTTCCAATTCATCACTGGTTTAAAGGAGAATTCTCATCTATACAATTTTTACAGGACTGTGTTGTGTGGAAGGACATGACATCGTTTAACCCAGGTATTTCTTAATTGTTTCCATATTCATACCAGTTTTTAAAGATGAGAAAGAACCTTCATGTTTTTTTTGTTTGGATTAAATATTGATGTTTTTAGAAGGATTGTTAGTATTGATTTAACAAAATATGATGAAAACTTATAATATATAGAAAAGCGTACTGAACTTCTCAATAAATCAATTCAATAGTATAAAGCGAAACAAATTTTCCTCGACCCAAACATCTTGACTCCTCTTTTGTTGCTTTTCCTCTTCTTAGTTTGCTCTTCTTTGCTTATAGACACTTGCATGCTCAATTTGCATATCTCTAAACATGCTTTTTGTACGCCAACTACTCATGGGGTGTGTTAGCTGCTTAGTAAGACAGAAAAGCGCGAATAGCAGGAGATGTCCAGATTCTAAACAAAGCATCCAATCACATAAATCACTTATATTTGATTTTCTTGCGTCATGTTTGTCCACCTAGATTTCTTATGTTTTTTTAGACAAATGCGTAGTTTGTTAGAAATCAAGCTTTGAATACTAAGTAAAGTAGCCTTCTTGCCTTCTCATTTCTTTAAGCGTAGCTTCATCAACTTGTAACTCTTCCTTTTCCGGTTTTTCCAAGTCCATATACTTCATCATCATCGTCAGAGCTGGGGTTATCCTCCTTTGCTTTTCCATTATCTTTAGCATTTTTTTCCACATACTGGATCCTCCTGAGTCTGTTCTGTTCTAGCTTTAGGCGTTTGATCAACTCAGTGTCTTACAATTGTTCTATTTTTAATAGATGACCCACACGTGTATCATCTTCTTCTGCTTTGGAATACCAAGGTAAAAATCCTTTACCTCATGCTCAATCTCTCTTCTCGATTGCAAAGTCAAAGTCTGTGAACCATTCTTCTGATTTTTGTACATGTTTTGTAAAACCCAACCATGTAATCTTTTGAATTTATCTCTGGTTTTACTTTGTTGAAGCCCAAAGAAAAAACTATTTAACTTCTTATTTTGTTATGCGTAACCCAAAAATCTTGATATTGTTTATGCTTTTTTCACCTACATTTCAGACCCAAGAAGTCAATCTCCAATCAACTCGATCCAATCACCAAGCCAATCAAAACACAGGTAAGCAAATTTCTCATGTCATAAGTAGACTTTTTTGAAATATTTATATGAATTTCCAATAAACACATAAAAGTTTAGAACACTTTATTATGAAAAAAGATGACATGATCTTAACTTATTTCTATTACATCTGATCTGAAATCAAATTAAACTTGTCTACAAACTAAGTAAATAAGAACAATAGTTCTTGTCTCGTCTAAACCCTCACTTCCGTTGTCTTGAATGATGTGGACTTATCTTCTTAGTATCCTCACCTACGCCTTAGTCTTCTTAAACAACTCCTCGATAGTTTTCACAAAGAGATTTTTGACTGTGCAAGACTTATTTGATGTATATTGCAGGTCCAGTAGATCTCCAACTTCTTCTTTGCGTTTAGATGAATGTGTTGCAAAAGTGACAGGATTTTCCTGGATATCAGAAAGCATAACAGGTACCTAAAAATAAAATCAACTCTTGAAATATGACTGTGGAAAAATCGCATCATACTAACTAACCAAATATCATCCTACATGCTAGTGCTTAGTTGAACTTGGACAGTTTGGATATCCTTGATTCAGTAGCATGGCCCATAACATCTGCCAACAAAAAACATTAAGCGCAAGTAAGTGGTTGTATTTTATCTCCCCAAATAGTCAATATAACTTTATATCATAATTTTTCCTCGTATATAATCTTAAAAGAATCTTTAAAAAACTTAAATCACACTTAATTGAAAAGACTTACCAATCAAGAAGTTATGGTTGTGCATTGGAAATTCAGCAACGATAGGAACAAACTGTCTGATTTGAATACACATTAGACATATAGAAACTGTTTCCTGATTGATTACTTACAGTTTCGTCTGTGTTTGTGTATTGCTTCTCTAGGTGCAAGATCATAACTTGGATTCTCCAGGCCGTTTTGAAGCCACATGTTCCTGCAAAGTGCAAAGAGTGATCGGAAGAGCATTATTAGCCATATTAAAAAACAGAACGTCACAATTTCTAAGTAAGTTTCCATAAGCGAATCCATATGGAGCTTGATGAAATGCTGTTAAGATGTTAGAATCAAAAGCATGTATAAAGCTTACAACATCACACTAACTTACATATCTTTATACAAAGAGATGATAAGGTATGTTTTCTTGCATAAACATGTGTTTCCATACCCTACAAGACAGATTGAAATCAAGATTTTAGAATCGAAAGCCTGTGTAAAGCTTAGAATATCACGCTGACTTACATTTTCTTCTCCTATGATCCAGCTCCATTTGTCTGAGATGCGGACGTGTATTGCTTCCAAAAGAAAGAGCGGGACTTGATTCACCAACCTATTTAGAAAGGTCTGCCATAATAAAGGTATGTAAAACGATAAGGAGCAACTTTATACTTAAATGACCTGCGCTGTCATAGATGGGGACTAACCTTTGATAATGACTTGAAAAAACCCTAAACAGTAATGCATTTGTAGTGAATCCTTAAACAAAAAAAAAGTAATGCATTTGTAGTGTTAGACAGCAGTACATATTATTTATTTCGTTACCTCTTTTGGTTGGTACATCTCTCACAGAATTTGATGAATATCGTCCCAGTTGTCTTCGGCTCTTAGGATTTTTTCTTCTTTGTCATCTTGCTGTGAGATGGTAACCTATATGGAATCACATTAATTAAATTATTTTCAATATAAATATCTCAAACTGTATCAATTCGTTATGATACAGATTTAGACTAACCTCTGTTAAGATATTCTGCGTTAGGTTCATGAGGATTGATCATGAGCTTAGAAGCATCATACGGTAGAAGCCCTCAATTTTTTCCCCGGATAGTCCAGTGAACTGCTTGCAAGTGTATAGAGCTTTCACACGGACCTTCCAACCTGAAAGGTTTGATCTCTGTAAGCTTTGTTAAGGCTTGGCCAATAGTCATTTTTGCTAGTTTGAATCGTATGGGAAAATGTGTTTCGAATGAGTTTTTTTATGTATTCGAGAGGGTGTATGAAACAACCAACATTTTTTTTTTTTTAATAAATATTAATCAATTCTAGCGAAGGTCTTAAAAATAAATTAAATAAATAAAATATCAATAACAAATAAATCAGCTCAGCGGAAGCAAATAATAATTAAACAAGTCTAGCAAAATAATGCAAAACAATAAAACAGTAAACATCCTATCATCCCCCTCTTCAGCCTTGATTCCGCGATCACACAAATCTTTTACCTGCAACACATTGGAATGGAGTTGCGTAAGTATTTAATAAATACTTAGTGAGGCAATCACTCTGCCTACGAGCCATTTACGCAATTTACTAGATATTTAATAATATTTATAAACTTCAATAATTATTAAATACCATTTTCCAATTATTAAATAATTTTAATAATTAAAACTCAATTTCTCAATTATTAAATAATTCTCATAATTAAATAATAATTTTCCATATTTTAAAATAATTAAAATAATACCAATTAATTAAATAAATATTATTTAATTAATTAAATCCGAATTAAATCTATTTAATTCCATTAAACCAATTAAATTCAATTAAACCAATTAAATTCAATTGAACCAAGATAAACCAGAATCAAATCAATTAAATTCAATTAAACCAATAAACCAGATTAAACCACACAAACACACAATTCATCACATGAACAACCAAAATATCATAAAAATAACAATTAAAACATAAACTCATCAAGAACAACCACAAACCAAATCTAATCTAGCAAATCACGGACCCACAGTCATGCACTCACCTTGACAATTGATGAAACTGAAGGAAAAAGGAAGGACGATGAACAGTGCCGAATCGCGGATGAACAGTAACCCGTGAACAGTACCGATGAACAGTAACCCGTGAACAGTACCGATGAACAGTAACCCGTGAACAGTACGATGAACAGTCCGATGAACAGTAAAATTCGAAAATCTCTCCAAAAACTCAACTTTTCTCCTCTACAGCATCTGAACTCGAAAATTCTCCAAAGAGAAGACGGCTGCACTCTTTAAACTTGATTTTAGGGCTTTCTCCACTAAACCGACCCAAACCAATTCACTTAAATTGAACCGACAAAATTCCCAATTTTTATTTTTGGTTTATGGATGTTACAACTCTTCCCCACTAAACTGGATTCGTCCTCGAATCCCAACGCAAACGTCACAAAGACCACAAAACCCAACCTCGCAAGGCCGCAACACCGGAGATCCTCACTTGATCCCCGAGACAAACGTCATATCTTATGTCATAAACACGTTCCAAGAAAATTTCACTCCTAACTCATCATCCAAACACACCAAACAACTTGTACTGAGGCCCACTTGCACCCAGACAAGTCCACACCGGTCCGCACTGAGGCCCACTTGCACCCAGACGAACCCGAAAACGTCCATACTGAGGCCCACT